TAGTCTTGTGTCGCTTGCCTGTTCTTGTGAACCTGTGGCTAATCCATGGACTGTGCCAGGTGGTCTGAAGTCTCATATCCTTCGGGCACTGACAAGTATTGCTCCCTGCCTGCCCTTATCTTTCTCTTTACCTCCTGAGTGTGACCATCACAATAGGGTAACGAACTCCTGTTCTTTGTGAGTCTCTTCAGAGGAGGTGCTTTCCTTTCTGAAGCACTTGTACCATCTTTGGCTAGGAGGGAACCAGGGAGTTTTTACCTGGGCCCCCTTTACAATTCCTATGTTTTGTTTCTGGTCAGGGTTCACTGTCCTGACCCCGTCACCTTTCTGGCACTGCTGTTTGTAGCTGTTAACTGCAGGTTTAGTACCTAGCTCCAGGTTTGCTGCGGCTGCGTGGAAAGCGTGGCTCTAAGTGCCTCCTGTTCCCATGAGCTCAGCAGAACATCAGAAATATGTGTTTAAACTGAACCTGTTTTTTGGTACCAGGGACTGAGCTCATGACTGCACACTTGCAAGGCAGGCATATATGCCACGAGCTAAATCCCTAGCCCCTACCTTTTTTTTTTTTTTTTTTTTTAACATTGGTAGATTCTTTTAACATCTAGTTCACCATAACCAAAGGGATCATAAGTCATTTTTTATTGTATCGTTAATTTTTGGCAAGTCCTTTATTTTAATATTTAACTTTAGTATATTTATTTTAATTTATAGTGGAAAAAATCTTTCACATCAAATGTAAGATTTTTTTGGTGATTGCAAATTTTTTATTAAGACATTTACATGAATGAAACACGGATTTTCTAAAGGAAAATGTTAAATAACAATAAAGGTGGTAAGTAGATTACACAGTGTATCTTGTGGGTGCCTATAGAAATAAACCTGTGATCATCAAACAGTCTGAAAACTGCAGTCAGGTATGGGCATGGGGCTTTCCACTTACAGAGAAGAGGCGTAAAAGTAAACGCGGTGTTGGGGGAGGATCAGGAAGTGGTTCCTGGAATCCGTAGTGATTATTGATGAGCATTAGAGGATTACAGGGCAAGGCTTGCTGAGGACTGACAAGCAATGGGGTGGGACCGCGGTAGAAGAAGAAACAGGAGCACACAGGACTGTCCTTGTGCATAGGAGGGAGGCTGGACTTTTTTCTGCTAGTGAAGGGAAGGTACAGAATGATTTAAAGCAGCAAAATGCTGTCAGACCTGTACAGGATGCCAGGACTGAAAGCAAGCCATGAGTTAGAGGACGGGGGACTAGTTAGAGGACTAGTTCAGGAGAAAAGATGAAGGTGGAGCTAAAGAGTGAGTGGCGTTGGGCAGGAAGAGGTTTCATGTGGGGGAAATTTAGATTCTTCTAGTTTTGGTGCTGGGAATCGAACTCAGGTCCTTATGCTTGCCAGGCAGGCACTTGTGCTGCTGAGCTAGATCCCCGACCCTAAGTTTCTTAGGGGAATAGAAATGACATTCCTTAGTTGAGTAGAAGTGTTATTACCAGATTGAGGAGCCTGGGGGAGCCTCAGATTTTGCTTTTGGGTAACCAGGTGGCCTGTGAAGATGGTACTGATAAATGACATGCGGGAAGGAAAGAATGCGGTTTCCCTTTTTGTTGAAGAAAAAGTTTGCCTTTTAATTTATTGAGCCTGAGGGGACTTGTGGGACATCTTGGTTAAGGTCCAGTAGCAACTGACAGGGCAGACTAGAGGTCGAAAGATGGGGAGATGGGGGCTTGGGGTTTGGAAGTTTGGAAGCTATCATTTTCTGCAGTATCACATGGGATCATTTTAAGTAGTACATGAACAAGCTCTTGAAAATTTTTAATAGAAATTTGCTGGAATGTATACAAGTTGTATGTCATTTATAGCATGGATGTTGTCATATAGCTCAAGTGAGTGCAATGACAGGGAATAGTAAATAAAAATATGTGATTTATGGGGATGGCGGTAGTCATGGCAAAGCTGTGCCTGTGTTGAGAGTTCAGCCAGTGGTGTTCTAGGTCGTGGGTATGGGGGGAGAGAGCAGAATGCAGAGTAGGATGCTGATGCATGGGCGGTGGGGTGCACAGAGGAGACCCAGAAGGAGTGGAGAAGCAGCCGGAGGGTGGGAGGAGAGTCAGGAGGTGGCCTTTGGAGTCCATTGGAAGAGTCCTGAGGAGGAGGAAGTGGTCCCCAGCACCGAGTAAATTACAAGCTGAAAAGTGCTTTCTGGGTTTATCATTAAGGTAGGCTGTTTAGGGAGAAGCATCTTAAACAGTAGATTTTAAAACACCACCACACTAATGTGAGTCTCACTAATAGCTGGTATTTATATCCTTTGTGCCCCATAGGCTTCCGAGTGCATTACACTTCCTAACTGATAATAAGGTAGGTGCTATTATGTCCACCGGAAGTGTGAGAAAGCTGAAGCACGGAAAAGTCAGGTATCTCACGCACAATCACACAACCAGGAAACGGAAGAGTCAGGATTTGGGCCCAGGCCATTCCATGTTCTTAACCATTTTACCATGTTGCCCTACGTTGAAACAATAGAAAAAGTTTTTAAAATTACGCCAGTGTCAGCTTGGTGTGGTGGCACAGGAGAAGCTGAGGCAGGAGGATCGCTGTGAGTTCGAGGCCCACGTGTACTACAGAGCAAGATCCTGTCTCAAAAAAAAAAATAAATTGCCCCCATGTTGTAATTGCAGTCCAGTCTGATGCTGCATATGGCATGATGAACTCTGCAAGGTTGGGTGACCAGCAGTCTGCCAGTTGTTCTACAGTCAGTGCCGTGATGGGTGTGCGTGGTATGTGGGCCATGACAGTTTTTGGCTCTTTCTGTATTTATTTACAAAAAAAAGTTTGTAAGAGAAGTGAAATTTAAAAGTATGTTTCTCACTGTGACATATATTATGTGCCCTATTGGATGCCATGTTGTCTTATTTTTTCTGGTAATTCAGTTTTTGAAATGGGGTCTTGCTATGAATTCCAGATTGGCCTTGGCCTCACTGTGTAGCTATAGCCCAGACTGGCCTCAAAATTATGGAGATTCTCCTGCCTCAGCTTCCTGAGTGCTGGGATTACAGGTATTCAGTGCCATACCGCATAGGCCATTCACTTTTTTTTTTTTTTTTTGTCTTTTTCCTTTTTATCGGTACCGGGGATCGAACCCACGACTGCCTGCTTGCAAGGCAGGTGCTTATGCTACTGAGCTAAATCCCCAGCCCCCAGGCCATTCACTTTTGGAGTTAAATTCTTCAGACTCCAGAAATATCATTATGCAGAGCAGGTCAAGTTCCAGACATTACAGATAATCTATTATAGACAATCATTAATGGCCTTACTGAAGGTAGTTTCCCTTGATCAATAGAAATGGAAAGCAAATTATAGGAAAATGAAAGTGAGAATGGAGAATTCCAATGAGGGGAAAAGAAAGAAGAGTTTTGATGAGTTTAAACGTTAGCTGTGGAGGGAGACAGGGAAGGTGTGAGCTGTAGTAACCCCGGTTGTGAAAGAGAAGACGCTGTCCCAGTGGAGGACTGGAAAGCTGGTTTGCCCCGCACAGCGGCCCCAGGCCTGGCGCTGATGAGGGCACCCATGGGGGGTGGGCGCTGATCAGTGTTCCTGTTAGCGGAGGAGGGAGGCTGCAGGGCTGGGGTACTGAGTGCCTACCCTCCGTGGGGCTGGGGCACCTGTGGAATTTGGAGAGGAGAAAGGAACTTCCTGCCCGTATTCTTTTAAAGGACAGTCGGTACAGTGGCGAGGAGGAGTGTGGTGAGAGGACAGTGTTGGAGTGAAGGGATCGTGGACGCAGAGGATTGGCGTGGACTCCTCCTTTGCGTGGAGACTTTGGGCACCTCACTTCATCATGCGGGGAGAGTTTTCCTGCCTGTAGAGTAGAGGGGTGGCCAGCGGGTCTGCTGAGAATTGCCAAGGCCTCGTGCGGTGGTGCACGTGGCTCACTCGTGCAGATGGCTGGTCAGGAAGCCTGTTATCCTTTCCTCCTGACACTGCAAGGTTTTCCTGCTTTAGATTCGATGTCAGGACTGATTAAAGAAACGGATTGCTATTTTTCATGGTCTGATGGTGACCTTGCTTAGAAAACAGAAACTTGGTTTGTTCTGATTGTGAGAAATACAGTAATGATGGTACTGGCAATGGTAGGAGAAGAGAGCTGTTACTTGGACAAGAGCCAGAAGTGACAGAACGCTCCATTTTTTAGTGCTACTTAGTGTTCCTCTTCTCTGATAGCTGTAAAAATGCTCATAATTGAACTTTCCTCAGGGAAAAAACCCTGAGTCTGAAACTCTAGCCCTAGTTTCCCTTTCAAAGTATTTTTAAAATGTGTCTTCTGAGAACATGAGAATCTTCTCCCTGGTGGTTTAGCAGTGGTGGTTTGTGGTAGTCAGGAGAGTGCTAGAGGCAGGGGTGGTTAGGAGAGTGCAGGTCTGAATGTGGCCATGGGGAGTGGAGAGACCACTGATGCAGCCTGGACCACTGTGGTCCTGCCCCCTCACCCAGGTGGAGATGCACTGAGAGTTGCTTAGGCTGGAAAAGGAATTTAGGAGTGTTTTCTCAGTGGGGTCAAGGTTTAGTTCAGGCCAGGAGTTTGAGAATGCAGTTTATGTACAAATAAAATGGTATACTTCATGGGCCACAGAAAAGTTGGTAAGTAAGTAAGTACATCAGTGGGAAAATGTCTTTATGGTCAGGCACACTTAGGATGAACTGTATGCTAGGCACTTACAGAATAAGTAACATTCTCAAAATTATCTTTCCCTAAAACTGTATGCAGATATATTCAGAGTAGAGATGGTGATTGTATGAACCTAAAGAGATGAAGATAGATTAAACTATTTGGATGGAGGAAGAAGTACAGCAGATTGGGGAGCAGAATCTCGCAGAGCTTGGAGTTCTGATTGGAGTTCCTCCTTGAAGGTTCCAGGTTTTTCTAATGTAACAGAAGCCAGGGAGACTGCTGCTTACAGCATCTTTGATGAATTAATTACTGATTTGAGTATTGTCTCCTTAGGATTGTGGACCATGGACAGTTTTACTGAGGGAGACCTCACTGTGGCAGATTATGCCTTGTTAGAGGATTGCCCTGACGAGGATGAGTGTGCCTTTGCTCCTGAATTTATGATGGAAAATTATGTTCCCATGACTCAGCTTTACTGTGATGAAGTGGTAAGTAATTTGTTACATTTTACTTTAAACATGATGTTTGTGTCAGTGAGTGTTCACTACAGAGACAGATTTAATACACACACACACACACACACACACACACACACAAAAACACGGATTTATAAGGCAGCCTTACAGTGACCGCCTGCAGAGTCAGGTGTAGAAGAGCTGTCTGTGCACTAGAAATCTAAAAAGATTCATTCGACAGTCGAAGGCTTGGTGCTCACTGCAAATCCTGTACAAGTCGGTATCAGGAAGCTGGAGGGTCTGCACTGGAATCTGTCCAAGGCACAGGTAAAGACCAGAGTTGCTGCGAATGAAGAGTGTAAACCTTCTATCTTTTGCCGTTTTTATTCCATTCAGGATACAAACCTGTTGGTTGGTGCTGCTCACACCTAGGCTGGGTCTTCTGTCTTCAGTAAATCCATTTGGCCACACCTAGAACCATGCTTGTGCATCAGCTGCGAGTGTCTTACTCAAGTTGACACAACAGTTAAATAGCATAATCCATGCCCTGTGAATTCAAGAAACAGAGATGTTTCCTTAAACCGTAGTGGTCTCCAGGTCTAAAGGCGGGTTCTTAATGATGCTAGCATAGTACAGCCTTCCCGTGTACAAATGGAACTGCACTCAGGCAAGTTTTCTTTGGGTAGTGCTTACTCCTAGCATTTTATAACTTAAACATTATAAAACAGGCTTAATAATACTTAAGAACCCATATTAAGTCTGTCAGTATTATACAGAAAGTGTATTAGAACTATTATAACTACAATGCTTGTTTCTATAACTCATCACAGGATTGTAGCTGGTACTTTTAGTTACCTTCCTCTATTACCAATGCTGTATTCCCTTGGCTTTCAGCAAGCCCCTCAGTGGATCTAGGTTTTTTCCCTAGTAGGGTGACCCATACCTTCATTAATGGAGGTAATGGACCATTTGTCATCCTGTCTGGACTGGGTTACTGTAGTTTCTGATTGATCTATTATTAACAAGGCATGGTAATTCTTAGAAGCTCCCTAAGGGATCTCTTGAGCCTCAAGTATATTCTTCCTTTCCTCCATTGTACAGTAATAGTTCAGTTTCCTATTGATAGGCCAGGTCAGTCACCACTGCCCACACCATCACTGTTTTTTTTAGCTTGTTTCCTCAGAGGCATGAGTTGTCCAAAAATGACCAAGGGGAAGTTTTAGCTTCCAGTTCAGTGGAATCATTGTTGTGTTTCCCACTCTGGGACTAAGATATCAAGGCCAGCAGAGGATAAGATTATGGGAACAGGAAGCAAAAATTTTGTCTGTGGATCACTTGGGGTAATGATAAGTGGTCCTATTTCCACTTCTGCCCCTTGATTCCTGGATCCATGAATGCTGGTTGTGGATGCTGATTCAAAGTATATTCAGCCTTTTGAAGAAACTTGCCCCAGCCATGCTATTGCTATTGCTATAACTGCATCTTCAAAAGGCCATTCAATCTTTTGGTCAATTTAGCTGCTTCTGGGTGGTGAGGTACATGGTAAAACCAGTGAATTCTGTGAGCATGAGCCTTACTTCTTTGGCTGTTAAGTGTGTTCCTTGGCTAGAGGCAGTGCTGAGTGTGAAATTCTATGATGGTGGGTAAAACATTCTATCATTTCACAGGTAGTAGTTTTGGCAGAGGTATCACATGTAGGTAAGGCACACCCATACCCAGAATAAATGTCTATGACAGTATAGATGTCTTGGTTACTTTTCTTTTGTTGCTGGGACAAAATACCTGATACCTAAAGTTAAAAGAGGAAGGCTCACAGTTTGTGGAGGTTTCAGTCCGTAATCAGCTGGCACCAAGGCAGGGTGGCTCATGGCAAAGGGTAACAGTTCATGGTGGCAGAAGACAGCAAAAGCACAAGTGCAAAAAGGGGCAAAAGGGAGAGAGGAGATTCTTTCTGTTCCTTATAATGTATGTAGACTACCCTCTCCAGGGGCTGTAGCACTCACACCCATAATTACAACACTGGACCATGAATCAAACATAAACTGTATAAAACTGCCTCTGAAAAGTGTGTCCATGACTGCATGAGGCTTTAGGGGAACATCCAGACACAAACCATAACATTCTGTCCCTAGCCTCCCAAAGACTCCTGCACATCTCTTTATTCAAAAGGCATTTTAGTCCATCTCTAAGAGTTGCCAAAGTGTTAACAGTTGTAGCATTGCTAAAAAGTCCAACTCCAAAGTCTCCTCTGAGGTCTAAGGCAAATTCTTGGCTGTTAATCCTGGGACAGATGAAAAGTTAAATACTTAAAACATTCAGTGGCACAGGATAAATATTCCTATTCCAAAAGATACAAACAAGGATACAAAGAATTGGGACCAAATCAACTTCAAAAATCCAGCAGGGCACATATTAAGACCTGTAGTTCTACATGCAGCATCTGAGGCAGTGTGGCAAGATGTGAGCTCCAAAGGGCTTGGTTGCCTCTGCCCCTACAGCACTTCTGGTGGCTGTAGCTCTTGTAGCTCTCATGGCTTCTCTTGTGGGCTTGCTTTTCTCCCTCCTTGCAAATTTCCTTAGAGGCTCCACTTTTCTGGCTTTTCCAAACTTCTGGGGTCTCTGCTACACCTTTGGCTGTATCTTCACAGCATCACACGCTTGTCTATCAGGGGCTCACTGCCTGGCCTCCCAAGCCTTCTGAAATTGAGGTAGAAGCCTTTTTAATCTTTTTTTTTTTTTTGCCATATTAATCTTTTAAATCTTGCTTTCTACATGCACCTAAAACCAGCGCCATGTGAATGAGGTCAAGGTCTGCTGCCAGCTAAGCAGTAGCCAGGTTTCCTTCTCTCTTGGCTGTAAAGTCGAGTCCCTGGATTGCTGGGCACTCTGAACCTGATTCTGAGGAACAGATTCTCTATGCCACCACCAGTCTAGAACCTAGTGTGGCCACTGTCATTTGGAACCTGGTGTGGCTGCCGCCACCCTTCTGGAACATAGTGTGGCTGTCACTGTTTTGGGACATGGTGCTGTGTGGCTTTTTTTTTCAAAGCAAAGTAGAAACTTTTGCAGTTTTGAGGCTGCAAAGGGTGGAGACTTGCTGCTGCTTATGATGCCATCAGGCCATCTTTTCTGTTCTCCTGTTCCTTCTCAGCAGTAGAGTTCTCCTCAGCTCTATCTTCATAGTCTACAACTTTACTGGAGCTTTCTTTCTGGGCAAACTCACATTTTAAATATCCTGGTGGGCTCTTTGCTCTTGATTTACAACATAAATGTGGCTAAAAGCTCCCAGCCTTGAAATTTTTTCTGCCAGATTAATTAGTCCACTGCCCTTAATCTCAGTCCCAGACAAAAATCTATGGAAATCAGTAAAATGCAGACAAACTTTTTGCCAAGTTATAGCACACATTCTGTATAGTCCAGCAACCAATGCAGTCCTTCTTCCTAGCAGAAACTTCCCAAGCCTGCACTTAACTGGCCAGGTTTTATATCGTCTTTCTGGTCTTATGAGCTATGACCAGAATCCCCCATACAGAACAGCCTAAGGCATTTCTGCTCTGCTATTCCAACCACATCTCCAAATCTTTACAAATTCTTTTCATAAGCCATTTCCAAAGGTTCTTGAACCATGTGATTGGGTATTGTCACAGCAGTGACCCCACTCCTGGTACCAAATTCTACTTTGGTTACTTTTCTCTCATTGCTGGGACAAAATATCTGATACCCAAAGTTAAAAGAGGAAGACTCACAGTTTGTGGAGGTTTCAGTCCATAATCAGCTGGCACCAAGCAGGTTGACTCATGACAGAGGGCAACAGTTCATGATGGCAGAAGACAGCAAAAGCTACAAGAGCAAAAAGGGGCAAAATGAAGAGAGGAGATTCTTTCTGTCCCTTACAATGTATGTAGACTACCCACTCCAGGGGGGTGTAGCACTCACACCCATAATCCTAGTATTAGACCATGAAGCAAACATAAATTGTATAATCCTGCCTCTGAAAAGTGCTTCCATTACTGCATGAGGCTTTGGCGGGACATCCAGACACAAGTCATAACAAAGGACAAAGTGCTGTCTTTTCCATGATGAAAGCAGTGCAATGTAATCATCCTGCCCCCAGGTCACAGGTTGGTCATCTTGGGGAATGGTGTTATACCAGGGACCGATTGTTGATCTCTGCTGTCAGCATATTGGACATTAGGCAGTGGCCGAAGCCAGATCAGCCTGGTGGGAGGGAGTCTGTAATGCTGAGCTCATGCATAGCCTCCATCCCTACCACCATGGCCACTCTGTTCATGAGCCCATTGGGAGTGACAGGTGGTCATCCTAATCCTCTTGATTGTTGAAGTCTTCTTCTGCTGAGGTCCCTTTTGGTAAGCATTTACATGGCGTATGAATATCTCCTAAATCCCTTGTCTTTATGGAGAGGTTTATTCATGGTTCTCTTCCCCAGATACCTTTGTGTCCTGTTTTCCAGTCGTGTTCCTTCCAAGTTCCTTACCATCCTGCCAGACTATTGGCCCATGAATGAGTATATGGTCACACATTTGGCCATTTTTTTCTTCCAGATACAATGTGCTAACAGGTACACTGTCTGAAGTTCTGCCCACTGAAGATTTTCCTTCTTCACTGTCCTCGGGGATGTCCTGGAAAGGGCTATAATGCTGTAGTTGTCTACTTGGGGATGGTGCCTGCATATAATGTGGAACCATTCTGAATACAAGGCTCTGGCCTTCTCTTCCTCTGACAGCTGATCATGCAGGCTGTAGGTGCATGCTGGGAGACAGAGGCAATATAGCAGAAATAGCAACCATGGACATCTGGACAAATTCTTCATGTAACTCGTGCCCTCTGGACCTTTCCTGGCTCAGTTAGATATATACCACTTCCATTTAATGGTAGACTATTGTCTGTGCACATCCATCTATCTTTATGATGTGATGAATCAGATAATTCCCAGCTTATGATGGGCAATGCAGGTTGCATGTAGACCTGAGTCCTCTGGTCAAGTGTTCAGTTTCCACTAAGACCCCGTAGCAGGCCAGGATCCGTTTTTCAAAGGGGTTATCTTCAGACTATGGCAGAGCCTTGCTCCAGAATCCTGAAGGCCTCTGCTGTGATTGACTGTGACAGTGGGTGCCTGTGAGAGTCCAGACGTGTCCTACCTGCCACTGACACTTCAATACCATTGGATCTGCTGGGTCATGTCCCCAGTGGGAGAGCAACCAGCACAGCAGCCTGGACCTGTTGCAGAGCCTTCTCTTGTTCTGGACCCCGCTCAAAACTAGTAGCTTTCTGAGTCACTCAGTAACTGGACTGACATAAGGCACCTGAGTGAGGAATTATTATCTCCAAAATCCAAATCGGCTGACTAGGCAGTACACCTCTTTTTTGGTCATAGGGGAAGCCAGATGCAACAGCTTATCTTTTACCTTAGAAGGAATATTCTACGTGCCCCACACCACCAGACTCCTAGAAACTTCACTGAGGTAGGGGGACCTGGAATTTTTGTTGGATTTCCCATCCATGGGCTCTCAAATGGTTCACTAACACATCCAGAGTGGTTGCTCGCTTTTGCTCACTAGCCTCAGCCAGCATAACATCATCAATCTAAAGGAACAGTGTGCCAAATGTTTGGGAACCAAAATGTTCTTACACGGAGGAACTACTATACCAGGAGGCAAGGAGACCATCTGGTACCACAGCTGCAATTGGCGTTACCACTTGATTCAGCTGACGGTAATCCACCGTCGTCTCCAAGACCCACCTTCCTTCTGCACAGGCCACATGGGAGAATTAAATGGAGATGTGGGAACCACTGCTGCATCCTTCAGGGCGCTACTCTCTGCAGTCTGCTAGGGACGTGATACTGTCTTGGGTTTACGACAACTGATGGTTTCCATTTCACCTTCTCAAGTATAATAGCTCTCACACTACAGGTTAAGGAACCAATGTGAGAATTCTGCCACACTGTGTATCCCCATTATGAATTTTAGAACAGGGGAAGTGACTACAGGATGGAATTGAGGGCCTACATTACTGCACCCATTACTTGACTCATTGCTAAGTCAGACCTTTGCCAAAACTGCATTGATCACCTGACCTCCGTGTGCCCCTCCTCTTACTGGAGAGCCGTAATGATGTTGTGGACCTTCTGGAGTCAGTGTTAGTTCAGAACCAGTGTCCAGGAGTCTCTGAAATGTCTGCTTATTTACCTTCCGCCAATGTATGGTTACCCTTGTAAAAGGCCAGTAGTCCCTTCAGGAAGGATAGGAAGAAGATTGGGTGTAAAACTTTGGGTGGTGCCCCAGGGTGCTTTCTCAAGTATTCCCCTTTATTCATTTGGGTGGGTGCCTGTGAGAGTCCAGACGGGTTCTGTAAACTGGCTGAAATTTGGGCACTGGTTGTTGATTTTCTTTTCTGTCCTTTTGAGACAGGGTTTCACTATGTAGTTCAGGCTGGCTTTGAGTTCTCTTTGTAGCCCAGGCTGGTCTCAAACTCAGCGATTCTCTTGCCTCAGCCTCCCAAGTGTTGGGATTATAGACGTGTGCCACCATGCCTGGCGATTCTTTGTTACTATGATTTGAAGTAGGTTTCTGTTCATTTCCCCTTAAATTTTTTTGATAATATAAATCTAGCAAAATTGAGTAGTCTTCCTATCTATTTCACTTTGGGAACACCATGGCTAATCAGCTAACACCATAGGTCTGTGTGTGCTTGACCACACAGGATCACACCTGTTTCCACAGCCAGTTTTGCTATGCTCTGATCTTCTGTCTGTTTGTCCAGATATGCTAAGAGTAACCAGCTGGCACCAGTCTAGTTCCTATTGTGCCAAAAATATTCAAAAGTATCATGTATGGAATAACTAAATTTCTTGTGTAAGTGGTGAATTAGGGTAATCAAATGCATCTACATTGTGTATTCAAGCAGTTCACACCAAAGTCTATCAGTATTCCTCACATTATCAGGAGATACCATGGCATTGTTAGCCATCACCAAATTAGAGAACCATGTCTGTGAGCCGTTACATCTATTTAAAAATTGCATCTTTGTAGTTCTATTTCTCTAGAGCCACTCCCAGTACCAAAATATGAATCAGTGCTCACTAGAGATACAGGTTTAGTTAATAGAAGTTGGCTTTCAAGGCAGGCTTACAGTGGCCATCTGCAGAGTCAGGTGTGGAAGAGTGCAGAAGGGTGTGCATGGCAGAGAGCTGAAGGGTCCTGTTAAAAGTGAAAGGCCCTGAGCTCACGGTAGGGCCCCATGCAAATCAGTATCAGGAAGCTTAAGGGTCTGCACCAGAAGCCAGGAGGCGAATGGACAAGCCAAAGACGGACTGGAGCCCTCCCCTGAAGAGATAAGTGAGCCTTCTGCCTTCTCTCCCGTTTTTACTGTATCCAGGCTTCAAGCCTGGTTGGTACCACTGACGCCCAGGCTGGGTCTTCTGTCTTCAGTGATTCTATTCAGCCACACTCAGAGCCATGCTAATCCAATTAGTTGTGTGTTTCTTACTCAAGTTGACTCAACAGTTAACTATCACAGAATCTTAAAGGCTTTCTGCTTTAGGGGGCTCTGAATGCAGTGATGCTTTTGGCACATGGGTTTTGACAGGACGCTCACATGAGTTTGAAGAGGTGATTTCAGAAGAGAAAATAAACAGCACTTCAGTAATAATATTAATATCAGAGAACACATAATGGCAATATGTGGTGTTCTTTTTTTTTCTTATTTTGGAGGGGGGATATGTGTTCTTAGAAAAGCTTTTGGGATGCTTATAGAAGAAACAAGCTCAGAGGAAGCACTGAAAAAGCTCATCAATTAAGGCTTATTGGCTAACTATGTGTTCAGATGTTTACGTAAATGAGCACCAAAAAAATTTTAGTTTCTTTCTGCTGAGCTCTAGATTAAAAATCAAGCATTGTATTTTTACATTTTACCAGATATCAAATAAAAATAATTTTTTTCTTTTTAGGGTACACAGTATAAAGATTATGCTCAAACAGAGACCAATTTAGGTGAGTATATTATTATTATAATGTGACTTTATTGACAGACTATAAGGGGAGGTCCATCCCTCTAGTCAGATCAACATAGATATACACTTCTTAAAAATGTGTTCTTACTATTTTTTTCACTAAAATTTTTTTAATCCTGCACAGTCTCCTAAATGATGTTACTTGGTACATATACAGACAATCGAATGATCCTTTTTTTTTTTTTGAGAGAAGGTTTCATTATGACATTCAGGCTGGCCTTGAACTCATATTGTAGTGTTGTAGCTCAGGCTGGCCTCAAACTTGCACCAGTCCTCCTGCCTCGGCTTCCCCAGTGCTGGGATTATAGGTGTGCACCAGCACACCTGACTCCAGTGGTATTTTTTATTTATACTCTAATTTGAAAAGCAAAATGTAGAGAATTGGACTGAATTCCTAACAAGTTTTTGAAAATTATTTCATTCCCCCCAAAGTCTGATATTTTATTTTTTCAATCAGATTTTATTGGTGCATATACATAAAGATCACATTCATCATAGAGAATTTATACCTGTACATGATGTAACTTTTCCCTCCACTGCTCTACCTTCTCCATATACAAAAACTTTGTTTCCATAAAACCTGTCTTTGCTAAAGTACAATTTTAGCCAACATTTAAATATTCTTAGTATCTAACTGGCTAAAATATCTCATTTCTTGCCTTTTCTTATCCTTTTACCATTTCTCTATTTTTGGTTTAATTTTCTTGGTGGTACTGGGGATTGGACTCAGAGCCTTGTGCATGCTGGACAAGTACTCTACCCCTGAGCCATATACCCCAGCCCATCTCACCAGTTCTCTTTTAATAGTGTTCATTTATTCAGTGATGAGGTACCAAGACTAATACTAAACTTTTTAAAATTTTTTTTAAGAATTTGACATCTGCAATATATGGTGTAGTAAACCTGTTTCTGACCTGCACGATAACTGTGATGCCATTAAAATATATATCTTCTGGCCACTTCTTTTTAAACATCAGCATGCTTCTGTAATACCAAGATTTCATCCATGTGTGGAACCCAGGTATGTTATCTACATTATTCTCTTAAATAAACTGCAATAAGTGTTTAACATGGCGCTAAGAAATGTCCCATACGAGGAAGGTTTATGCCTTGTTCCTACCTACTGTTCAGTTTTATTTTTGTTTAATTGGGTAGAAAAATAAATGCTTGGGTTTTTAAATATAAGTGAATATTACACTGAATACATTCTGAATAATATTAAATTTTGGCTTAACACCGAGCCAGGAGGTATGTCCCCTTATAAATATCAGTATTGTAGTACAAGAAAGAGAAAAAGATACACTATTTGGTATATTCAATAGCAGAACACACTTTTATCATAAAGGGGCATGACCATGGGTATGGCAAACCTACATTTATTCTTTAGAATATTTGTATAGATAAATGTATTTATTTATTTAGAGACAGGGTCTCATTGTATAGCGCAGTTTGGCCTTGAACTCATGGAAGTCCTCCTCCCTCAGCTTCCTGAGCGCTGGGATTATAGGCATGCACCACCACATCCAGCTTGATGAATTATTACTTTTAATTCCATGAGTTTTGATCCAGGTGTGGTGGCTCATGCCCATAATCCCAGCACTCAGGAGGCTGAGGCAGGAAGATCGTTGCAAGTTCGAGACCAGCCTGGGCTGCAAAGTGAGCTCAAGGCCAGCCTGAACTGCATAGTGAGACCTTCTCTCAAAAAGACAAAAAAATAAAAAAATAAAAATTCTATGAGTTTTATTATATTAAACAATGAATGCTTAATAGGAAAAAATATTTAAAAATAAAGTATTGCAATTTAATGTTTATTGTTTATAATAAAGCATCAAAATTTTCAACATTGACTTGTTTTTGGTGTGCAAAGTCTAAAAGAGAATAATGGAAATAAATTCCTATATGAACTACAATGAAAATACCACCAGCACTCTACAAAAAAAAATCTTTACTTCAGTTATCACACCTAAGGCAATCTGCACACATGACAGGCCATTCCATACATGTGTGTCACTTACATGGACAGCATGTGTGTTTTGCTTTCCTAGTCTTTTTGTGAGATAGACTTGACATATCACTAGTCTTGTTATCCATACCAGGGATCAAACTCACGATCACACACTTGCAAGGCAAGGGCTTATGCCGCTGAGCTAAATGCCCAGCCCCTCACTAGTCTTGTTTTGTCAGAAGGTTCTTGTATTATGTAATGCGTATTTAACAAGAACATAAAATATCAATTAAAAAGTATTGTTTTTTTAAAACAAAGTATTCTTAATATGTATTGTATGTTTAGAATAAACATTGTTTTCACGTCAGCTGTGTACTTGCTCATAAAACCTAGTAGATGACATTAGAAATTAATTCCTCTATGAACTACAATGAAAATACCAATAGGACTCTATAAAACAAATCTGTATTTCAGTTGTCACACCTACACAAGAAAAAAGGATGTCAATATAATAAAATATCAAGCATAGAGTGCTTAGAATAGGTGTCAACACGTTTGCATCATCTGTGCACTTTTTTAGAAAATATGAGATAGCATCCGAAATAAAAGCCTGTGTGAAGTACAGTGTAACACAAAAGTGCACCACAGAAATAATCTTTGCACCAGAGTATTTAGCTCAGCAGCATATGCCTGCCTTGCAAGCATGGTCATGAGTTCGATCCTCAGTACAGAAAGAGAGAAAGAGACAGAGACAGAGAGAGAGAGAGAGAGAGAGAGAGAGAGAGAGAGAGAGAAAGGAAGGAAGGAAGGAAGGAAGGAAGAAAGAAAGAAAGAAAGAACAAAAGAAAGAAAGAAAAAAGAAAGAAAAGAAAAGAACCTTTGCTTCAGCTGTCACATCCAAGGCAGTCTTCACACATGACAACTGCGTGTTCTGTGCTTGCTTACACTGATAGCTTGTGTGCTTAGCTTTCCTATGCAACAGCCCATTCTTGTCACTTTTCTTCCTGTTTTGTCAGGTGCTTCCTACTATGTTCTATGACATGTACTTAGCAGGGAAATAAGATGTCAGATAAAGTATCAAGTGTGTAATGAAGGCTTAGACTAGACATTAACTCACCTCAGCTGTGTACTTGATTACAAAACCTAAGAGATAACATCAGAAATAAAAACCTTTGTGAACTACAATGAAAATACCAATAGAACTCTACAACAAAAATAACCTTCACACATAAAATTGCATGTTCCATACACAGGTATCACTTGCACTGATAGAACATGTGTTTTTTTTTTTTTTTCCTGTCTTTTCTTGTAGGGCACAGTTTACATCTTTTTGGTTTTCCTGTTGTCATAGGTAGGTAGGGCTTTGGGATACTGCCCCTACCTGTTCACCTGTCAGCTCACTGCTGTGGTCCATAGTTTTTTTTTTTTTTTGCATGTGTAATTCCCTGGGCAGAAACATTGTGTCTTTCCTCTACTGTAAATGATCTCTTATGAGTTCCTGTCCTGGTCCTGTAAGAAAATTTCTTCATGATAGTCTGCACTTGTTATTTTCTTGTAAACTATCAATCTATTTATTTATGCCACGTATTTAGGATCAAGTAAAATACAATTACTGACCAATGCTTTGTGTTTCGAGTGACGTCATAGTTTCTGAGTAACTCATTAACATAATCTACTCTGTCTTGGGTTTGTGACGTCATAGTTTCTGAGTAACTCATTAACATAATCTACTCTGTCTTGGGTTTGTTGTAGAAAGTTACCACCTCAGGCTTCTGTTTTGTCGAGGTTTCCCTTTCAATATTTCCATCATTGTGCAATGTTAAACATCAGCACCACTTTGGGTTTTTTTTTTTTTTTTGCTATATGCAAGGCCAGTGTAAATCTTTCTGAAATCCAGAGATTGTACTATACAGTTCTGTTTTGAAATCATAGCATTTCATTTGGAATTTCTGCTTTGTTCCTGCATATAGTTCCTATGCTGGTTAACCTGTGCTCTGATAACAAATGTAACATCAGTTGAAAACCACTAAACCAATTGTTGAATGTCACAATCTGATTTGGAAGATGAGAGCAACAAGTTTGCTCACAGTATCATTTGGTTTATTATTGTATGAATAAGGACCTGATGGCCCAGTTCCAGAATAAATTTCTAAGTTGAAAGGTTAGGCTTTGCATTTATAAAGGCATACATTGTTATGCTATATTTTAACCCATTTCTCTTCCATCAGTCTTTTACATTCCTGTGATTACCATAAGAAATCCCTGCTAAGTACAGCAGACCAGTGAATGCTTTCAGGTTAGCTAGTGAGATGTCATGATACATTTTTTAATTTGGCCATTGGTGCATACAGAATGTTTTACTTGTATCTCAGCCTTTGTGAATTTAACATAATCTTGTAGCATTTCATATGTTACAATTTCCAACATTGAATGGCATTGCTAGCATTCTATCTAATACATTTCACCTCTGCCAAGATCCTTACTATATTTTTGAGCCAAATTCTAACATTGGATCATTCCATTTGGTTGCATGGCCATTTTGCAACATTTCAACCAATCAAGTATGTATTCATGGCTGTTTTCTTCATCATCTGAATCAAGGAGGTTTGCCTTCTCTGTGTCTGTACCAGTTGATTCGTGCTCCATTTCACTGTCAAAGCAACATCAAGAGTCATCTTCATGCACCCACACCACTCTTGTGTTATGAAAACATGTTTGTTTGTTTGTTTGTTTGCTACCAGGGGTCGAACCGATAACCTTTTACTTGCCAGGCAGGTGCTTAGGCCACTGAGCTAAATCCCTAGTGAAAACATGTATTTTACTATAGTGGGTCATCTTTATCATCCATGCATGAGTGCTCTGATGATTCACATTTGAGCTGTTCCAAAACTTGCAAATCTGGCTTTTCAATGCCATTGTACTGAATTGGGCTATTTCTACCAGGAAAAATCAAAATAAAACTTTTAAAAAACAAACCCGAGAGTGCTGTGGATTTATTATACTCCCTGTGATGCAAGGTAAATATACACAAAAAACTGTTCCATGGAGCATCACGTGGGTGTAAGACCTGGTTTGACACATTTGCACATACCTTTTGTCACACCAAACAAATAAACACAAAGATTGCTTCCTGTGTCCCTCAGGGAAAGGTAACAAGATGCACAGCTGACTGTTATAAATAAAAATTTACAGTAGAAAACAGGAATATTTTTGTGGGACCCACTTTTATGCTCTGAGGGTAATACACAGCTAACATTGTAACAGTGAAGAAGAAAGAACTTAATGTTTTAAAGATAGTTTTCATTACTGAGTAATGTAGTTAAGCATAAAGTTCAGTGATTTCGTATATGTGAGAACCTAATCTTTTAAAAAATAAATTTGTCTTTAAGCAATTCTCATGCTTCTGAGATAAGTTTGAGGAAATTACAATGTCTTGAGTTGATGGAAGATATTGTGGATTTGGCAAAGAAAGTTTCGGTAAGTGGTAAAATACATGCTTCTTCCACCCACATATAAAAAAAATGGTGTTTGGCCTATATTACTAATTTATAGCAGTTGACATATAGTGGCTTTATGTTTGTAAAGCTGACATTATTCTGGTATCCATTGGTGTTCCCCACATTGAGGTAATTGGGTACATAGCTGATGTTGTGGTTCTGAGGTCCCGTGTTGGGGACCGGGACTGCTTCTCATCATTAAAGGATAGAAATTGAATTTATTACAAATTAAAGTGGGCATTGGTTTGTAGAAACCTTTGTAACAGGTTCTGAAAGTGGTAGGCTCTGTCTTTTGATGGAAAAGTACGCGGTCATCCACAAATACTTTGTCTTCGGGGTAAAATTTATTAGGGTAGATTTGAGAAAATATCTTTCTGCTGTGTTGAGAATCTTTGCATTTGTGCATATGTGTATTCTTAAAAACCACTTGATAATATTTCTTGTTTCAGTTAGTTAAGGAGCCAAGTACTGTTTGTGAGACTATTTGATTCACACTTAGGTGTTAGCAAGAACATTTTGGTATTTATTTTCTGCTAATGATTCTTTGCAATAGCATACCAACCAGTGTACCTTTATAAAAGGCTTAGGTGTAGTTAATCTTAAAAATTATGTATCAGGGGCTGGGGATTTAGCTCAGCGGCATAAGCGCCTGCCTTGCAAGCAGGCAGTCGTGAGTTCGATCCCTGGTACCGATAAAAACGAAAAAGGCAAAAAAAAAAAAAAAAATTATGTATCTACAAGTTACACAAAATCATTTTATTACCAGAATCCTTTGGAAGACTTTCTGAGTTCTTGTTTTGGGGTTTGTGTCTATGAAATGATCATTGTTTACTCCTGTGTACATACAGTCATGCAGTTGGGCCTTGTTTAAAAATAGGGACACAGTCTAAGGAATGCATCATTTTCTGTTTCATCACTGTGTGAAAGTCACAGAGTTTGAATCCTAGATGGGGTGGGATAGGTCAGTTATTTGATTTGCTCTCTTGATGCAGTCAAGGGACACAGGAAACACAAGTTGTGAGACTCCATAACATTCCATATTGTTTCATAGTTTTTAAAAACAAGTACACTCTAAAATGGCAATTAAGAGTATAGTTTAATAAATGCATATACCATTTATTATGATTGTCAAGTATGAACTTTACAAAGTTGAACATTATATATATATATATATATATATATATATATATATATTTTTTTTTTTTTTTTTTTTTTTTGGTACTGGGGATAGAACTCATGGCCTTACACTTGCCAGGCAGGCACTTAAGCCACTGAGCTAAATCTCTGGCCTACACACTATACTTTTATGTGGCTGGCAGTGCACTAAATTTTACATCACGAACTCAGGAACAGTGCATGGCATTGCGCTGTGATGTCAGCACAGCCTCAGTGCTGTACAGTAGGAGTTTTTTATCTTTGTTATGCAATCTCACAGGGTTGCTGCCCTATTTGTGGTTCACTAGTTAAAATGTCATTATGCTGGAAATAAACCTAAAATAAAGCGTTTGTTTTTTTTTTTTTTCATTAGAATATTCAGGTATAGGGCTGGGATGTAGCTCAGTGGCACAGCACCTGCCTGACAGGCGCAAGGCCCTGAGTTTGAGTCCTGATACCAAAAGAAAAAAAGGGTATTCAAGTATAATTGATAGAGTAAGGAACAAAATTATATGTATTGTTCTGTTTTTATTTTGCAGAGTGATTCATTCCTTATTGAAGGCTTATTGAAAATTGGTTATAAAATAGAGAATGTAAGTGGCAAACAATGGAAATCAGCACACTCACTGTGGCTAAGGAGTCATCTCACTGGTCATTTCCCATGTATCACGTCCTCAGTCCCAGTATCTCACATGTAGTATTTGTAATACTGACTTTTGTATTTTACTTCAGTAATGTCATTTTGCAGGTTTGTCTCATTTTCATTGTTTCACTCATACTTAGAGTGTCATTTTGAGCCTCTTTTAGCAAGGAATTCTTTTTTGTCTTTTAGACTATTTCCTTAACATGTATTTCCCAGAATGAAATTATTAGGTTCCTGCTGTGAGTATTTGTTGTCACACAATTGCTAGATGATCTCTTGATTCAGTAAACCATTTTTAATGCTACTTATGACATAGATGTCCACATGTTTCCTTTACACCTGATACTAAGAATACAACTCAGCTATTTAATCTCTGGACTCTAGAAGAGTAAACAGTACTCCACAGGACTCCTGACCCTTTGTGAGAATCACTGTCTTGCGCTGAGTGACCATCTGCCCACTCACACCCTTCTCTTGATGTTTAATTTATCTCCTGATACTTGCTTGCCACAGGCCATGTAAATTATGTAATTCCTGTGGGGAATTTAACCTTGGGGTAGGGACACAACTTTCATTTACATAAGGTCTGAGAATTCTAATTTATCCTACTGCACTCTCTGCCAAGTTGTAAACCTCAGCTTCTAGGTTTTTATGCATTGCAGGAGCATCCTGAGCTCTGAGGATGGCCTGAGTTCACCTAAAAATGTAGCATGTGTGTATCATTTGTATGTGTGTTGGAGTGTAGCTTGTGTGTTGGAGTGTAGCTATTCTCCATTACATGATGGAATAACATACTTACAGCATTGTATAAGTTTTGCGTTAAGAAACTGAAAATACTGTATAAGGTGTATTTATAATGCTGTGTACAAGTTTAGAATTAATACCCAAATCTTACTCTTCATTTCTCTTTTTGAAACAGAAAATGTTGGCAATGGAAGAAGCTTTAAATTGGATAAAATACACAGGGGATGTAACAATTCTACCTAAACTGGGGTCAATTGACAGTAGTTGGCCTTTGCTAAGTGTTTTCTTTACTGAATGTAAGTATAACTGCTTTAAATTGTTGACTCTATTTTTAAAGGTTTAATTTGGGAAAATGGAATGTGCATTTAATGTGATTTCTGATTTATCACAGTAATTTTTAAAAACTTTTTCTGGTAGAAAGCCTGAATAAGAGAAACTTAACCTGTTGGTTAGTTTTAGTCTCCATCTCCTGACTTAGTGATTCTTGTGACATTCTACTTTAAAAGAATCCTGCCTAATGGATGTCATAGGTTATTATACATCGTGCTCAGATTGAGTCCACAGCCAAATTCATATATTCTTACTCATAAGAAACATAGAAACTAGGGGCTGGGGATTTAGCTCAGTGGCATAAGCGCCTGCCTTGCAAGCAGGCAGTCGTTAGTTCGATCCCTGGTACCGATAACGAAAAAGACAAAAAACAAAACAAAACAAAAAAAAAGAAACATAGAAACTAAGATTATGGTTTTCATTTTCATGATGAATCTGCTATTCTTTTATATATAAAGAAATTGCCTTACATTTTTTTTTTCTTTCTTACCTGTTTTTTTCCTTAAAGCATTTGAATGTTAGTAGTATTTTTATAGTACAGCTACAGGAATCTTGAAATAAGAAACATTTGGCTCTTTAGTAGATAATGACCAATTATTGGCCATCTCCACTGAGAAAAGGAAAAATTTTGCTAATAACTTAATACTAGAGAGGATTTGCACCTGAATACATACAGATCTTTGTTTCTCCCTCTTTCCTTTTTTTTTTTTTTTTTAGAGTGAGAAAATGTGTTGGGGAATAGGAATGGCTTCCGAGAAACAGGAGGGGTCCCAAATGGGTTGCCAACAAGCCCATCTCTCAAAGGAAGTTTGTAGAACAAAATCCTGAGGCAGGTACAACATAGGTCAAAGTTATGATCAACCAATGCAATTGCAAGTAATAGTGATTCAGTCTTAGCAAGATCACTTGGAGTTTGGCAGCTTCTAGGCAGGAATAAGTAACTTTTCCAGGAAATTAAAGTGTGTGTGATCAGAACATGAGCACTAGAATGAAAGGCAGATTGGGGGAAAGTGTTCCCACAGGACTGGAATAGCAGTTGTGATCAGTTGGCTTTTAGACACCACCTGCCACCAGTGGAGGGTATCAGCTGGCAGCCTGGGTGGATACACGTCCATGACTCTAATGACACTGACCTATAGGCCATGCTAAGTTACAGCCAAATATTAAAAATCCAAAAGAGGCAAAAGGAATAAAAAATTGTTGAGTTTAAACAAAACAGCTGTAAGTATTGTAAGCAGTCACAAATTGAACAGACAGACAGACACAGGAGACGATTGTTCCCAGACCAGAGTGCACTCAGGTGTATTTGGCCAAGTTAAATAATAGTAAGTCTTTCATGGTTTTTAGGCTTGTAGCCATAAGTAGACTAGTCAGAACTTTTTGTAAGTCAGTTAACAGATTGCTTATAGTGAGAATCAGAAGGAGTAAAAATGTTTCACACCTGTGAAAGCCAAGACCTTTTGAGACAGCCCCAGGCCGAGAGTGTAGCAGACGGAATGCCCAGCTGTGCAGGCTGCTCCTTGTTGCCTTCATAGCCATGGTTGTTTGGTAGTCACAGCTGATAGCCACCTGTGACTCTTCCCTCTGAAGGGACAGACTGTTAGGGGTACTTTTTTTTTTTTTTTTTTGTCTTTTTCATTTTTATCGGTAGCAGGGATCGAACTCACGACTGCCTGCTTGCAAGGCAGGCGCTTATGCCGCTGAGCTAAATCCCCAGCCCCTTTAGGGGTACTTTTAACTCTTCTGGGGGGTGTGCAGGCCAGGTTGGGGGCAGAAAGAGAGCAGGTCGCACTCTTTGGAGCTCAGCGTGAGTTCCTCACAGTAGGGAAGAGGCTTGCCCCTGCAGATGTTACCAGCGAAAGGTTTTAGCCATTTTGAGAAGAAGCAAGGGGAAGAAGGTCTGTCCGTTATGAGGTGTCCCCTAGACCCCACCCTAGAGTGCCAGTGGGGGCAGACTGGAGGCGCAAGGAAGTGGCAGAACTGGGTCAGCACCTGGGCCCCTTCCTTGCGATCCTGTGACCCTTGGACCGTGCTTAGCTGTAGGGCTTCCTTAGCTAGAGCCTCAGTTAGCCGTGTCTCTGAGAATAGTGGCGGGGCTGGGGAGATCTTCTAGAGAGAAGTCCTGACCCTAGAGGCTGTCCTCTGGGGACGGGGTCCTGCTATTCCTTAGTACCTGTTTCCATTTAAAACTATTAAATTCACAAGGTTCTCTAGGAATGTTGTGTTCTATCAGTGAACTTAACTGTGCTATACAAGTCAGTCAGTTTGCTCTGTGCTGTAAAAACCAGTCAGCATCGTTCTTGGGTGGGGGTACTGGGAATCTAACTCAGGACTTTGTGCTTGCCAGGAAGAGCACAGGGGAGAGAGAAGTAAGAGGAGTTAATCTCTACTTCTGCCTAAGGGCTAAAAGGCAGATACATTTGGCCTAAAACTTTTACATTTATTCCTTGAGAGCTTCAGGATTAAATCTAGACCAGTTTTTAATTGCTTTTATTATACTTATTGATACATTTTAGGTATGCATAATGATTACATCCACTATAGGTATTTGTACCTGTGTAACTTGATTCTTTTTGTTCCCATTTCCCTACCCTCCCTCCATCTCCATCCCCTCTGCTTCCTCTTTACTTACAAAAGTTTCATTTCCATTTATCCTTCTCACCAGATTTTCCCTTCCTTTCCTCTGCCCCACTCCCAAATTCCCCTTTTCATTTGAACACTGTCTTCATATTTCACAATATTGATTATACATTTTAGACCACTGTTTTTAATGTGGCCTGGAGATACGTCCACTAGGAGGTGCTCTAACACTACTTTTCTCTCATGCTGTGGTTTATAATAACAAACCTGAGAAACATGCAATATCAGACACAGCACCAATAGACATAAAGTGCTATCTCCAGAGCCTCATAGACAAGTTCAGGAATGAAGTTATTAATGACCTGAAGCAAGATATAAGTAGAATAGTTAGCGAAATGGTAGCTCCGCCCAAGAAAAAACAGATGGTGGAATGGAAGAACAGAAAAAAAGGGGAGAATTGTTTGATGGAGAAAATAGAGAAAACATAGAATACGTGAAGCAGGTTCAAAGAGATTACCAGGAAACTAAAAACTCTTATCAAAAACTGGCATAACAGCTTGAAAGAAACTAAGGATAGATTATCTGAACTGGAGGGCAGATTTGTAATATGGGAGCATGAACTGAAAAACTTCTTAAAAATAACCAAAAAAAACCCAGCAACAATACAAAGGCTAGAAGATGATTAAGATGATCTATAACTTAAGAATTCAGAACATAAAAGAAGAAGTAGCGGCACAAACAAATGGACTACAAAAGCTATTCACAGAAATAATCCAGGAGAATTTCCCTAATTTAGCAAAAGGTAAAGATACTCAGATATATGAGGCATACAGGACCCCAGCCACCTACAACCCAAACAGAGCTACACCCAGGCATATAATAATCAAAATTCCAGAAATCCAATATAAGAACAGAATATTAAAAGCCATCAGAGACAAGAAACAGACCACTTACAAGGGAACACCCATCAGAATTATAGCAGACTTCTCGGCACAAACCATCAAATCACAAAGAGCGTGGGGGGAAATAATTCAAGCTTTGAAAGATAACAACCTCCAGCCAAGATTGGTATATCCTGCCCAGCTGTCCCTAGAAATTGATGGAAAAACAAGGTGCTTCCAGGATAAAGAGGAACTAGGGGAATTTGCAACCACCAATTCAACTTTACAGAGAATACTGCAGGATATTCTAAAAAAGAAAAATACCAAGATTCCAGAAATAGTGGCAGAGAGGCCACAATAAACAGAGCAGAAAGCGAAATGAAGAAGACCAACTGACAACAAACGACAGATAAAGAGCTCAACAGAAATGAGGCAGAGCAGGTTGGATGTTATGAACAGCTATTTTGGAGAAAACAAGACATAATAGCTAGTGCTGATTTAGTATCATCTTGCTTTGAAGTCCCATCAAACTTGTATTCTTCTGCCTCCATCGATCTTAAAAGGTTGTATCTTATTGGATTTTATTATATATTACTATATATGATAATATAAGCAAAAACTTTTGTAGACAAGGAGATTATACAGAAACCATTGTTCATCTTCTGTTAATTGGTTCTAAATACCCTGTAGCAATGTCATTCTCTTTAATGGTTTTATAGTGTCTTGATATGTTTGGTACTACAGTATACAAAGTTATACTCAAAGATTTCGAGGAAAGAGATACTATGGCAACTATTTTGTATGTCAGGATATCTTGTGGTTAAACATTATTTTGCTTAAATGGTTATGTTTTGACCTGTGCTGTTCTGTTGTTATGCCCTCTCTTATCTCAATCCCCCCTTTTTTTAATTATTTTATTTTTATCTTTTTAATTAAGGGAAAAATAAATAAAAAATAGCAGGATATATTATAGTAACCTCCTTTGATTTTCTATTAACTTGATTTGAAATCCTGTATTGCCCTCACCATCTTGTTTTGATTTTCCCCTATTCTGCTTTGCTTGATAGTACCAAGTTCGAAAGTATAGGCAACAACTGTGAAGACAGTAAGATTCATTATGACGCCCATTCTGGTTGACTATTATCTTCTTTTAAAGTCCCTTAATATCTCCAATGCTTTGGTTTTATTCTTTACTGTTTTGTTCAAGTTTATTATAACTGGCAATTCTTTGTAAAATAGCAAGAGGCAGTATGGTGACCATTGTTGATCACCTTGTATTTTGTTTTTACAGTATCTATTATGTCCATCCTTTTGACTTGACTGACTCTGTTCTGATATGTCGCATTTGGTTTTACTGTCTTCAAAAAAAGTAATAAGAACTGTGGGAGTAATAAAACCCAAAATGTGTAATTGTCATTGTACAAAAGAAAAGAAAAGAAGGTGCTCTAAACTGCCTATATGTTTAAGTGTATAAGACAGATAACCATATTACCGAGTTTTTTTGGATTATTGAACAAAACTGTTTACACTTTCACTGTTTGAAAGTCCACTTTATATGCTTTAATTTTGTAACTTGAACAACTATTTCTAAGATGAGAATATGTAATCTATTAACTAGTGATTTCTTACTGTTTATTTTTTAAATTTTGTATTACTTGTACCCCTTTTCTGTTCTTTTCTTTTTCTCCTTAAAAAAAAAAAAAAGAATAGCTTGGCCACAACGCGAGCTCAAGTCCAACCTGAACTGCATAACAAGACCCTGTCTCAAAAAACCACACACACACACACACAAAAAAGTAGGAAAATTTACTGGGGAAGGGGAATGGGGAACGGGAGGGGTCCTGAATGTGTTGCCCCCCACAGATCTTTCTGAGAGGTTTGTTAGACATTGGGAAGTATCATACTGATGGAAGCTGTTCTCTGTTGTTTCAGAGGCCTTTAATTATAGAATGGTTTTGTGGTGACAATAGAAAAGCAGTATCTTGTAGGCTCACCTCTGGTTCTTTCCTGTGTCCTGTCTTTGTAATAGCCCTGTGCAGTGGTTGCTATCTGTTGTAGAAGTGAGCAGACTTAAGACTTTGAGAGGCTAAGGGATGTTTCTGCTTTCTAGTGTGTAGTACGTCCTAGATGACGGATGAGAACTCTCTGATCGCAAAACCCAGATCTTCGTCCTGTGGTCTTGCTCTTTCCTTTAATATGACTTTGTGTGTTGACAGTTCCTGTTCCTTTCTTGAATGTAAAATTCTGGGCATTCTTGTCACCTTGGTTTGGCTAAAGGCTTAACAAAATTTTATTGTAATAAAATTTTTGTCAGTATTTTAAAAAATCTTTTTTATGTAAAAATGCAAAAAATGAGGCTCAATTTTTGACATAAAGTTTGGGTACTTGTATAAAAATAGTATTTTACCCTGATTGACATGTTTTGAAATTTTTAGTCTTTATTTTTCTTCATTTTTAAATTTTTCTCCTTGAAATAAAATGGATTGACAGGGGGAGAAAAAAATAGTATTTCAAGTAAGTTCTCCCTAACATTTCATATGTAAAGTGACATACTGAATAAAGGCATTTATGGTGCTTTATTTGTTATAAATAGATTTTAGAAGATAGTTTTCTGAAACGTAGTAACAGGATTCTGCGGTAGGACTGTCATGTCACACCTGCCTGGCCCATGTAGTGCCATGACCCGTGTGGGGCATGGGGTCCTGAGTGGGGCGACAGGAGATTAAGAAAAAACTGTAGACACACAGTGATAGGAAAGCCGGGGTCAGGCTGGACCTGGCCTCTCTGATGCAGAGGCAGTGACACTGTCCCAGCCCTAGCGTCTTCACTTACACAAAGTGCAAAAAGGAAAGCGCCCGGGATCCAGAGCGCAGGGTCTTAGCACTTACTGAGAACACTGAGAGCAGAATACTGTACCGTAGGTGAGGAGGACGCCTGCCGCTGAGCAGCTGAGCTGGGGTCCGCTTGTGTGCACCGTCAGCCTCTTGACCTGCCACGTGCTCAGGAAGGGCTTAGCTCTGTCTCAAAGAATTTGCCAACCTCGGGCTCAGCTGCGGTTCAGCTGCTCCCCACCACATAGCAAGTTCAAGACCTGCCTGGACTACAAAGCAAGGTCCTCTGTCTCCAACTCCAAAAGCAAGGGAGGAGTGGAAGAAGAGAAGGAGGGGAGAGAAAAAGGGAGAGGAGAAGGAGGGGGAAGGAAGGGAAGGGAAGGGGAAAGAAAGAAAAGGAAGAAAAATAGTTTTCCAGGCTTCTGTTTTCTACATCTTTATCCTCTTTTGTGTCTGTGCATTGTAAGGACTTGTTAATGCTTGTGGAAGTGACTTGAGCAGGGCCAGGGATACAGCTCAGTGGCACAGCACCTGCCTGGCAAGCACAAGGTCCCGAGTTCAAGTCCCAGGACAAAAAAAAAAATAAGTGACTTGAATAGTTACGAGGCCTATTTGAATGGGATGTGATATGACAGAGCATTTGTCCTGCATTGCTACCATAATAAGTTAATAATAAAGTGAATTTTAATTGCTGAAAGTAAAAAATAGAGTTCACAGCAAACAGTAAATCTAATCTGTAACACTTTATCCGTTACTTATTTTTAAAATATATTTAATGTTAAAAAGATTGCAAGAAGCATAGGTATAATGATGAAATTAAGTTTGGGGGCTCGCTTGTTTGATTTAAGAATTAGGATATCATCAATATTATTTCTTTTTAACAAATATTCTCTCTTACTCTCTCCTAAAAATAGACAAGTATCACATAACTAAAGCTGTAACAGAAAACTGCAATTTACTTGAAGAATTTAAAACTCAAAGTTGTGCTGATTGTATAGAGGTGAGGATATTTACTTGTAAATATATTTTAAGATTTGCTTGTTAGAGATTTTAGAAATCAGAGGATTATTAACAGTTAGTTAATAAGATGGGTGCATGACAGCATGCCAGGAACTACTGTAAAGCTGAATAATATGTTCTAGGGAAAACTTTAGTAAATTTAGAGGTTTTTTAAAGAAGAAAAAGCCACATTTTCTAATTAAAAGTTCATTGAAAATTAAAATTCGATTTTTTTACAACCTCAGGCTTTTCATTAGTTGAGGAAATATGATTTACTCAGATAACTGTATTGAGATACAGTTCACATGCTATGCAGTTTACTCAGAGAAATGGTTATTTTAACTCAATTTTTTTTGAGGCAGGGTGTCACTATGCAGTTCAGGTTGATTTTAATCTCACTTTGTAGCCCAATATGGCTTCAAAATCCAGTGATCCTCCTGCATAAGCTTCCCAAGTGCTGGGACTACAGGTGTGTGCTATCACGCCTGGGTGTTAACTCGATTTTTAAAAAGATTTAGGAAAACATTTGATACTCTGGAATTCCCTTACTAAAGCCATTGTTATCGATCCTTTTTATTTTAAATAAGTAATTCCTTTTTTTTCTTTTTGGAGGCAGGGTCTCACTATGAAGTCCAACTGGCCTTAAACTCATTTTATAGCCCACACTGGCCTTGAACTCACATCCATCCTCCTGCGTCAGCCTCCTGAGTGCTGGGATTAGAGGCCGGGTATTGTACCACCACACCTGGCATTAATTCATTTTTAAAGATTGAGGTTTGAAGTAAAAGTTTCGATTATATCCGTGGCATCTTTCATACGTCTTCTTGCAGACCTGCTATGTCACTGCAGCTGATGAGCATTGCCTGTGTGGTACTGACTATGTGTTTAAGCACTACAGCTCTTTGAATATCACATTTGCTAGCCTAAGGTTAAAATTCCACCTTGCAGCTAGGTGTGGCGGTGCACACCTGTAATCCTAGCACTCTAGAAGGCTGAAGCAAGGGGGTCACAAATTCAAACCCAGCCTGGATAGTTTGGATCCTGTCTCAGAAAAGGCTAGGGATATAGCGCAATGGGAAAGCCTTAAGTTTAATCCATAGTGTGTGTGGGAGTCTGTTTTGTGTCTCAGTTTCAGTTTGTTAAAGTGTACCCTACCTCCTGTAGAGGTAGGGTATACTTAAGAATATGCCTGCCTAGGCCAGGTGTGGTGGTACACAATTGTAATCCCAGCACTCAGGAGACTGAGGCAGGAGGATCACTGAGTTTGAGGCCAGACTGGACTACAAAGTGAGTTCAAGACCATTCTGAACTACACAGTGAAACCCTGTCTCAAAAAACAAAAGAAACAAAAAGAATGTGCCTGCCTAATATTGCACACCTAAGGAAAAAAATTTCAGTAATGTGCTGGTTTTGCTTACTTTTTAATATTATCAAAGTTAGTATTGAGTTATTAGAGGAAAAATATTAAATATACTGTCAGCCCTCAGTATCTGAGGGGCATTGGTTCTAGGATCCCTCTGGTACCATAAATCCACAAGGGTTCCTGTCCTATATGAAAATTTACATAGTAGATGCTGAGAAATCCATGTACATTCCCTGTACCATTGGTTCTCTATATTAATTATTGCCCATTGCAACAAAAATGCCATGTGAGTAGCTGTGGTACCCTTTAGGAGGCAATGGCAAGGGAAAAGAATATGTGTTTAGCACAGACCCTTGTTCTCCAAATAGTTTTGATCTGTGCTTGCTTGAACCTGCAGATGTAAAGTCCCCGTGGATACAGCGAGCTGACCGTATATACCAAAATATTAGGTGCTGCATTCTTGTGTTCTACATAAATAATCCCCTAGGCCAGTGGTGGTGAACCAAGAGCATTGCTTCTCTTTTAATGCAAAAGATGTTAATGTAGGAGTTATTTTTTACAAAACTCAGTATTCAGGTTTAATTGCAGTGTTGGCACTTTGTGATCCATAAGTGGGTTTTGGGTTGCAGTTTGGACAGTCACCTTTAGAAGGTTCACTACCCCTGTCTTCAATTATTTTCTGAAATCAAGGATAGAAATCAAGCCATTTTTCCTAAGTCTGGAGTTCTTGATTGTCTTTGGAGCTGACTGGTGTGTTATCTCTCACCCTGGTTTCTCAGCAAGGAGAACTCATGAAAATGAAAGGAAATGAAGAATTTTCCAAAGAAAGATTCGATATAGCTATTATCTATTACACCAGAGCCATTGAATATAGGTAAGTGTCAGACAGAAAATGGAATCCTTTTAAGATGGCAGATGGCATTGGTCAAAAGAAATAAGAGCAAGATGAGGAATTACAGAATGCCTTCCAGCTTGCTGTGCAGAATGGTTTTCTCATCTTCAGGCAGTGGTACTCTTGGAGGTAGCCTGAGTCTGTGAAACCAGGTTAGCAGTATAATTTAAGCAGGACAGGCAGAATCGTGTTTCCGTTTCACGGAACCTGCTCCGTTTCCTTCGCAGTTTTCCAGCACAAGCATCTACTCTGGCTGTCTCATTTCGTCATCAGCTAATCCCTTCCAAAGAATTAAAGGATCAAAAGGATTATTTCTTAATACTTAAAATGCCACCAGTTCAGGAGTTTTTGCTTTCTTGGTAGGAAATTTAAAAGGAAAATGGTTGAAGTTAAGGAAATTCAAGGAAATGCCTCTACTCCAGTTTACAGCTTAGCTGTTGATGTTCTGCAGCCGGCCTGGTGTGCTTGCTCTGGCCCTGGGGATGCTCTGGGTGGCGCCATGCAGCTAAGCAGCCTCTGGCGGATGCAGTGCAGGCTCTGCTCCCCTCCCTCGCTTGGCTCCTCAGGGAATGAGGAAGCCCAGGTAGCATGCAGCGAGAGTGCTGCTCTGGCCTGCTAGGAAGAGGTGGAGAAAAGAGAATTAGTGTGGATCACTCACAGCTGGACAGAGCTAAAAGGAACAAAATTTGAAATACAGCTGTTCACATTGCTGTTAGAATTTGCAGGCTTTTGAGTCCCTTGTTGAGGTGGCTCAGTCCTGCCTTACCCTTGTAATCCTCTCCTCTGCAGTTAGGGCACACTTTGCAATTGGCTCACCTTCAGTATGTCTCGCTGGATCCTCAGTAGCCCTGGGAGCTGGACAGAGCCGTAACTACGGGATAGTCTGGGTTCGTATGGGTGGGGCTACTGACAAATTGAGGCACTGAGACAGCCAGTTAAGACTGCACATCATATGTATTCTTTATGTTCTGCCACGCAGATGGAAGCTTTAAAGTTTTTTTAATTCTCTATGTTTTTAGTTCTCTCCTTGTTTCATATATACTGTGCTTTACTGACTAAACCTTTCTTCTCTTTAAGACCTGACAACCACTTCCTTTATGGTAACCGAGCTCTTTGCTTTCTTCGTACTGGACAGTTAAGGTAAGTTGGCTGACATACCCCCGTCACTGAGTTACTGTGCTAAATACGCTTTCTGGGGAGCCACTCTGTTTACAGATATGTAAGGAAATCCACGAATGGTTCTTTGGTTAAACAAGCACTGGAGGCCTTACAGACGATAGCTGTGACCCAGCAGCTGAGTGAGTGTGACCATATCATGCGTTACCTTTAATATTCATGTGTGTCTCACGAAGCCTTAATGAGGTGGTCGCGTTATTCTCTACATTTTACCTGGGAACCAGTTCATTTTAGTAACAGCGATGCCAAGTGTTTCTATCATTTGTATCATTTATACATTCTTGTGCTCTATTTATCTGTATAGTTGTGGAAGAATCGTTTGTGTTGCATTTTTCTGGATATGAAAAATTAAGTATGGGGAAAGGGGTGTAGTTCAGTCGTAGAGCACTTGCCTGGCATGAGCAAGGCCCTAAACACAATCCCCAGACCCCACCCTATACCCCACACCCATTTAAGAAAATTAAGAAATTAAGAAAATATCCTTCATGAGCGAAATGGTGTTACTGTGAATGTAGAATTTAATCAGTTCTTGGTTCCAGATGTTGAATAAATAATTTCAGCTGAATTCTTATTTGCTAGTTTAGAAAGATTAAGAAAGATGATAGCATGATTTTATTGCCTTTGTTTTAAAACTTTACAACACAGATTATGAGTGTTATATTTAACTGTATCCCACCTGGGTTCCAGAAAGCAGCCACACAGTAGAAGAGTATTAATACAGCAGGCCACAAACAAAGTTAGACCTGGTGTCCTTAGAAGCAGGCTGCATGGTCATACTCGGAAGATTCCTAATTCTCACTGTGCTCCGAGAAGCAGAAGACCTTGAGGATGCTGAAAGTGTTTGTCATGAAAGAAATGTTTTGTGTAGCTTACTGTAATGTTAACAGAGGAGGGAAGAATCCCAACAACATTGCCATCCATCAGAAAGCATCTTTGAAAATGCAGTTTTGGGTTTCACAAATAAGTCTTGTGAAGTCACAAAAACTGAGTCCCTCTTCTCAGTTGTTTTTCAGTCAAAGCACTGGGGAAGGTAGCGTATTTCAGGTATGTAGCTTTAAAAAATAACATGTTTTAAAATTATGAACAGGACACATAATCATGATAGAAAATTTGAAGCCTATTAGAAAATTTGAAGCATATCAGAGCTTAAAAAGCAGAAAATAGGTCAGGGGATATATCTCAGTGGCACTGGGGATGTATCTCAGTGCCTGGCAAGTGTGTCCTGAGTTCAATTCCTCGTACCAAAAAAAAAAAAAAAAAAAAAAAAAAAGAGGAAATGAAAATCACCAGTAATCCAACCGTTTGTATTAATGTTAAGCAGCTTTTAGCTGGCTTTGGCCATGGGTAGCGTGAGGCTGTGTAGAGTGGAGGAGTGGGTGGGCTTTACAGCTGAGTCTGAAGAAAATGAGCCACAGGGTCTTCATGCCTCAGGCTGGGTCCCGAATCCCAGATCATCTGTGCTGTTGGGAGGTGCAGCTGTGTGACCGTGGGATGAACAGGTCTGCCGCCTTGCTAGCCTCTTGGGCAAATTGAGGCTCCTCTCTGGATCTGGAACCCTGCCAGCCAGAAGGTCACCCTTTCTCCAGCTTTGAGAGCAAAGAGGCAATCCAGGGTGATTCTGCTCTTTCTTAAGTGCCAAATGCCAGTATGTAAGGAGGAACTACCTAAAGCTTGAGGCTGCAGGAGGAGGATGAAAGCAGAGGCCAGGTAGCCTGGCGAGGTCAAGGCAAGGACCCAGGGAGATGAGCGTCCCGCTGGCCGCGTGTGTGGCCAACACCGTGTGTTCTGCCCAGAGCGGGTCAGTAGCATCGGGAACCCTTCGTTCTTTACCAGAGACCAGCATACATTGGACACCTGTTTAATACGCAAAGCTTGCCTCATTGATATTGCTGGTGTTTCCTGCCTGCTCACACATTTATACAGTTGGCTGAGTAAGATAAGGGTTGTTTTCAGCATCCTGTAAACATAGCATGGATAGGGGCCCGGGATTTAACTCAGGGGTGTAAGTGCCTGCTTGGCAAGCGCAGGTCGTGAGCTCGATCCATGGTACCAAAAAAAGAAAAAAAATTGTCACGCATTATAGTATGGATGAATCCTAAGTCGTAGATGATACAACTTCAGAACATATTGCCAGAAGTTGAGCTATGTCACCAGTACAAGAGGGCCCATGCCCTGAATGGGACTTTTAGCTGAGATTCAGTTGACAAGCTTTGACACTTATGCATCAGAGGGATGCTGGGTCTGTGGGAATCTGGCTGGCTCCTAGGGGAAGAGTATCTTCTGTCCCCCAATTTGGGCAAGACTGTACTCCTCTGCTGTTCCACAAGATCAGGCTTCCTGTGCGCTGTTGTCAAAGCCAGGATTGAGCTGCAAGAGAGCAGAAGTGGGATATTTTTAAATAATACTGAAAAAGAGGAATACAGGATTCAAGTCACAAGTGTCAGAACGTCTGAAATAATCCCTGAAATGTTGGAAAATATAAGTTAAAATGGTACACCAGCATTCAGTTTTAAAAATAGCTTTGGAGGGCCAGGGATACGGCTCAGCTGGCAAGGGTGAGGTTGTGGAGTTTGATCCCTGGTAGCAAAAGGAAAAAAAAAAGCTTTGGCAGTTTTATCGTTTCTCCAAAATGATAAAGATTTACTGTCATAGAACACGGCTGGTTCTGTTTGATACTTCACAAGTATTTGGTCCTAAAGCTCTTACATTCGTGTAAGGTAGGTGATGCTGCCTCTTTACAGGTGAGAGGGGTGAGGCTTAGGGAGGAGGAGCGGCATGTCCAGGGACACAGGGTGGACGTCACGGAGCCAGGACTCAAGCCCAGACAGCATGGATGCAGAATCACTGCTACTGATCCCAGCGAAGGTGATGATTGGATAAAAGGAGAATGTGAAAGTTGAAATAGTAAACTAAATGATCCATGTATAATCAGTAAGCCTTTATGAGGACGTGATTATCCTTGCGTGACATACAGATTAAAAACTACAAGTTTCTCTTTCATATCCATCAGATTGGCAAAAACTTAAAAACCTCATAATACCAAGCGTTTGAGAGGATGTGGAACAAAGGAATCTTTCCTACTCAGCTGGACGGAGTCTGAGTTGGCACCGTCACTTGGGAGAGCAGTCTGAGGAGGTGAAGATGTGCATACTCTGCAGCCCACGGCTAGGTTCATTTCTTCCAGAGCCTGCAGGGCACCCAGGAAGATGCGGATGACCCTTCCTATCGCACTGTTTGTGAGAGGGAGGAAACAGGAACCAGCTAGCTGCCCACCAGTAGGAGACTGGATGATAAATACGTTATGGTATATTCATGTAATGGAATTCTAAATGACAAAATGAATGCAGTGCTGAGTGAAAAAGCAAGTTGCAGAATGATTTGTATCCCGAGGCGCCATTTATGTATCATTTGAAAACATGCAATGCAATATGCATATCCATTATTAATCTCGAGTATGTAAAGTGTTTCTGAAATGCATGGGCTTCTTAACACCAGGTTTGTGGCTGTCTCTGGAGAGAGGAGGCCGGAGAAGCCTTCTGAAATGTGAGGGGTGATGCACAGTGGATATCAACTGTAGCAGACTTCTGTGAAAAGGGCCGAAGTACATATGGCAAAATGTTAATTTCACGCTACACGGTTGGTACCTAGTACACAGGAGTTTGTTGTATTTATGGTATTTTCTACTCCATTGGGTACACTTGAAATATTTGATAAAAAGTAAGACAGTGTAATTGAAAATGCACACAAGAGGTGGGAACTCCAAATCAGTAATTGATCTCTAAATATCAGGGTTTTATGGTAAGTACAAAATGAACTTGAGATGAAAGAAAGAAAAGTGCATTAAGACCAATTGGCAGAGGCCATGGGCAGTTGGTAAGCAAACGCTTCATTTCAAAATGGTCAGGGTGGCTGTGGTGGTGGCTTGAATTCTGAATGCCCAGTTTGTAAATCAGTGACCACCTTGAGTGGACATGTGAGGCCAAGAGCCGTTGGAACCCCTCTGGGTCTGGTTGCTGTGCTTGGGAAGCCCAGAGCCCAGATGGGGTTGAGGGAGAGAGGATGGGTGGTGGGGACCAGCACTGCTGCTCCCCGGGGCTGCAGTTGTCCCCTCAGGATTGGGAGTGTCTTCAGGGACTCCAAGCACACCTGGCTCAGATGAGATTTCCTTTTACCCAAAGCACACTTTTCTATACCATTTGACGGCTGCAGGGCATGGTTAGGGTGGTAGCTGTAACTGAAGTAACCAGCAGCTTTCAGAGGAGACTCCTGGAGAGGGAGCCAGGCACGTAGCAAACCCATCGTGCAGCTGTGGACCATTCCTGTGGGACTCAACTGTGGAGGATTCCAATTCCTCTGGGCATGAAGTGAGCAGCACAGTGGGAAATGGAAGCTTTGACAGGACAAGCTTAGCCTCACATGCTTTTAAATGTACTTTGGAAAGTCGTGGAACTTTGAAGTTGATTTTTACTTGACTTTTTGGTATTTTATTTATCCATAATACAGTATTTCCTCCCATCCAATACCAGTTGTGCTTCATAGCAGACAGAAGGACTTGAAATGAATCCATTGGGTTGTTTTCCAAATGTTTTTTGAGACCAGAGGTGGAAAGGAACTTAACCATGTTTTTATGAGAATTTCAGAAACTCTTTTGGTCTGTGTGTGTTGGTTTGGTGAATTATTTCTCTGCTCTCTTACTTCCATGGTCTCTATATTTAGAAATCACAAATTTATGAAGAAAAGATTTTTAGTTTTCTTGGGGATGCACCCTCTTCTTAAAAAGCAGGGGAAAAAATGCCTATGGTAGAAAATCCTGAGTAGACGGGGGTACACTGTAGACTGCTGCCCAGCTCAGACCACTTCCTGCCAGCTGGCTTCAGACCTTCATGAATCTTCATGATGTCTTGTGCCTATAAAAACTTACTATGTTAAGCCAGAAAAAAATCACTATCTTCGTAAGTCAGAATGTAGGCAGTGTCATTGGTTCCATTAGTGTTCGTGCTTTCTATGTGAGACAGTTCTGTGTGTGCTTATGTCAGTCATACTAACTTAGAGTTGAGTCTTGGAGCTTGGTATAGAGATCTGTCTTGGTCTTTTTCGTGGCTACACAGTATGTATTTTACTGAATCTATCAGTTTGTTTCAGTGCATGGTTTACATATACAAAATCTGCCCAAAAAACAGATACATGGTTCAGGAAAAGAAAATATTTTAATATTAAATCTATTGAGACATAGTGAGATTACTACAAGTCATTCTTGCTGCAATTGCAAGAGGTGCTCAGAGTGGTGGCTGTTAGCTTCTCGACATTTATTAGTACTGTGAACTACTGCTTGTGTGACGTTGGGCATTGAGATTGCTGCACCTGTATTTTCAGTTTTTTCTGTAAGGGTCTGCAGTGTAGTGGGTTTTCTGTCCCATATGACATCCTCTAGGATCCCCCATGCGAGGGGAACATATCCTGTTGAAAAAACATCATACTACTTTTCTCTAAGGGTGTATACACTTTTTTGGCCAATTTTACACATAGTTTGTGTTAGTAAATAGATTATATATGATTGCAGATTTATTAGGGTTTAGATAAACAGTTTTAAAAAGTTAGGTGCAGCCCTCTGATGATAAATTTCTCACATATGTTCTATATTTAGGTACACATATATCCATAAGATAAGTCCTAATAAAATTATTTTTCTTAATTGAGTAAAAGGACATATAAAATTTTAAGACCAGACACCAGTTTTTTAATTTAAAAGGTATATGCTTATTCGGTTTATGCTTATTAGTCACTGTATTTTTCAGTGACCAGAATCCTGCTTTTTTAGTTTAGTGGTAAGATTAAGAAACTTGGGATATTTTTATTGTTGTCATTGTTGATCTGGTCAGACCCTAAAAGTAAGGATTTATAGTAGTAAGTAAGGAGAAAACTAACCCTCAAACGGCTTTCAGAATTCTTAGAGTTTGCATACTGTGGTCTCAGAACATCAATAAATAGCATCTGCTTCCCTGTCTGAGGCCAGAATCATTATAGAGATGGGTGCAGAAGGCAGGCCACTGGTGATCACTTGTATAGGCATTGCAGCCAGATGCCTTATGCCCAGTGGCTAAGAGGCTGGGCAGGCAGCTAGGGCAACTGGGCCAGTGAACGTTAAGCCTGGAAGAAGAGGGATTGGTGTTCTGTTGGTGTTAGAGATCCCAGCGTGAGCACAGCAGGCAAAGCTAGCTATGCCTTGTGCCCCTGCCCACCACACACGTTAGATAAGTAGCTGTCCTCTTTGGAAAAGTTAGTGATGGGAGGGACAGGTGTGCTCCCAAGTAATTACCAGAACTACACAGAAACCAGAAGGAGGATAGATACTCTTTCCTACCATGTTTAGGCCAGGTGATGTAGGTGCTCCGGAAGGACACCTAGGGTTAGGATGCTTTAGGCTCGTCAGCTGGTTTAAACGGCGATGAAAACTTAGATGCAAAAGTTCTAGAAGAAGGTGGCTCTGTAATTACACATCAAGTGGCTCATCATTGTCATTCGAGACCCAAGCTTTTCTAGCCCCGAGTGTGGCTTGCTCAGCAGGTGTCACTCAGGGTGGCCCCTGTGGCTCACTCATCAAACTAGGCATTCCAGCTTTTCCTTGAAATCTTTAAAAAGGGTCCTGCACACATCCAGGAAAGTAAGGGAAGCCTAAGGTGTATTGGTTGGATCTTCAGAAATCAGACAACTGAGCCCAGCACTCACTCATAGCCCCAGGACCTGAGCAGTGCCCTTGGTTCCCCCTTCCAGCCCTACATACTTCCTCCACCGGGACAACTGCTGTGCCAGCTCCCCTAGGTCAGTTTTGCCTGTTTTTGTGCAACGTAAGTGAAATCATATGCTACGTGCTCTGCTGTGTTTGGCTTTCAGTGTTAGTTTTTAGATTCATGTTGTTGCATGAATATACCACACGTTATCCTTGCTCTTTTTTGATCGCTGTTTTGGCGGGATTTGGCTTTTTCAGATAGATGTAAATGTATGTGTCCGTTTCTGTGGCATTTAATCAAGGAGTGGAGTTGTTGGGGGCAGGGTGTGCTTGTTATGGTCAACATTAGTGCATAGTTTTCCCTGTGTTTATGGCTTTGTATGATCTTACTAGTAGCATGTAAGCTTCAGCTCTACCTCATCAGCCCTTGGTACTTTGTAGCTTTCGTTTCAGACTTCCTGATAGATGTGTAGTAGTATAGCCCTGTGATTTAAATTTGTTTTTCTGTAATTTGATTAAAGATATTTAAATGGCATTTTTCATATGCTTATCCACTTACTTGAATATTCTCTTGTGCTGTGCCTTTTGGTCTTTGGCCTTTCTTTTCCCTCCTGAGTTGAATGTCTATTTATTTGTAATTTTGTTCTTTGATTTGAGTTCTGGATGTGAGTTATTGATCAGACGTGTAGGTGCATACACGTCTCACACTCAGTGGCTTGCTTTTTCATTCTTACTTTCTTTTCACCAAGAAGATGCTAATTTCTTTCTTTCTTTCTTTCTTTCTTTTTTTTTTTTTGGTCTTTTTGAGACAGGGTCTCACTATGCAGTTCAGACTGGCCTTAAGCTCACTTTGTAGCCCATGCTGGTCTCGAACACACAAAGATCCTCTTGCCTCAGCCTTCTGAGTGCTGGGATTACAGGCAAGAGCCACCATACTCGGCTGCTAATTTCAATATAATACAATATTACCAATTTTTTCCTTCATGGTAAGCACCTTTTGTATTCTGTTCTTAACTGGTGCTTATTCTAAGGCCACCAACATTTCCTATATTTCTTCTAGAAGGTTGACTGTTTAACTTTGATCTGCAGGTTTCTGGAATTAGTTTCTGTATTTAGTGAGGTAGGGTTCCAGATTCTTAGGAATGTTCCTGTGGCCAGCATCATTGTTTAAGAGAGTGTATTTTTTTGGTTTCTCTATTCTTTTCCTTTGGTCAAGTTGTCTGTGAAGCTTTTTCATAGGTGCTGATATCTGGTAGTGTAAGTTACCTAGTTTTGCTCTTCCTCACTATCTCATTCTAAGAGTGATGAATTTATATTTGTGTGGCTGTGACATGAAGAACGAGTGAATTTGAACTGTGTAGACAGGAAGATAAAAAACAGTGGGTAAGGCAGTGCATGAAGCAGGAATGTTGACCGAGTAAGATGGTATATGTGGAGTGACAGGAGAGCGCTGACCGCCTGAATTAGAGGTCAAAGAGTTGGATCAGTTTGGAATGGTGCTTGGCTGTAGCAGAAACATGGCAGCGACGGAGTGAGTCGGGGTGTAGGAGGTCATCGGCGAGGAAAACCAGGAGACTGAGAAAACTGGGTGGGGATCTTTAAAAGTATACTTCCTAACATGGTGTCTCATTTAGTGCCTACTTCCAGACAATCGGATCAGAATTAATTTCCTCATTTTACAAGTGACAGTGGGCCCAGAGAAGCAAATGACTTCCAGAGGACCCCAGGAGAATTGTGATGGAGTTGGTTTTGCACAGGCCACATCCTGTGTTTTGTTCAGTGGGGCTTAGCAGATGTGTGAGAAATCCATCAGGTGTTTCTGGAGGTCAGCCGCCACATTAAAAGGTACTGTTAGTGCAGAAAAATGCAGAAGGACTAAAGTCACACCCGTATAAGATGCCCATTAGGTACATGCCGGTAGATACCTCCGCAGTACCGAGAGTACTTATCTCTGTGATTGCGACTTGGAGTTACTTTTTCCCTTTCCCTTTTCTGTGTTTTCCGAGCTTCCTATAATAGACGTACATTATAGAGATCTTTCAGAATTAAATTGCTTTTTGACCCAATGATGTACTTGGGAAATTCAGAATATACAAATAGCAATGTAACATACAGTATTTCTGCAGTGAATAAAGGTGTTTAAATATTTTACTTCTTGGTTTTTTTTTTTTAGAAATGCACTTGGTGATGGAAAAAGAGCCACAATTCTGAAGTGCTCCTGGCCCAAGGTATGTTTCTGCCATACAGTATTTTACACTGAGCAAATTAACACTGTACAACTTTGTGAAAATCATTTTATAGGATGTGTATTTGTATATTAAGATGCTGGGTGAAATTGTGCAGAGTGTAAGAACTGGAAGGGGAAATCTTTGAGGTCTGCTGTAGGTACAAGGACTCAGCCCCAGCTGGGCATGGGGGCCGGCTCGCAAGCCCATGTGTGCAGGGAGCCTGCGGAAGGTGTGCGAAGCTGCAGGGCCCCTGAGCATCTGCACAGACAGTGGAATGGTCCTGCATGGGAGAAATGAACTTAAAATCTTACAGTGTCTGCGTAACCTTGAGGTAGCAAAAGATTACTTTCTTTTCTTTTTTACTTCTTGTGATTGAGTGTAGGGCCACTGGCCTGCAAGCTTAGGCTCTACCACTAGGTTATGACTCCAGACCCAAGGTTTTTTCACATGAGATTCAGTACACAAATCTACAGTGTGGAAAAAAAAAATCTACCTTGATGTAATTGATAATCATAGCTAAAACTTCTGTGTGTCAGAAGACATGAATGGAGCAAGAGACTTAAGGAAACCATTGGTAATTGATAGGGTTTAGATCCAGGATACACAGAGAACCTCTCAAATAAATAAGAAGCCCAGTGTAAAATAAATTAAGGCACTGAATCAGCATTTCACAGAAGAATAATCTGAATGTCTGTAGAAATAAGAAACTGTTCTAATTCCTAGTAATTAAAGTGAAAGGAGATCAATACAAAGACAGAAAAATGACGTTAGAGGAGAACAGGGGCCTCCAGATACCCCCGTGCTTGAGTCAGTAAGCAGTGTGATGCTGTCGGGCTCTTCAGGTTAGCAGGAATCGGGAGCCGGGTCCTGAGCGTGGGTCCTGAGTGTGTGGGGACAGGGACCTCAGTAAACTGCTAGGGTGTGGAGCATTCACGATCAACTCACACGAGTACACCCTGGAGAAGCACACGAGTCAGTCTGTGTGCATCCTACAGTATTGACTCCCTTCCCCACACACGTGCCTGGAACAGTGCTCGCGTACACACATGATGCAGTGTGCAGGGTCGGCCACGGTAGCATTCACTCAGTTAAGTACGTATGTGCTCAGATGCCTGAATGGCTGCAGACACAGCGCCGATAGCGTTTTCATGTTGTGACCTTTCTTTTTTCCATCCTCACTCTTGTGCTCTCCCTGGTTCAGCACTGCTCCCCGGCGTCCTCCCTGCTCCAGGCCCGCTGCACTTTGTGGTTGCTCTTCCTCTCCCTCCAGTGTGTTCCTGGAGCCCCCTTACTCACTTCCCTCCTGTGCTTTCCTTTGTTCCCCCTTGCTTTGAGGTGGTGGTGGTGGTGGTGTGGTGTGTGACAGTTCAAAGCCATTCCAGGCCGCGGCCTGGCTCGTAGCAGGCACTCAGGAATGATACTCATTGACTTTGTGAATGAATAATCAGATACTAGGTGGCAGTTGAAATTAGCTGACTGGCTTGTTGACATTTACTGATCTTTAAAACAGTATTAAATGAAAAAAAGAATCAGTAAAAACATACAGTAGCTTATAATAGTGTTTCTTCTGGGCTAGGGAAGGAGATTGTCCCCATCCCGTGTGGTTTTCTTTCTTTTACTTAAAAGAGCTTCTGAAGAAAATGTGACACACTTAAAAGTGTAATTCTGTACATAAATCCCTGTACTTTACTAGATCATAAAAATACCCTCATTTTTTAAAAAAGTGGAGCTAAATAAGACACCAAAAGACATGTGCTTGGTGCTTTTTAACACCAAGATCAGCAGCAGACTTACAGCAGTTTAGGGCTTTAGCAAATTTTGTCTCATTTATTACATCTCTGTTGATAGACTTCATCGAATTAATTATAGAATTTAGTTTTATTTTCAATATGTTTAAAAGATAAAATTTTCCTTTTATCAGTACCATATGATTAAGAAGAGAAAGTACAAAAGAGCACAGACTTAAAGGGAAAAGTCAGCCTGGGGCCTTTTTATAAGACAAATTTCTTTATATTGGCATCCAGCTTTAGAATCATTTTTAAAATGCTTCATAGAACATTGAGTTCTGGAGAGGTACAGTGAGTTTTGCAAGGTGTCATTGCAAGTGAAAGGTGAAACTCAAGTGGGAACTTAGCACTGGATGGTAGCTATGTTCAAGGATGAGGAGTTTGTTAGTGTTCTCCTCTTGGGTCATTCCTCACTTGGCATTTGGACAGTACCCTGCACATATTTGTAGAATCGATGCATGACAGAATTCTGAATACCAAAATCCAGATTAGAATACTGGTTTTCCAGACATATTCTTGTAAATTTTAATCTTCTATCAAGTTTTTAAAAGAGTGGGCTCGATGTAGTTGTACACACCTGTAATCCCAGCACTCAAGAGGCTGAGGCAGGAGGATTAATGTGAGTTGAAGGCCAGCCTAGGTTACACAGTGAGTTCAAACCCAGCCTGACTATATAGCAAGACCCTGTCTCAAAAGTAAAATAGATATAAATAAAGGGTCTTGAAACTTTCTGAATTATTTTGACAGCTTTTAGAGAACATTTGTTGCTGGCTTAGTTTGTCAAACAAAATATTCACTCCTATTTCTTAATTGGGATGTTTCATGATGTCATGATTACAGAACTACACACACACACACACACACGTGCGCATGCACATGCACACGTGTCTGAACTCAGCTGATGACCCCAGAGGACACTTAGGCGTGAGCTTTCTGGGTAGCTGTACCTGTTTGGTCCTGGGCCCATGAACTTAAGCCAGCTTGGTCCTCGTGACTCCCCTCACTGACTGCGGGAACCTGCCAGCCTCTGCCTGCCTCCTCTCTGTGCTAAGGCTTGGAAGCTCTGCAGGGTACTCCAGGTGTCAGGAGCAGGGCTCTACCCTCTAAGGAGAACTAGGGTTTAGTGCAATGCCTACACTTAAACCAAGCCTACACTGTCCAGATTAAAAGGCCCTTGAATGAGTGCTTAGCTTCACAATGTACCCTGCACCCACATAAGCACGTCCCGTGATGCTCTTGGTACAAGCTGATCTTTCCTAAAAGCGGCATTTAGTTTTGATGTAGTACTTGCTCCTGAACTGTCAGTGAATTGGAATGTGTTTTGTAACACATGTAGTACAGAAGAAAGGGATCTGGCGCCGCTGTCGCCAGGTCAGGTGCAGTGGTTTGCCCTGAGTTCCAGCTTCGTTGACAGTGTATCATCTCTGTAGTGGAGACGCTGTGCCTCAGATGGGAGTTTGGTTTGTGAGTAGCTAGGAGAAGGGTTAGCTGAGCTAGCTCCAGGTTTGGTATTGCTAGCTTTCTCCATCTAAAAGTTTATGTATTGTTTTGTTTTGTGGCAAGGTCTTGTTACATAGTTATATAGCTGGCTTTGAACTCACTATGAAACAGGCTGGCCTCTAACTCACGGTGATCCTCCTGCCTCAGCCTCCCGATTGCTGGGATTACAGGCCTGTACCACCATACCTTGCTCAAAAGTTCATATTTGATATAAAGGATTTCCCAAATCTTGGAGTCAGCAAGGATTTTGGTTCAGTAGCAGAAAAACATGACAAGACAAAATCTTTACCTTTGCAATTCAGTAAAACTAATGATTTTCAGATATTTTTAAAGCCAGGAACTACATGTAGAGATAAAATTATTAAAAACTGATTGAAGGGGTGAAGGGTAGCCTCACTGCACCCCTTATTTGTGCCTGTGCTCCTCAGAAGTGTGGGGAAACTGCTTCATAGACTGATCACTGCTTCCAGCTTTCAGACCATCTCAGTGTCCTAATGTAGGCCAGTGGTGGCGAACCCAGGGCACAAGAGCCATAGTGGGCTGTGTGTGTCCTCAAAGGCTGCCTAGGTTTCACCATTACTGGTGTGGGGTGTGCCGTAACTTAGAGACTATGACTGTGTGTTTTGAAAAATTAAGTCACTTACGGACAATGCATAATTTTTATATTGTATTTGGCACAAAATTGTATTTTATACTTTCTTAGTGAACTATAGCAAAAGTTAAATTCTTTGTGGGGAGTATCAAAAGTTTTAAGCCTCTAGATAATTTGTTTCCTAAGGTATTAACATTTTCTTACTTATTTCCCATGGATGGGGCCCTAATCTAACCTTTTAAGGGGTTCATTTTCAAACAATAGAGTTTTCCTTATCTATTTTCTTTAACTGAAGTAGACTTTTGAGGAAAAAATTAAACTTATCTTTCTGGAATAGGGTCATTATCGTTACTGTACTGCTCTTTCTCTGCTGGGAGAATATGACTGGGCCCTGCAAGCAAACCTAAAAGCTCAAAAGCTCTGTAAGAATGACCCTGAGGGGATCAAGGATCTCATTCAGCAGCATATAAAGTTACAAAAGCAGATAGAAGACCTACAAGGTATTTGCCTAAGATTCTTTGGGGTGTGGTTGAATTCTCTTGAACGGAGCAGAAGGTGGATTTCTTGAATTAATGGCCGGCAGTGAATCAGCCCTCGGACATGGTTTGTTCTTGGTTTTATTTCCTTGGTCCGTCCAGTCACTGCAGTGTCCCATTTCTCTCTGTGTAGAATTCTGTTAGGACTGTGCTCCCTTAGATAATGCGAAATGATTGTAGTTTTTGTTTGAAACAGATAGCAACCAGTTTATCATTTATTCTTCTGTAGACAGTTACCATTTTCAGAAACTTTGAATAAATGGTTTTTTGAAAGAAATTATTTTAATTTTTCCATGATTAATTTCTAAAGAAGAGACTTTGAAGTAGAGTGGTTGGCGATGGTGCACCAAGTTTTGCTAATTCTGTGGAATAGTGAACATCTGCATGCATATACGCAGATACCAAACCTACCACCAGGGGAGGAGTCAGGTTCATTCTACACCTCCTTCCTTCTCCAGCCTGAGAGTTTCTTACTCAGCACTGTTAGAGTCTCTCCTGCGGCTCTCTCCTCGGGGTACGTAGTCTCCGTAGAGCCGAGCTGAGCTCCTCTATGTCACTAGCAGTGTCACGTAGCACAACCTGGCTCCAAGGCTGTGAGCTCCATCAGGGCCAGTAGCACCCTTACCCAGATGTCATAGTGCTCTCATCTTGCAGCCAACACGTGCAGCGGCTGTCAGACAGGTACAGAATTGTAAAATTAGGTTTATTTTTCAGCTTTCTAAATTTGATGTTCTTAACTACAGCTTAAGGGAAGTTTAAGTGTCTTGAAGTCTGTATTGCTAATCCATTGATTAGTGTGTGTGTGATTGACTTTTATAGGTCGAACACCAAATAAGAACCCAATTAAAGCTTTTTATGAAAGCAGGTGAGTTAATATCAGGTCAGTAGCTGCTACTTGGAATGCCTTTGCCCGATAAATTTAAAAACCACTTTAGGAGCTAATGACTACTGCAGTAAAGTTGAGGAGGGGAGGAAGGGGAGATTTTATGACCTGTGAGGGTTACTTTTCAATGTCAGCAGGATGAGTAGCCTGAGCCTGGGGGAGAGAGGCTGAGGCGCTGGAGTAGCCGGTGCTTAGTGACATCCACTGGGCCTGGTGGTGCTAACAGAGGGAGCTGTGCCTCACATGCCTGCTTCTGCCCTGGACATCAGCCTCAGACCCCCAGTGTCTCTCAGAGGCTACAGCAGACTTGGTGATGCTCTCAAGAAAGCAAGTAAAATACCATTAGCATACCTCACAGAACCAGAGAAAACATTCCTAAAATTCATCTGGTCAATAAGAGCAAGGCAGGAGGCATCATAATCCCTGACTTGAAATTATACTGCAAAGCTACTGTGATAAAATCAGCAGGGTACTGGCAAAAAAATAGACCTGAGAATCAATGGAACAAATTAAAAGATACAGACACAACTACAAAGACACTCAGCCATTTTATATTTGACAAAGGGGCCAAACATGTTCACTGCAAGAAGGATAGTCTCTTTAATAAATGTTGCTGGAAAACAGGCTCTCTACATACTGAAGATCCATGCCTATTGTCATGCACTAAACCAAAATCAAAATGGATCAAAGATCTAAATATTAAAACAAACACTACCTCTACTGGAAGAGAAAGGTAGAAATCTCAAAGACACAGGTGTAAATAGGGATTTCATGAACAAAACCCAGACTTCATGGGAAATGTTTGAAAGAATCAACAACTGGGCTCCCATCTTATTAAAAAGCTTTTACACAGCAAAAGAAACCACCAACAGAGTGAAGAGACAACCCACAGAGTGAGAAAAAGTTTAGCCAGCTGTTCCTCAGAAAAAGAACTTCTATCTAAACCATACAAAAAAAATTGAAAAAAATCAGACCCCCTCCCAGATTCAAAGACTCAATCCAAAAATGGGTATCTGAGATTAATATGTACTTCTCAGGTGAAGAAATAGAAATTGTAAATAAATATGTGAAAAAATGTTCAGTATCACTGATCACTTGAGAGATTCAAATTAAAACAACACTGAGATTCCACCTCACACCAGAAAGAATGGCTACCATCAAGAAATCAACCAATAACAAATGCTGGAGGATCTGTGAGGAAAAAAGAATCCTGCTCCACTGTTGGTGGGAATGTAGACTGGTGCAACCATTGTGGAAATCAGTGTGGGGATTCCTCAGAAAACTAGGATTAGAGGTCCAATTCAACCCTGCTATTCCCCTTCTGGGTATCTTCCCAGAAGAATCAAAAACATCACACCACAATGATATATGTGCACCCATGTTTATAGCAGCACATCCAAATCTTGGAAACAATCCCAAAGCCCGTCAACTAAGGAATGGATAAAAAGATGTGATATAAAAATACCATTGTAAAAGTACAGTGGAGTACCACTCAACCATAAAGAATGATGAACTTCAGACTTTTATAGGTAAATGATTGCAACTTGAGACCACACTCATAAGTGAAATAAATCAGTGTGTGTCAACATTGTGTCATCTCCCCAATGTGAGAAGCTGAAAGAGTATAAGGTGTGAAGTGTACAGTAGATATTGTAAAATGGGAAGAAATTGTTCACAAGGAAAAAGAAACTAGAATGGCGAAGGGGAAAAGGAAGGAAGGGAGAAGGGAAAAATACAAATCAGCTATAGTATTCGTGTCTCTTAGTTCATTGAAAAGGAAGGTTTGTGCTAATATTGATTGGAGAAATTTTTGTGCTCATATCTTGTAACATGAGCAGCTGCTTTAAAGGTAATGTGTAATAACTATTGTTATTCTCTATTATTTTGTTATGAAATTTTGGTTTTTTTTTTTTTTTTTTAGCTCACTTTGTAGCCCAGCCTGGCCTCAAACTTGCAGGAATCCTCCTGCTTCAGCTTCCCAAGTACTGTGAGACAGTCTTGCTATGTATGTAGCCCAGACTGGCCTAAAACTCACAGTGATCCTTCTGCCTCAGCCCCCTGAGTGCTGGGGTGACTCCGTGCTAGCCTACAACTTGTTCATTAGAACTAATCTGTAAAAGTGCTTACTGTTAGAAATACACTGACCATTTCTTTCATCCCCTCAGGGCCCATTTGACTAGGAATCTACCGGCACCTGCTTTTAGTACATCACTGAGCTTTGTGGAGAAGGGAAGAGACTGCGGAAAAGCAAACCAGAAAATGGCGTACGGAGGCAGTGAAAACATACGGGTAAGTTCCGGTAAAAATGGGCACCATTTCAAGTACAAGGCCCTCCAGTTTTCAGAGTTTTGTTTTGTTTTTTGAGGCAAGGTCTTGCTATGTAGTGCAGGCTGGCTTTGAACTCAGTGATCCTGCTGCCTCAGCCTCCCGAGTGCTGGGATCACGGGCATGAACCACCACAGCCAGCAGTATCCACATGTTTGTAAAATACTTCTGCAGAGTACAGTTCTACTGTTTAGTTTGAGTGCCCTCTATCTGCATGCCCTAGCAGCCTCTTAAGGATAAGTGACAATGGTGGCCGAGTCACCCCTGGCCCTCATCATGTTTTCAATTGTGTTTGCCTCCCTTCCTTCTCCAGTCAGCGTGGCTGCCTGGCAGGGCGCTCGTCCACTGCCCCTGAGGGAGGTGCCCACCTCCACCCAGGATGCTGCTGCAGCCTCTGTTGCTCCGGGTGGCACTGGCTCAGCCCTGGGTTTGCTGACAGCTGTGCTCGGAAGTCCCAATCCGGTGTTTCCATGGTCCCTGAGCCTCCAGGCTTGTGATGGACATCCTGTAGAGAGGGGTCTGAGTTCTTTTCTGACCCATGGTACGCACGAAGCTTAGCAGCTGTCACAAGGGCCACCTTTGTATTTCTCTTCCAGGTTTGAGAAAAGAGAAAAAAAGTGGTATTTTGGCATGGGGTGGGTGATAGGCGTTTAAGCTGAGTCTTTATTTTTTAAAGGACTGCATAGTCCTTTTCTGAATAGTATGGAAAATCTCCAGGAGGTGGCTTTCTGTTAGGGAGAACCATTGTATTCATGCAGGACAGACACTGGGTGAACGGCCACCGGCTTGGGTTCCCTTCCGAGCATCACCAGGAGCACTGCTGTTCACAGACTTGTTGTTTATCTTGATTTCTTGTCATTAGTTATCGTTTTGTTGGCTTGTCTGTACATTGAGGCTCCGTGACCACCTGCACTTTTAAGGACCACCTGCGTGAACCTAGCTTGTTCTATTCTAAAGTCTGTTCTGTTATGTAGCTGTTGAATTCTTCCTGCCTGTACAGTTTTAAAGATCTCACTAGTTTTATTTTTGTGAGCAGGAATATGAGTATTTCAGATTCGATGATTGTGACTGCCAGTCTGAATTTATACAAACACCAAGTGAGTATTTTTCAGTGTTGTCCAAAGTGTTATGCTCTCATGCTGGCGCAGGCCTCTCTTTGCTTTGCTCTCGCTCTGCTTTTATTGTATAATGTTTCTGTGTTGACGAGCCTCCCACCAGAATAATGAAACACCAGACGGTGCTCGGCACATCCCCTCCACTTCCACTGCCCTGACCCGGCCGCTCTCCCCACTCCGCAGCTTTGAGTGTGCCGTTCCCCTGCATCTGTAAACACTTCCCGTACCTTGCCTTTGCAGCCTTTGCCACCGATGGCCCTCTGCCTTGATATTTCCAGCCATTCTAGAGACCCTCAGCAAGCTCGCGGGTTCTCTTACCATCTAGGATTCTTACCTGTTCCTCAAAACTAAACACTAACTAAACACCAACACTGAGTCCTCACTGGTGCTTTCCCAGCTGCTCCCTCCAAGTGCTTTCTGCCTTTCATGAGTTACAAGAGAATGCACTAACTGGAAGTAACATGCTGATAATGACACACTACGGTCTTTGTAACCATAATTGTTTTTATTTACTGGAGCAATTGATCCTTTCTTGCCATTAAGTGACCTGAGAGTACGAGCTGTTGCCTGTATCTCTGTATCTGCTATGTGCCTAAATACTTTTATTGTTGGAATTTATCCTTCCTTTTCTTTTTTTGGCTTTTTTGAGTCTCCCTATGTAGTTCAGGCTGGCCTTGAGCTTACTAAGCCCAGGCTGGCCTTGAACTCACAATGATCCTCCTGCCACAGCTTCCCAAGGGCTGGGTTACAGGGAACACCCCCATATCTGGCTTATAGTTTGTCTTTATAATAATTTCATAGCACACACAAAATAAATAACCATCATCACTATCTGCTTTTTTGGCTTTTCTGATTATGATTGCACTTACACGCAATATTTCTTTCTAGCTTTCTTATTCCCATATACTTGTATTTTTACTCTCAGGTACAGATTTTTATGTTCATATTTCAGGAACAAATTCTTTTTATTGACAGGTCATCCTCCAAGACATAGAGGAAGACATAGATCCAGAAACAATGACTCAGACAAAGTCAAGTATGTTTTTCTCTAATTTTATAGGAATGTTGATTGAGATTACATAGGGTTTAATTTCGGGGAAATCAGCAGGTTAATAGTTCTCTTTGGGAACTTCTGTGACTCCATTTACTGAATATTTTAAGTGACCTTCAATGAATATATTTTTTCTTTAGGATTTTTTTTAAAAAGTGATTTAAAATATGTGCTTTTCTTTTTCAGCTCTAATTCAGAAGTAGCTTTGTCAATAGATTGGAAAAAGCTGTTAGAGAGAGAGTTTTCTAAAACTTCCAGAGCTGCTCAACAGGTAACGAAAAAAGCTTTCTCAGTAGAAAAAGAAAACTCTTTGAACAAGTTGTTTTGCCAAATAAAGGTCTAGTCATGGTTTAAGAAACCAAACTATCATTAATTTAAGTATTAACTTGATAATGGTTAGTCAAATGAATGGCTTAACAAATGAATGATAGAGACCATAAAATTGGTTCCCAAAGATTTAACAGTAATATTAACTTTTAAGTATTTTTGCAAAGACTTAAGTGTGCAGGTTCATTATATGTACTCTAAAATCATTAAAGAGCAAACTTTTTATTTTTTGAATGATTAAACATAACCAGATAAACTGTATATAGATAAAATACTGTGTCTATAAATCTTTAAATGGTGCTTATTGATGAAAATGTATATTCACATAGAAACAAGGGTACTCGTTTCAAAATATGTGTTGTCATTTAAAAATTCAGTTAATTATTTTAGGTCTACATATCTTACAAATGATTGGACCAAGTTTCTGTAACTATTTGCATAAAAGCATTTTTAGAATATGTGATTATTGGATATATTTGAATTGTATGTTCTTATATTGATTTTACTAACTCTAAAAACCCAAAGGACTTAATAGAAAAGATACTCTGTTGGAGATAAAAGATTATTGTGACAGTTATTTTTGTACCTCTATCTATTCACGCTACACATTTTTATTGGGAGCCCCCTTGCCCCAGTGCCAAGAACTGGAAGGCTGATGTTACTGGGATTCAAGTCAGCCTCCCCCAACAGTTGATCCCCTGGATGTTGGTCTAACAGTGCAGAAATAATTCTCAGAGAAACCGTGGATCTGTTGTCTAAAACAGGAAAGAGATTAAACTTGAATCAGCTCGTGTAAGGCTAATAGTATTTTGGGGTTAACCTACAATGTGCTGAATTCTCAAGCGCATATCTGAACTGTGACAGTAGCTATATGTGGTGAAGACTGTAACAGATACCAGGCTTGTGTGAGAGCTGCCATCTGTGCCTGTCTTTGGGAGGGGCCAGTTCTAACCTCTGATTGATTGGCTAGAAACTGTAGGAAGCTTTGGTCAATGTGTCACCAACCGCCTTCATTTTCTAGATCTTCGTTGTTAGGATCAGGGAGGAATAGAATAGTCAGATTTGATTTGCTGCCTTAGTCACAGCATGCACACATGTAGCAGAGAATAAGGCTGTTGCAGCTCTGTGTTTGGCTCCCAACTATGTAACTCTGTGACTCTGTGACTGCCATGTAACTAAAATCTGAACAAATAGTATTGCTTGTGTACAAATATATTCAAATATAATACAAAATGTTTCTCACTTTATTTAAAGGTAAAGTAGAATAATTTGGGCTTTTTTTCCTTTTGTTTTTGTAGTACTGTGATTTGAACTCAGGATCTCATGCATGGTAGGCAAGGACTATACCACTGAGCTACATCCCAGCCTTTTAAGAATTCCATTTTGAGGCAGGCTTTTGCTAATTGGCCCAACTGGCCTTGAACTTGGAATACTCAGCCTTCCAAGTGACTCTATTTTTAATATTATGTTTTTCTTTTTGCATTTAACCTATTGATGTCTTCCCCCCAAATTTTGTCTTTGTTTAAATACCTGGTAAACAGGAGTAACGATTGGAATAATCTGTTTCTTGCTTTTAATTAAGGTTTGTTTCAGGGCAGGGTGGCAGTTGTTAAACTTTAACAATAATCAGTACATAGACTGCATGTTATTCTGTGTCTGATTTTTCTAGTTCCAGCCAGATAATTACTTAAATGATGACTGGTGTCCTCCATATATGTTTTCAAAAACTTCAAAATACTGTCTCTTCAGTCTGAAAATGCAAACAAGGCTTAGCACCACATAGAATAAAATGGAGAAACCTTTTTTGTTCCCCTAGGCAGTGGCTGACATGTAGAGATGAAGACGGTAACATAGTGGTTTTTATTTTCATTGTAAGGTTTCATTCTGAAATAAGAGTATATAGGTAGGTTGGGGTATTTGTTAAAATACTTAGTCACTTACAAAATACCACTGATGATCTTAGTGCCCTAAGTTTTAAACTAAAAGATACAGGGTTGGAGTACTGAGGTAGAATTTTCCTTTGCAGGACTTTACTAACATTTTGAAAATGCTGAGAAGCTTGATTCAAGACGGTTACACGGCCTTGCTGGACCACCGCTGCCGCTGTGCCGCACAGTCCTTCTCAGAGTTGCTGAATAGCCTGGATCCCCAAAAAATAAAGGTAAGACAGCCAGGTTGTGATTAACACACCAATACTAGGACATTTCAGACACTAGTTAGAGCAAATCAAGGTTTCTGCTTGTGGTACCCGGTGTTTCCCCTTGTGGGACTGAGCAGGCCTCCTCCATGTTGTATCAGTTACACTCAGAATCTAACCCCGGGTTACACTCACTCTGTGACGGTCACTGGGTTTCATTACAACCTCCTGGCCTGATTGAAGGGAAAGTGCTGAAGCGGGAACTTGGACTCACAATAGTTACATCTTTCTACATGCAGGCAGGCGTGAGCTATGCTCACTGATACGCACAAGAATATGGCTCTAATTAACAGTTGTTCTGCTGTGCTGTGAACTATGCCTGAAGGAACTTTGACACATTGATTCTGTGTATTAAATACTTGATAGCCACAGAACAGCTTGTATTTGCAAAATATATTTTCTAACCCTATTTAATCTTTAATTCAGTCATATTGATTGAGTGAGATGTTATCATACTTCTTTTGCACTGTCGTGTTTTTAACTAAAGCATTTTTACTGACAGCAATTGAACCTGGCTATGATTAACTACGTATTAGTAGTCTACGGCCTTGCTATGTCTCTCCTTGGAATAGGACGACCTGAGGTAAGACTGGAAATAGATAATACACAATTAAAATGTGATGTGTAGCTGATGTGTTTGTAGGTACAGTCGTGGTAAATTTAGAAACTTAAGACTGAGAGAAAGGACGGGTTGGAAAGCCCAGCCTTGTGATCCTACTTACATATAGGTTCATACAGAACAGTTGTATGTATGGTTTGTAGACATCTATGCATCTTGCAAAATTTTTAAAAAGCACGGATTATTCTTAATCAGATTACAATGTATGTTCCACTTAGTGGTGGAAGAAGGGAATAGAATGGATGTGGAAAGGAGAGTTCGCTTTGTATGATGCAGTTTCATTAGAAAAGCAAAAGTAAAAGTGCTCTTGTTAATACTCTTAGTTCTGGGCTGTGAGCACGTGGCTATTGATTATTTCTGTAGGGCAGGCTTCCCATAGCTGTGCATCAGTTGGCTGTAGGTAAGAGCTTAGATGTCTCCGCCTTTGCTGGAATGCCTACTAACCTGCATTGTTTAGCTTTATAAGTTCTGTTTCCCATGTTAGTATGTGTTCTGTAAATGTTTTGGGGTGCTCTCATGTTCCTTCTGACAATGTGGGCTCTAAGTTACCTTGGTTAAAAGAAAGCTTAGGGCTGAAGATGTAGCTCAGTGGCACAACACCTGCCTAGCAAATGCAAGGTCCTGAGTTCAATTCCTGGGACCAAAAATAAGTGAATAAAGAAAAGAAAGCTTAGCCCTCAATTCCTACATAGTTAAGATAAAAGTTGCCTTTGTATTCTACTCACTCCTAGCAGTCTACAGTTCCTGAGGTTCATTTTCTTTGTTCTTGATATAACAGATGGAATGTCTTCCATTCATACCTAATTCTGCTTTCTAAGACATTGTTTGAAGTGGTATTTCATTATTTTAATTCTGTTTTGACAGCATAATAAACACTGTTTTGTCTTATCAGAATTGATGAGTTTATTGTATTTGCTATAGTATAGCAAATTTGCTACTGTATTTGCTATAGTTTTATAGTCACTATAAAATAATGACTGATTCTTAAATTATTTTTATTGGTACATTTTAGATATACATAATAACGTTCATCATTGGGAATTTGTACCTATACATGGTATATTTTACTTCTTCTGAGACTGATTTTTCAAAAAATATGCAGGTATGGTAGAACTTACAAATTTTTACTAGGTTTTTATCAGAGTAGTTCCTAAAGAAGCCACACATATGAGCCAGTACAGTCCTGGGTTCAGGTGTTTTTGTAAGGCCTCTTTTGGAAACATCCTCAGAGCTGCTTACAAGCTCCATTCCGAGCTGGCCGTCCCGTTTTTACCAGCAATAGGGTTACCAGTGTTTCTTAGAAGAGTATCTTTTGGATTTTCTCCAGAAATAAAATTTTTCAAAGCACTGAGATTTCCTACTCTTGAGAATGTTCAAGAGAATGTACTCTCGGCTCTGCCAAGTCTTTACTAAGGGCTGTTTTTAAAACAGAGCTGTGTTTATCATTTACCAAACACTGTGGCAATATCGTTGGAATTCCAATCTTCCCAAGATACAGAGTAGGATATATGTTATGGTCTGTTTGTGCCTGTAAGTTTTGTTTTTTTGTTTTTTTTAAGACCATGACTTCATGTCTTTTAATATTAGCCAGCACACACAAGGTCCCTGATGTGTACTAGTAAATGCTCAAATGGTCGGTGGTTAAACATTTTCAGAAGGGTTGGTTTGGTTGTACCCATGTGACTGAGTGACCATATAGTCAGGAATTGATACAATTTCTTTAAAAATGAAACGCAGAGCCAGGTATGGTGGTGCACACCTGTAATCTAAGCCCTTGGGAGGCGGAGGAGGCAGCAGGGTCACCCCAAGTTCAAGACCAGCCTAGACTACAGAGTGAGTCTAAGGCCAGCTTGAACTACATGGAGAGATCCTGTCTCAAAACAAAGAAATGCAGAAGATACAGTTTTCCATAACAATTTGCACAAAAATAATTAACTTTCAGATAAATTTGTTTTAGCATTTTTTAGAATAAGTAATGGTTGTTTTTCTGCTATTGAAGGAATTATCTGAAGCTGAAAACCAGTTTAAGAGAATTCTTGAATTCTATCCCAATGAGGGACTTGATTCCTTGGCCTACTGTGGAATTGGAAAAGTATATTTGAAGAAAAACAGGTTAGTAGAAATGACACTAAATTCCAAATTGATAATTCACTTGAAGTCTGGTGTGATAATAATCCATATTCTGGAATTACTGTGTTATCTTATGTGTGGCACACTATTCTAATTGTGATTTTTTTTGAGGCACTGGCATCTCAGTCTCAATAATATTAGTAAGGCAAAGCCAATCAGTATATCCCTGGTACTTCCTAATTTTGAATCTTAGAAAAAAGGCAGTACTAATTTTACATGAAGAATTACTATCCTTTAGTATATGTTATCTAATAAATGGTGACTGAATTCATAAAATCAATGCTTTAAAAATTTGATTGTATAATATTTGGGGTTAAGTATTATTTTTAAAAATCTATATAAAATTCTTTTAGTAAAAGCCACATGTATGTTCAAAAACACTGATTTAGGCATAAAAATCTCTTTGTGAACTTGTGGTTGGAATCTTTATTCCGAGTTTATGTCAGGAATATACTGTCTCATGTGTCTTGCTCTTTTCCACGTATTGACTGTGTGACCCCTAGGGCACTGAATTGTGTCCTGACCTTTAGAGAAGAAACTTCTCTCCCTGCCAATTGCATTGCATATAGCTGTCACTATGTCTGGTGACTTTATAAAGCAATGATTATAACTGATTGTCATTCATAACTTTTAATTATTCTTAATCTTCATCTTTGTAGATGAAGTTTTATGAGATACTTGTGCACTCAGGCTTAGAGCATGATGACAGCCTCCTTCATAGACTTTTAAAGATTAAAGAGAACTCTTTCATTTCATGATATTATTGCCTGGCTAGGCTGTACTGTTTTAAGGATCAGGTAGATGCAGGAAAAGTGAGAACTCAGAAGTCTCTTTTATTACAATAGCAAAGAAATATTAAAAGTGTAACTAAATTGTTTAGGATATATGTATTTAATATAGTGATCACTTATAGATATAATCAAGGCCTAGGAAAGTAATAGAATATATAAAATTATAGACATCGTGATAAACTGGAGTCTTTGCCATGTTAAGGGAATTCCAGTCTAATTTCTAGACAACATGGTGAGTACTAGATGTCTAACATGCTGTGTTAAGCATTGTAACGTACAATTTCTAGCTCAAAGTGCTGCTATTCACAACTTTCTAAGGATTGATAGTGATTTTAACTTTCCTTCAGGTGACTACTCCTATAGGTAAAAATACATTTTTAAATTAGCGAATTATTTCAGGATTGGAGAAAGCATGAAGTCTTTCTGTCTGAAAAGAAGAATAAAGACTTGATTAGTCGTGTACTCTAGGAGTGTTCTTTGTTGTACAGCCAGAGTCTGGGACACAGTACAGCCGGAGTCTGGGGCAAAGCCGTGTTTAGTTCATGGCTCTGAAAGCAAACAGCAATAACGTCTTACTGTTTTTAGAAAAAATATAACTTGTAATGAATATTCCTATTCAGTAATTTAGCAAGTGTGCTTTTCCTATAAGCTTGAAGTCTTGTAACTGTCGGTAAACGAAACTATGTCATATCTTTAATGTATTTTTTCTGCCTAATAGGTTTCAGGAAGCTCTCACTCACTTTGAGAAAGCAAGAACCCTGATTTACCGTCTCCCTGGAGTGTTAAGTTGGCCCACAAGCAATGTGGTTATTGAAGAGTCTCGGCCAGAGAAGATAAAGGTAACTGTCTATTTCTTCAAGCATTTCTTGCAAGCTATAGAAGTCCGTCTGCACCGACAGACTCAGGTATTGGAAAACAGAGGTAGTGGTGCCCTGCCCACAGCTCCACGGTGGGCATTTCTCCTTCAGAGACTGATGCTGGTCACTGACATGTGTCATGTGTTTCCCATGTACCAGTCACATGCCTTCCATTTATCACTGTTCCATAGCAGCCTCTGAGGTGGGTACTGCGACCATTCACATCAGACAGATGGGGACCACTGAGCTGAAAGATGAGCTCAGGGTTAAACAGCAAGGACGTGGCAGAGCTGGAGTTTGAGACCAGGCATTCTGGCTGTACCAGTTACTACAGAAAGGTACAGTGTCATTGTTTTATTAGTCAGTATTGCTACTGAGATACACTTAAAGCCTTGTAAAACTGAATTTAATGTGAAGATGCTTTATTTAACCTGGAAAGTCTAACTTGTGTGTGAGTGGATTACATTAGGCCTTTACTTCTCCTTGTGATGAACTCTGGCCTGTACTCAATACTTGCTGTAGGCTGAAGCTTTTAAAATAGCGGAGGTCTGCTTTTGTAACTTAGTGGTAAAATGGTAAATAGCTTAATTAAAAGTAGGCAAGAATTTAAAGAGATTTCTGCAAAGGAAATATAGGGATAGCACAGTGTTATTCAGCATCGGGGAAATGCAAATAAAAACTACAGTGAAACACCACTTGTTCCCTGCCCTTGGGGTTGGGGTAGACAGTCAGCGGTGTAAGGATCAGGGAAAGGAGAACCCTCATCCATTGCTGGTTATAAGGGAGACAGTGCAGGGCCTTTGAGGAAGTAGTTTTTCCTTGTGAAACAGAGATACCCTGTGACCCAGAGGTTCTACTCCTAAATACATATAAAAAAAGAAAACACGTTCTCACAGAAACTTGCACATAAATGTTCAGAGCAGTACAATTCAGAATAGCCAAAAAAGAGAAAACAACCCACCTGAGCATTGAATGATGAATGTATATGAAAGAACTAGGACATGCCGCAACATGAATGAACCTTGAAACTTTTACAGGGGGCCAGGGAGGTAGCTCAGCGATTTGTGCTTGCCTGATAAGCACAAGGTCATGAGTTCAATCCTCAGTACCAAAAAAAAAGACACTATTATAAGAAGCTGCAAACAATGGCCAATTGTATGATTCTGTATATGGGAAATCTCCAGTAGGCAAATCTAAAGACAGGAAGTAGCTTAAGCCACTAGCCAGTGTGGTGATGCACACCTGTAATCCCAGAGAGGCTAAGGTGGGAGAATTGCCAAAAGTTCAAGCCCAGCCTGGACTACATAGCAAGACCATGTCTCAAAAAAAGTGAAAACAAAACAAAACAAAATGTAAAGGGGGGGGGCATAGCAAAACATCAGGGTTGTCCTAAGAATTATTCAGCTTTATTTGCCTAATGCAAATAAAGGAGATTTCTAAGAACTATAAATTTTAACATGAGGTTTACTGGTTATAACCTCAAGTGATTTTGATTTTCTGAAACTCTATATAAACGGAATTTTGTTCAGTGTTCTCTCAGCACACCTCTGTATCAGCTTCCTTGCTGAAGGAAAAACATCGAAGTCATATACATTGGTAACTAACTAAAAAAATTTGCTGAATTTTAAAAAATGTTTTGGTGGCTAGAAACTATTAGAGTCACAAGTATTTTCACTGACAAATTGGTATCCTTTGATCATTTTGTTTTAGATGATTTTAGAGAAATTTGTGGAAGAATGCAAGTTCCCTCCAGTGCCAGATGCAGTTTGTTCCTATGCGAAGTGCCTTGGAGTTTCCAAAATCCAGATATATGTGACTGATCCGGACTTCAAGGTAAGTGGTGAATAGAGAGTGGAGCACAGACTTGCAAACCAGTGCTGGAAAAAAGCACTGGGCTGGGACAATTAAAGAAAAAAAATAGGAGCTGGGGATTTAGCTCAGTGGCATAAGCACCTGCCTTGCAAGCACACAGTTGAGAGTTCGATCCCCAGTATCATAAATAAATAAATAAATGCAAACAAACCTGGGCCAGCATGGTGACCTGTGAGGCCTGGTTAACTAATTCTTGTCCCCTTCCGCCTGCTGTTGCACACAACTGCTTTCTCCTTAGGAACACAGAAAACAGAATCAGATTGTTACCTATGATTTTTTGTAATTCTAGTATCTTGTCAGATTTGAATCCAAAAATCTAAAGGCCACTGATAGTGTGTTAGCTCATAAAGACAACCTGAAACCAAGTCTGCCACTTAACTGAGTAATTATGCTGTTAGTCTGTTCTAATGTGAGAAGCTGAAAGAGAATATAAAATCCAAAATGCACAATAGATATTGTAAAATGGGAAGCAGCTGTTCAGAAGGAAAGAGAAACTGGGATGGGGGAATGGAGAAAAGAAGGAAGGGAAAAGGAAAAAAAATATATTTATATATGATAGTTAAGATGGTTAGCCAGGCATGGTGGCTCACGCCTGTAATCCCAGCACTCTGGAGGCTGAGGCAGGAGGATCGTTGCAAGTTCAAAACCAGTTTGGGCTACAAAGTGAGCTCTCTATGCCTGAACTGTATAGTGAGACCCTGTCTCAAAAAGAAGGGCCCGGGATTTAGCTCAGCTGCATGAATGCCTACCTGGCAAGCGCAAGGTCGTGAGTTCAATCCCTGGTACAAAAAAAAAAAAAAAGAACTTTTTATAGAAAGACAAAGAAGAAAAGATGGTTATAGTATTAATTTCTCTTGGTTCATTGAAAAGAAATGGTTGTATTAATGTAATTCGGACAATTAAGCACCTGTGTTTTGTTCTCTAAATTCTCTAAGATGCAGTGTTTAACCATTGTTACCCTCCTATTGCCATGTTTTGAAATTTTTTTGTCTTTAAAATTTAAAAAAAATAGAAATTAAAAAAAACAAGATAGTAGCTATTCACTCTGCCCTATCTCTGGTTAGTATACCAAATGACTTAATGTTTATTGCAGTGTTTGGTTATTTGATAAGTTATACAGGATCATGAGGCTATCAGCTGTGAAAGTAAAGATGCCAGTCAAGTTCTTTGCCTCTAGAAGTGGGCATGTGGGGTGCAAAAATGTCTATGCCTCCACAAGGGGTAGTATGTTTAGTTTTACTTGGTGCTGTCTTTGTGTGGTAAGTGAATGAGTCTTTGTGCAGAGATTTCTTTAAAGTGTGAATTAAACTTTTTTTAAACCCCAGGGCTTTATACGAATCAGCTGTTGCCAGTACTGTAAAATAGAATTTCACATGAACTGCTGGAAGAAGTTGAAAGCGACAACCTTCAATGATAAGATTGACAAGGTAAGGCATAATCAGATCATCTGGGTTTATTGGTACATTTATTGTAGGCTGGTTTTTTCACTCTAAAAAACCTTTGGTTTAGGAAAAGTCTTAAATAAAATATAAATTATTTCTTGAGCATTCTGAGCATAATTAGAAAGTTTTAAATTATAATTTTAATAATAAAGTAGAAAATGAGTTTTTTAAAAGTTTCATAAAACTATAAAAGCAGTAATTGTAGGAGCTTTTAATAAAACTCTTTAACTTTTGTATTTTGAATGTTATGTACAAAATGTGCAAATTTTAAAATATAGGTTTTAAAATAGGTACTAACCATTTTAGTCCTTCAGATCCTAAAAGTATTGATACAGAATTAAGGTCTCAAAATTTTTATTTCCTGCCAAAATTTGATTAGCTAATTTGTATAAAGAAATCAACTGAAGCTTTTACTATCCTTTCTCATGAATGGGTTAGTGGGGTACTGTTCTCAAGATGATTACTAAGCCATTAGTTGGAAGGATACTTTGAAAGAAGGCACAATTTTATAGTTATACTTGCATTTTTAAAATTTATTTCTGAAAAATGTGTGTATTTTAAATTGTGGGCTCTTTTCTGTCCTGCATGGGTCTGGGTAGACTTAGTGATCTTGGGGAAAAACGCAAAATGATTGTGATAGGCACCTCTTAGCAGTGGCGGGTAATAAGTTTGGTGTAAATGAATTTGGGTTTGCCTAGCTATAGGCTCACTGCGTGGTCTTAGCCATTCCCATCTGAATGCCCCGTGTGAAGTGGCCTTTTCTAAGATGCGCTGTCATAGTATCTTGTGGCTTAGCACAGAAGCTTTGTTTCTTGATTATATTGTGTGTCCTGAAGTCTTGCCTTTTTTCTTTTTTTCTTTTTTTTTGGGGGGGGGGGGTACCAGGGATCGAACTCACAATCCCATGCTTGCCAGGCAGGTGCTTATGCTGCTGAGCTAAATCCCCGGCCCCTAGTCTTGCATTTTTGACCAGGGTTGAGTTGTAGCAACATAGTACTTAACTGGCTTTGTTCTTTGTTTCTGAATCCATGTTGAGGAGAGGCCTTTTTCCTGAGCATGTTCCCGTTTCAGAGAGGAAAGAGTAACAGCACCCTATATAGTGTTTCTCGGTGCTTTTGTTTAGACCTGGTCTGTGTCAGTGATGGAAAACCTTTTAGAGCTTTCAGTGGTAACAAACAGCCCGCTACGCACGCGTACCGAAGGTTCGCCACCACTGGTCCACATCATGGCTGCTTACCTTGCAGTGACCAAAGCAAGTCACGTGGTCAGCCCCACATTCCAAGATGCATTCTTCTCTTCCCCCCTGCCCCCCGGGAGGCTCTGCCAGGCAGACGGCAGTGCCCAGGCACTGTTCGCATTTCCCCAGAGGGGTGTCCACCATGTTTGGCAGTTCTTGGGTGGTTAAATGGTGCACCATATATAGGCTTATTCCGCATGGATGTAACGTTTGTCTTTTTTAAATTCAAATAGGATTTCCTGCAAGGAGTTTGTCTTACCCCTGACTGTGAAGGTATCATTTCTAAGATTATCATCTTTAGCCGTGGTGGTCGTGTGAAATGTGAAGTAAGTATCTGACAAAGAGAAGCTTCATTAAACTGATAACCAAAAGGTTTATGCCTTCTAAGCATGTTTTAAATTTGTGGAAGATGTGTGATTTGGATCTTGTCTTTTTCAGGAAAAAGTGAATTACATCATTTAAGAAAATATGGGAAATACTAGGGTGTGCGTTGCCACAGTCTTTTATTCCCAAATAGACAATGGAAGCTTTTTTTTTTTTTTAATACTATTTCGGTTTTGCTGTTTTCACTCATTTTGATCACTTTGTTGTCTTAGTCCTCTGCAAGCTTCTGGGAACTGGAGGGAGGAGAGGGGCCTCCCGAGGAGGGCAGTTCCGGGCGCGGCGGGGCCTGGTAACCATGCCCAGAGCCTACTGGGTCTTGTGCTGACTCTTAATCTTTTCAGACTTCTTCCTAAATTATGTCTACTCTTGTTGCTCTTTTCAGTAAATTGTTTTGCTAAACCTTTCTGGGCTTCTGTCTGGGTCAGAACATCATCCCTGTTCTCTATCAAATTGAGCCTTGCCTATGTGTGCTTCTGAAAAATTTGTTACTTGTGGTTTTGTGCTTTATGTCATGGGAGTATGAGACAAATTTTGGATGTCTTTGTTTTATTTAAAGTTTGAACACAAGGTCATTAAGGAAAAGGTTCCTCCAAGACCTATTCTGAAACAGAAATGTTCTAGGTAAGATTTTTAACAATCAGTGATTTTTATGATGTCTCCTAGGTTATAATTCTGTTAAATGCAGATTTCTAAATTGTGCTGTTTTTAAAATTGGCGGTGCTTTTATACATCCAAATAAGTATTTTAAAAATTATTTTTATGGATATTTAAAATTTCAGAGTACTAACCTAGTATGTTTAAATACTAAAATTTCAAATCAGTTATTATTTAGTGATTGAATTTATAAATAAAATTGTAGCATTTCATGTTACAAAATCACATTTGATTAACGGATTTGGCCTTTAGAAAAAGTTATATATTTTGCTCTCAGTTGTTTAAACTTTAATTCCAGAGCATTTTTCCTTTTTATCTCTCTTCAGCAAATAATTTGAACCAATGACTCCTTCTTACCTTGAAATCCTAAATGTATTGTCTAAATGATTCACTTCTCTGTATCTTTTTGTTCAGATCAAATAATTCCAATCCTTTTTTCTTTTCTTTTTGGTCCTGCTTCTTGTTTTTCATTCTAAAAAGTGATTTTTTCATTATTTGTGACCAAGAAAAAGCAAAAGAAAAGATGAACAGAATTATTTGTTGGAAAGAATTCGTTGTAACCAGACTAATCAAATTACCATGTTATGGGTCGTTATTGGGAAATGAAAGTAATATTTTCTTATGGGATCTTTCTTTGAGAGTTTTTGCTATCTTACTGAGTAATTTATACTACTCCTATTTAACTTATATAATAATTCATATACATGTAAATAACATCTATAAAATCTATGCATTGCCTTCTTAATTTGAAGTCAGTTAACCATACCAGTTATTGTGTTTATTAAACAAATATATCCCTATTTTAACTCAACTGATAACAGATTTTTACACTGAATAGATGATGTAGGTTCTAACTAGGAAGTAATATGTCTAACTTACTGGTTGGAGAATAGTTTTTATAACTGGCAAAGGAAAATAGTTCATCTGAGCTTATAACAAAAATGAATTGTCACTAATTGTAAATGTTTATCAGCCTAGAGAAGCTGAAACTGAAAGAAGACAAAAAACTGAAGAGAAAGATCCAGAAACAAGAAGCAAAAAAATTAGCACAAGAGAAAAGGGAAGAGGACTTAAGAGAAAGTAATCCCCCCAAAAAGGAACAGCAGAAAGGTAGGCGAAAGTCCATGACATAAGATAGTACATACAGTTATTTTAAGGTACAAATACAATTATTCATAGCATAGGACCTCATATTAATCATTATTGAATCAGAATACAGATTCAAGTTTGAATTTTAATGCTATCGATGAAACACAGATTTCAGGTAGTGTCTTAGAACTATCCTGTTACTCCAAAGCATCAAGTGACTTGGTTTGAAAAGCTTGCATTTTATTTTATTTTATTTTTTATATTTTAAAGAACATTTATTGAGTTGTCTCCCATAAGGCTATGGAGATTGTTGGGGCTCCCTACTAATGAACAAGGACTGGAGAAATTTCTCAAGGCAGCTGCCTCCTTATTCATGAATTGGAATCCTGTCCAGTATTTCCCCAAGCCTGAAGAGTCCCTCAAGAATTCAAAATTGTAAAAAAAGGAAAGAAGTATTTTTTGAGCTCAAATATAACGGGCTTGCATTTTAGAATGTGATACCCAGGGATCCACACACTGGGCCTGGTACAGACCCCGGGGAACTGTGTCCCCTGCTCAGAAGGGGACACAGTATCTGACATGTGGGATAGACTTGAAGCTGAACTGCAGATTTAAATGTCAGAAAAATGTTGAACTCTCAATTAGTTCCTACTTACCTGAAACAGAACTAAGTCCAAATAAAGAGATAGCTCAGAAAAGGTCCCATAGAGATTACTACTCTGCCGTTATTCCCAGGTCAACACGGACTCTCGCATGGATAATTTTACTGTACCCATGTGCAGTGTCCATGTTGGCCAGTGTATTTATTTTCAGTTTCGAGTTAAAGTTTTCCCCATTTTCTCCTATTATGGCTGTGTTTACAAAATAAAATAATTTCCACTTGCTCTCTGCTTTTCATAGTGTTCCAATAATATATCACAAATCAAATCAAAATGATCTTTCTTCAATTTTTTACAATGAATGGATTTTAATTTTGCATGCTTCCTATTTATTGAATATAATTTAGTTGATGAAGGCAGGTTAAGACTGTTGAGGGCCAAGCCAATACCTTAATTTAGAGGAAATACATTTTAAATGCTATTACATAAGTAGTGTGGAATGAAGAAGTTAAACCACTCACTTTATGTTGGCTTGAATATGAATTTCCAAACTTTTTCAAAGGTATAGTTAAATACTTTTCTAATTGAAAATATCGTCACTAGTCTATATAAAACAACAAAAAATGAAGGAGTCATTTTCGTATTATGTAATGTTATATTGTTTCAGTTCATTGTTACAGTGTGTATCATTGCAAGCAAGTCTACTTATCATCTGACTTTTGTTACTTGTCCTTAGAACCTGTAAAGATTGTTCAGAGATGTCCGTTCCTCGATGACAGAATTCTGCAGTACCTGAAGCAGTCCTCTGATAAAATTAAATCCGGTGTCCTGGACGCTCCCAAGCTCCTCAGAGAATTGGTTGCATGGAAAGTTATGACCACCGAGGACTACGCGACCTGCTTCTCTAACAAAAATTTCCCCACTGAAGCAGTGGACGACGTCCTCAGCTACTTGATTAAAGAAAATAACAGAGTAAAAACGAGAATATTTTTACACGTTTTGTGCGAGCTTCAGGAAATGGAGCCCAGCGTAGCCAGCTGGCTGCAGAAGCTGAATGGCTTTGGTACGTCCTGGATGTGGAGAGCAGTGTGCATTAGTGGAAGACTAATATCGGCCTTTAAATCCTTTCTCAGTTTCCTGCCAGTGTATTGTCACCCTGGCGATTGATCCCAGCCCTTCACACTGAGCTCCTATACTCCCCACCCCTTATATTTTGAGGCAGAGACTCATTAAATTGCTGAGTTGCCCAGGCTGAACTCCAACTTAGACTCCTCCTGCCTGAGTCTCCCACAGATCTTGGATTATAGATTTGTGCCACTTTGTCCAACTTTATTGCTGACTATTTGACTGCAAATATGTACGGTTAAAAATAATAACCTCTGATAATTTTTAGCTTATTTTATAGATAGGTTACCATCAAAAGATGTAAACCAGAGAAAGATTTGTCAGGGAAATCCAGATTCGCATGATGCTAATGCTTTAGTAAATGTGTAAGCTTATGTGATTGTGCACAGATCAGCATTTGTGTTAAAAAATAATCTAAAATTTGGATCCTATGAAGACAGTTTTAGAAAGATTAATTAGTAGGACTAATTGCTTAGGTTTGCTTCAGGCAAACCCGTGTCTGAAAACCAAGAGAACTTGTCTGGGTGGAACTAGGCTACTGGGACCCACCGGCGTGCGCAGCAGTGGCTCTGCCTGGACTCCCAGTATGGCAGGAGGGAGGGCCAAGGAGGATGTGTCCTGGGCCCCTGCAGATGCATGGTCCAAGACCCACAGGTACCCATGGAGGCAGTGGTGTCTATCACTAGGAAGGGTTACTTTGGGTCTGCGCCAGCGCCCCATTTATTGTGGTGCCCAGAATAACAGTTGGCCCCAACACTGGTTGATTCAGGCAGCTGCTTCTGGTGAAAAACTAACAATGGCCACAGAAGTAACATCAGGCTGGGCGTGGTGGTGCACATGTGTAATCCCAGAACCCTGGAGGCTGAGGCAGGAGGATCGAATGAGTTCAAGGCCAGCCTGGGCTCCACAGTGAGTTCAAGGCTGATGTGAACTACATAGCGAGACCCTGCCTCAAAAGTGAGAGCAACAGCTCTCAGCAGCAGTCCCGGGGGAGAAGCTGCCAGCCCCTGCTAGCCACCCGCCTGCTGAGTTCTGCAGAGGCAGCCGTCTGGACTCTAGGCTTTCAGAGGTGTCAAGTATGTCTGTCGGTAGAGGCAAGGAAAGGTGGCAGCTGACTCGGCATAGTTAGCTAGGTGCTCCTTTGTGAGCCTAGGTCTCTGTGCGTTTCTAGTCCCAGAAAAGTGCTCTCCAGTGGTAATTGCCACTGGTGTCCACAGTGCAAGTGTGTTACAGAGTCTTTGCTATTTTAATTGTAATTTGCTGCTTTGTTGTTTGTGGTTCCTGGAAAATTTCTGCTTAATTTGCTGACTTACAGAGCTCAGGCCTGGGCAGGAGGTGACCGTGCTGTGATAGAGTCATTGTGGGAAGTGACCAAATGCTGTTTTTGTGTTTCTGCTAATAGGAAATAAGGTTTCACCATCTTTTCAGGAATGTGTGAGGTGGCAGCCTCCCTGTTTTCTGATCTAGAGGATGAGGAATAAAACCCAGAATAGTGATCACCTTGGTTTTCATGGAGGAGGATATGGAGCCATGATAGTTTCGGGGGAAAGGAGCTGTACTTTGTGGAGGAGAAAGTGCGCCCATTCTTTTAAATGCACTTGGAGAGGTTTTTTGCATATTACCGATGTTTTGTTGCCATGAAATATATATAGGAAAACTTTGCTGATTACAATTTGGAATTAAAGTCATTATGAATTAGTGAAAAGATAGTATATTTTTAAAAGAATTTAATGTCATTCTCATCCCTTAAGTATTATGAAAATAACTATAAGCATAGAAGCCTTACTTCACTAATTAAAAAACTATTATAACTTTTATACAGTATTAACTGCTATTTTTAATGCATAATAGCCTGAATGAATCTGTTGTTGAGCTCTGATATGTTTTCACTGACAATATAAACAAACAGGAATGGAATGGAGTTGCTTGCAGAGAGAAGCAAAACACCTGTGTGATTGTACAGTGAATAACTTTTTTCTTGTGATTTGGTTTTTGTTTTTATTACAGGCTTAGATGCCACAGGAACTTTTTTCACCCGACATGCATCATTTCTGAAGGACCTTGACTTTACCATCATGACTTTCCTCTGGAATGAGAAATACGGCAATAGACTGGACTCCATAGAAGGAAAGTCCCTGGAGTACTTCTGTGAGCCCACGTCACTGAAGGAAGCGCGCTGTTTGATCTGGCTGCTGGAGGACCACAGGGAAAAGTTCCCCGCGCTGCAGGGCGCGCTGGATGAGTTCTTTGATGTAATGGGTATGTGGACCAAGTTTGGGCTTGTGCTGATCTAATCCTAGGGGCAAAAATCTGAACATTTTAAAAATACTAGTTTATTGACCAGGTGTGGTGGTGCCCGCCCCAGCACTTGGGGGGCCGAGGCAGGAGAATATTAGGCCAAGCTGGGCTACATAGTGAGTTTAAGGCCAGCTTGAAATACATAGTAAGACTTTCCAAACAAGGCAGAACAAAAATCTAGCTTATTTAAATGCTTAATGAAGAAAATTAAGAGACCGATTACAGTACAGTTTATCTGAAGAATTTGAACAATGGCTGATAGTGGTGACTGTTAGGTTAGGGAGGTGGAGACGTGCTGGGGACTTTGAAGGAAGGACTTATTCTGTGTTTCTTCCTGTGCGAGGACAGGTTACGTCCGCATCATGTGTCTGGGCTTCTCATCAGCAGCCTCCCTGCCTGCACACACCCTGCGTCCGACCCACTCCCCGTCCTGCTCCGTCCTGTTTTGCTCATGCAGTTTCCCCAGAGCCCTTCCTGAGCTTCCTTGGGCCTTGATCCTGAAGACTTTACGACCCTGTCATCTTTGTTGCCATCATATCTCACTACGGCTCCTGTGACACTGGGTTTCCGTTGTTTTTCTCTTTGTTTTGTTGCCAGTAGAACAGGGGCTTCTGGACTGTCTTGCAGGTCACTGTGTGCCCACACCCTGGCCTAGGGGGCTCCCAGGAGACACTCACATAGTGCTGGGCTGTGTATGTCTGGGTTGTTGGTTTCCCATTTAGTCATTTTGCCCTTGACTTTTAAATTAAACTTGTGGCAGCACCAGATAAAGGATAGAACACAGTCTGTGCTCCTGGTTACCGGGGTAGTTTGGAGGCTTTAGGGTATAGTGGGGAAATGGACAGGGTTCAGTTGCCTCACAGAACCTTCTCTTTTCTTCCTCCAGACAGCCGCTGTACTGTGCTAAGGAAACAAGACCATGAAGAGCCGGTAAGCTACCTGACTGCTTAAACCCCTGTGTTCTACTTTGCATTCACCAGAGGTCCAGGGCCACTGTTTGTCTGCATCACCCGTGGCCCCAGAGCCAAATGGGAGCACCTCTAGGTGATGGTGCACTGTTTCATTAGACAGTCACTGCCGGGCTTCCTGTTGGAATCAGAGCACAAACTAGACAGTTTCTGTAAAGATGCAGAGCGAATAAGTGTTGACAGTAGAACGAGCCAAGGCATTTCCCAGTCATTTCTTAGAACAAGAATGGTAAGTCACCTTCAGTGTTTAAAGGTGTGATGCGTTGCTCTAGGAAAAAAGCAGAGTCTGTCTTTCAAGTAGGTCCATATTGAGTTCCAGCCAAGAACAGTTCCAAAACCGGCTTTTAGTCTCTCTGGAAGGTGAGAGATGCTTCCACTGAGGAGCAGGGTGAAATGCTGAGAGCAGCAGGATGGGGTTTTCACCGAGAGAGGCACCCAGCACTACACCGGGGATCAGTCATTTGTTCTGAGGCTCCTCATCTGCTCCCACGGATGTTGCCCTGCTCTGTGTGGAGACTTAGTGCCCCCTAAGGGGGGGAGAATGTGGCCTAGCCAGATGTGGGAGGCTTGGAACCGGGAACATCAGTGAAACACTGCTGTGTACATGACCAGGTTTCCTCACAAGGGCGTTCAACACTGGAAATAGGATTGGTGTGTAGGGACAGTTAACAGCGCTAGGTACTGTCCTTACCCTTGTTCTCTTTTCTTAGTGTAAGTCATGGCACTTGGGCTGATACCCTATAGAATACTACTTTTTGTTAAACATTTCATGTACCTTTAACGTACAGCTGGAAATGGAAATCAGTATGGTTTATGATGATCTTCATAATGTTGTCGAGGACATTCTGATTTTTTTCCCCAATTTTTAGATAACTTCTACCAAGACCAAGAACAAAGGCAAGAAGAAGAAGCAAAAAGATACAAAGGTATGAAATTATGTATTGATTCTTATGTAACCCTTACAAAGTAATCAGATACATGGGAGTAGATGAGAAGTAATTCCTGGAATATTTTGAAACATTTAGTAGAGAAAGACTTTAAAGATATTTTAATAGTCACACATTTCAAGGAAATTCAAGTGCATTTCACATTTAATTAACTCTTTAAACAAACTTTTCACTGTTGTATATATTCTCCAGATAGTTTTGTGTGAAAGCATTGCCAATAATTTGTAGGGCTTTATGTGGGTGACAAGTGTCCAGGAAGGCTTTGGGGTCAGAAGCCGGGTTCATCTCTTGGATCTACTCAGCGTTGAGTGAGTTGACTTCCCTGGTCCCCACCTGAACGACATGAGTAACAGTGATACCCACTATTGACAGCTAGTGAAGGTAGTCAGTGCCTAATAATTGTTATGACCAAACTCAATTTCATGCGGAGATCAGAAAGCAGAATATCTTCTAAAATAGTTACAACAAAAATGATGAATTCCCATCCTCATAGCAACCTCAGGATTGACAGGGTCCTTTCCTCCTTTTCACTGAAGACTGTACCCAGGCCCATGAGAGAAGCAGGGTATGGTTTTAGAACTCACAGTTGGATCTCTGGGCTCTCATGTCTGTCTCCGCCAAGGAGATGGGCTGGGAGAGTGGGCAGTGTGGGGACAGGGCAGGTGAGTGCCCCGCACAGCCTCACTGCGTGTCTCCATCTGGAATGGGGATTAAAACTGAGTGACCTGCAGTTTCGGAGCATTGCAAACTGCCCTGAGTGCTCTCTGGAGTTGGTTTCTGGACGTTAAAACTTGCATTATTCTGTGTTCCTGTTTGCAACAAAATTTGGATAGGTTTTAAATACTGGAAGTTGATATGATGTCTTATTGTCAGTTTCAATGTTAGTCGTTTTCTTTCATGACATTTTAAAGTAGAGAATCAATGTCATTTTTCTGTCTTTTAAACCAGCTGATGGTAATTGGGTCTGTAACAAGTTCGCTAGCACCAAATAATGAGACTTCCACTTCAAGTCACGACTCTAAGTAAGTATAATTTTCAAATTTTTGCTTCCTTTTAACTCAGAAGTTTTTACTTAATAAATCATGTTGATTTAATATATTATTATAAAATTTTATTTCCTTAACTTTCTAAAGATTTGCATTCACTATGACAACTTATGTGACCAATCTTGATTGAATTAATAGCATATCTTGCCATTGTTAAGAACTCAAAATGAGTTCAAGTTGCAAGACTGATGATATTTATTCAGTAAATGTACACTGGGAACTTACTATGTGAGAGGTACTGTAGGAAAATATTTAAATATCTGGGAATTAATCTTTACAGTATTTGGTAAAGAGACTGTACCATTGGTAATTAACTAGCGTTCTTTTCTGTAATAGGAGGGAAAATATTTTGGAGGATGTATGTGATGTTATATCACTGATTTTCAGCCCTATCTGGAAACTAAAACTTAAAGAAAAAATAGATGTAACAAATAGAACTAAGGAAGAGCAGTAATACTTTTATATTTTATTGCTTTATCAGTCTAATACCCCATTCTTTTTTATATTTCTTAAAGGAGTTATAAGAACATTAAAATTTTCAGTCATTCTCATTGATTCAGTGGAGGAGGTGTTTTAATAAGTTAGAATAATAAGAGCTGATCTTAGTCCACTTGGGCTGCTAAAACAATGTACTATAAACTGAGTGGCTTACAAACGACTGACACTTGTCCTGGAGGCAGGGAAGCCAGGTCAGGGTGTTGTGAGGGCCTCGCACAGGTCCATAGGTGACACCTGTGTCCTCCCATGGGCAGAGGGACAAGGCTGCTTTTTGCAGCCTCCTCCGTCAAGCCACCGATCCCTTCCAATGGTCTCTGTCCCCTTGCCCTGATCCCCTCCTGACAGCACTGCCTTGGTGATTGGGGTCACCATAGGAAACTTGTGGGAACCGAGACAGACGATAGCACAGCCTTCACTGAGAGCAACACTTCGGTTACGGTGGATGCACTCACCTGAGTAACTCATCTGCTCCAGCAGATAAGTGAGTCCTGTGATGCCTGCAGCAAAGACAAGGGCACAGGCGCAGGCCATGCAAGTGCTTCTCAAGAACAAAAGCTTGCGAGAGAGCCAGAATTTACACCATCCTGCTGGTTCCAAACCCTCACTCAAAGGACTGCACCCTTTTAATTTTATTTTTTATTAGTATATGTTTGCAGTACACAGAAATTACATTCGGTAGTTAACATACCCTGATTGATGTATTTTGAAATTTTGGGGTTTTTTTCTTCTCTTTTTTTTTCCTTTTTATCCTTGAAATAAAATGGATTTGGAAAACAAATAAGATAGTTGTACTACTGATTTCCCTGAGGTCACTGAAGAGAAAGATTGGTACTGGTATTGTTTGGACAATGGAATGCAGATGTCCTGTGCTCTGGGTGAAGGATTTGGGGGTGACAATACACAATGTATGTACCATTGTTGTCCCTGATTGACATGTTTTGAATTTTTTTTCTTTGAAATAGAAAAGCGATTTGGGGAAAAAAATAGTAACAATTAAAATACTGATTTTGAAAAAAAAAAAAAAAAAGAAAGAAAGAAATGGTTTTCAGTCTGAGGAATTGCTGCATATACCTATCACACATTGATCTTTTTTTTCCACTGATCCAAATCCCCGCCCTCACCTTGATCATTTTTACTTTCCTTCCCTCTCTTCTCTTCCTCAGATCCCCTTTCCATTTCCAAAAAGCTTCCTCTCTTTCCTACCGTCTTTTATTTTGCTCTTCAAATTATTTAGCAAAGCCATAGGACATTTATCCTCCTGTCTGGTTTATTTCATTCAGCATTACGCTGTCAAAATCCATCCATTTCCTGCATATGACTCAAATTTGTTCTTCACTATGGCTCAGTAGTACTCCCATCATATATATATATATGTATGTATGTATTTTTCTTTCTTCATCTGTAGGCTGCTTGCATAATTCAGCTGTTGTAAATTGTGCCACAATAAACTTGGGTGTGTGTGTGTCACCGTAATATGGTGACTCTAACCTTTGGGGAAGACATGCAGGAGAGAGGTGTAGCTGGGTCGCATGCAATTCCTATTTTTAGTGTTTTTGAGGAATCTCCATAGAGGATAAGGAAAGCATATGGAAACCACACCAAGTTTCCATTTCACTCTAGTGAGAATTGCTGCCATCAATGGCTCAGAACTAGCAAATGGTGGTGTAGTTGTGAGGAGAAAGGAACCCTTTACAGCACTGTTGGTGGAAAACTAAACTAGTACGACACCTTTTTTAGGGTATTATCGTCTTACTGTTTTTTAAAACATCTTTTCATCAATTACCTTTTATCTGTCTTAACCTCACCTACACTGACATTAATAGCATTTTTGTTTAAAAAATTTCCTTTGTCTCTTAATTCTTTACTGAGCTACAATTAGTGGAGCATTAAAACCAGGAGTTTGATGAGACTGGGCTGCTGGTAGCAAGACAAATGTCAGACGTGACTCTTTCCTGACTGTAACTGGAAGGGGAACTTCTCTGCATTAGTTTTCTGGTGGTGCTTTTTTAAGACTTGAAGTCATATAATGTTTTCATCGTTTTGTTTATTTCACTTAAGTATTTTTCTGGCCTGCCCAGAAGTTTATTCAAAGAATTGTTTCTTAAATCAGCAGACGCAAAGGAGACCCCACTGGCCCATTCGCAGTGCCTGAGCACCTCCGGCAAGAAATAGAGGAGTTCGAGGCCCTCTACGAGCAGGAGCGTGTTAACGGGTACGTAGTAGTCCGCAGTAAGAGGCCTGCGGTGTTAACCTGAGGCAAAGCGCTGCCCCGCGGGAGCACGCCAGTGACATCCCGCATCTGGGCACGCGGAGAGGCTGTCCTTCAGTTTATGTCTCTTACATGTATTAAAGAATTCGTTTATTGCTCTGTCACTGCTGGAGAAAAGTGTCTTTAAAGCCTTTCTTTCTGTTAACCAAAGTTAAGTGAAGATTTTTGGCTACTAAATTTAAAGACTAACTGGGCACTGTTTATCAGTTTGAGCTGCTTCTAAGATACTCTCCTGCTTCTAACAGATTCTTTCCACTTGGAAAAGGCTCCTGCAGTATGTCCTGATGGAACTGATGAACAGGGCTTTCACACATGATCTTTTTATCATGAACTCCAGGGTATTCATTTGTCAAAGAAAAATACGATTATTTGACCTTATTTTCCTTATGTTCATGCATACACAAGGCCCTGAGATAAATCTACAGCTCTCAAGGGACAGAAAAAGAAAGAAAAAGGAAATTGAGGGATGTCATCTCCACCATAAAATTAAAACCTATCTAGATGCAGTCATGTGTAACTTATGATCTCTTTGGTACCTGACAGGCTGAGGCAGGAGGATTGCAAGTGTAAACCCTACTTACACTTACAGTTAGTGAGACCTGTCCCAAAAGAAAAAGAGCAAAGAGGGCTGTGGCTCAGTAGAGCACTCCTGGGTTTAACGCTCCTTCCCCAAAAAGCACTATTCTGAAAATCATTTCGCTCATCCATTGTAAGATTATTCTTTCTATTTTTCTAAATCCATCATTTTTATTTAGTCTAATTATTTGCCATAGGTCCCTGCTTTTTATTTTTTTTTCTTAGAATGCAGTGCTGTGTAAATCCTGTTTCCATGGGGCTCCTAGATAACAGTGTGGAAGCAGCTATTTAATTATACTGGTTCCTCTTAAAACATGCTAGAATTTGCTCCTAATACCCAGAACTAAAGCTACAGTATGTAGTTTCAGTAGCTTTTCTCTGGAAGAATTTATTGCCATTATTAGTGAGAAGAAATTAAGTTTATGAGAAAAAAGACTGATCTGTCTTTGAGATGGAAGGTATATCTGACAATAGTGGAAAACCAAGAAGTTAGAGAAAGTTGTATCTCAAAACGTAATTCTTGATTCTGTGTGGTAGTGCTATAGATCAAACGCAAGGCCCTGACACTGAGCTGTGTCTTCAGCCCTTTTTAAAACATTCTGGCCGAGCATGGTGCCACACACATGTCATCCCGGCACTTAGGAGGCTCAGGCAGAAGGATTGTCAGTGTCCAGGGCCAGCCTGGACTCCATAGTGAATCCAAGGCCAGCTTGAACTACACAGTTGCACTCTGTTTTAAAAGAACTTTTTTTGAGGCAGGAGGATCACTGCTAAGACAGCGTTTCACTGCTGGGCTCAAAACTGTGCTCCGCCTGCCTCGGCCTCTCAGAGTGCTGCAGGTGGGGTACTCCACCGCGCCAACAAAGCACAATGTCCTGAATTCCAAAAGGAAGCATGCGAGGTTGATCATTTCTGTCCCATGCATTTATCTGTTGTGGCTACTGTACAGAATTTTCTTTGGTGTCAAGAAAGTATTACTTTTAACTTTCTTTCTAAATAATTTGCTCTCCGTGGTGGCATTAACTTACTAAAACAGCTCCAGGGAAGACTTGTTCTTCAAAGTGTTGTCTTCGTGGTTCCTGGCTAGTGTGGCTTGCATGCTGGTTATGCTTTTGGTGTCACAGAGCGGATTCAGAATTCACTGAAGAAGCAGCTCCCTGAGCCTGGTGTAAGAATGGGAAAAGAAAATGCATCCAGAAATGCAATAGACAAACCCAGTGCAGAGCTAGATCAGATTGAAGGGTTTTGACCCCTTAATTCCCTCCCTGTGGGAACTGAAGTCCCTCTGATTACTTTCTATCAGTGACATTTTAATAAATAGAGTCATGGTATCCAGATTGAAATACTTTACTTTTACTTTAATTTACTTTAATTTCTTCTCATTGAATATTTTTCTCATTGACATTGTTGGGGAATTGGGATCCTGAATAAATTTCCTTGCTTGTCTTTTTTTCTCTTTTTTTTCAGCAGTCCTGGGGACTGAACCTAGCACCTCTGCACGAAGGTCCTGCCTCCCCAGGCCTCTTTGATTTTGAGGCAAGGTTTTGCTAAGTTGCCCAGGCTGGGCCCAGTCCTCCTTCCTCAGCTTGCTGCAGTGCTAGGGTTACAGATCACACCTGCCTGGCTTACAAAATGACTTTCTGATTCTCTTTTGCTTTTTAAAAAAAAAAGTAAAAGATTCCTTTCCAAAAGTAAACATTTTTTTGTTTATTGTATTTTTATCTTTGTTGGTGGGGAAGGCTGTAAAAGCAGTAAGAAATGAATAGTGTTTTGCTTTGGGAAAATAAACATTTTTATCTGACATGTACCATATTTATTTATGGTAACCAAGTACATGTAATTTTTTTCCAAGTCATTTCTCTCAGTATGCAGAGGAAACTGGCCCTGTGGAAATAGGAAACAGGATACTCACTGAAGAATACGAGTTTTTCCCAGAAGAAACTCGAAAGATCTTGGAAAAAAACGGAAGCTTGAAGCCTTTTCTCCTGGGATGCCCAAGTTTTGTGGTGATTGACAACTGTATTGCCCTGAGAAAGGTTACATTGCGGCTCAAGAAAAGAAGAAAGAGGAGAAATATGAAAGCAAAGGCAGACGAGGTTTCAAAAATAGAAGAGTATTTACAAGCTAAGCCGTCCAACCCAGCTGCTGGCGGCACTCAACCAGATGGACAGTCCAACCCGGCATCTGTCACGGCCTCAGCACCAGCCTCGAAGGACGCCAAGCCCATGCTGGCACCTGCTGACCCCCCAGGTCCCGTCTGTGAAGACAGGGAGCCAAGGTCTGGGCCTGAGAGCTCTTCCAGCTCAGTTTCTGAAGTCGAGAAGCCTGAAGGAGTCTCTTGTGATTCTGCCAAGTTCCTGCCCAAGGCTGACACACCAGCTCCCTGGGCTCAGTCACACGCAGTCACGACATTCTGTAGCTACCAGCCTTTCCAGGGAGTTGGTGTGAGCCAGACCCCCACCACGGACATGAGTGTCCTGCTGGGCATGCCCCAGTACACCAGCATCTACACGCCCCCCTTGGCCGGCGTCTCCTCTGAATTCCAGCAGCAGAGAGCAACAGTCCCCCTGATGCCCTCTCTTACAGCCAATGACGTGCCGAAGCAGAATGCCCTCTTGTATTTTAAGGATCCCAATTGGAATGCTGAGAAGGCTGATGGTAAACCCATTGCCTCTGAAACAAAGATCCCTGAGGACTCTGGAAAGTCACAGCATGACCCGAGTGAGTCCCACGGAAGCGAGGGGGCATTGGGGAGCTCTCACAGCAGTCATGAAGTCACCACAGAAAGTGGCCCACGCGCACAGGAGGTTGCTGTGCAGGTGAGATTAAAAAGATCTTAGCATTGCAGCCAAGTTTTCCTTTTAATTTTCATTGCCACTGTTTTTAATAAAATCTCTTAAAATATTTGGTTTTACATTGATTACTGGAAATATTTTAAGTATATGAACCCTTTTGTGGAAGGTAGGAGAGGTAATTTTGCCACTCACATGTTTGGATCCAGTAAATAATATTTTGCCCTGCCCACACCTTACACCAGTTAAGAGCCAGGGTCAGCAGGTGGAGCCAGGGCGTCACCCCGGGAGGAGCAGAGGTGCGGAGCAGGGTATCCGAAGTCTGATTGCTCATGGAGAAACCTTCCCTCCTCACCAGGCACACCCTGCCTGGCAGTGAGGGGGAGCAGGCAGGTGGCTCCCCAGAGAGTCGGAAAAGGAGTCCCAATGAGGCACGTCCAGCTTCTGCCAAATGGGAGAAGGAATGGGAGCGTTTAAAGAGAGACAGCCAGAGAAAGAGATAAGAGCCACCCAGAGAGGGTTCCTTCTGCTCAGCTTGGGAACGTGTGGAGCCATTCCACTTGCCTTTATAGGCTGAGCTCACGGAAGCTCTGTTGAATTGGACCTTCCCTCATCAGTTCTGGTGCCTCAGGAGCTTTGAAATGTATGTGCAAGAGTACGAACCGGTGGCATTCCAGTTATAACTGGTGCTACAAGGTAACTTTTCCTGATGGAAATATTGGTAGAAAGCATGGAACATAATCTAATTTGAAAAAATCCTTGAAAAACTTGTGGATGTGTTTTAAAATGTTACTTAGTTGACTGGAAAAGCAAGGTAATTAAAGCATTCTGTCCCATAGGTGGCTCCGACCATGAAACACCAGGAAGTCAATACCGAGCCGTTCAAGCCTTTTGAGATGCAGCAGGTGAGTCACGATTGTATAGAGCTGTTTGAAGGTTTAACTTGCATTAGCTTACCTAAGCAGAAATGACGAGTTACAGCTATGTTAGAGCCAGCTGGCTCCATATAAAGTTGTCATGGAAGAAACTTTAGAGTCTAACAAAAACTTGTTTTTGTATTGTCAAAATTTGAGAAGAGAAGGCAAAGGATAAGGTAAGTTTTTTCTAGCATATTCATTTCAAAGTGTAATGGCTTTAATTTTAATTTGTATAATGGTCATGTTTTCACTTACACATCAACACATACATGAATGATACAGAAAGATATTATCAAGACCCTTAATACTTTATGAATGATTTAATTAGAAAATCTGGATAGGTGCTGGGGATATAACTCAGCAGCACAGCGCCTGCCTAGCAAGTGTGAGGTCATGAGTTCAATTCTCAGTACCCCCTAAAAAAATCTATATAATGTACTTTGTTAATAAAAAGTTGTTTAATATACTTTGTTAATACAAAAGTTGTTTGTGAAGTTGATACAAAGGTATAGGAAAAATTCCAGTCTATCTTTTGACTACACTGATAATTAAATGAGAATTGATGACTATCTCTCAGCACATTGGTGGCTTTTGCTTTGCTCTTAAGCCAAAAGCCATTATCCTGCTTAAATTGAAGCATCACTATTAATGTTCATTGTTACTCTAGGGATATTAACTGACGAAATTAGATGTGAAACAGAATAAAGTTAAAAAAAGAGGTAATGATACTTACAGAGGTTGAAACTGTGTACCTGGAAAATCTAAACTGATCAGCTGAAAATCTACACCGGAATAAAAGAATCCAGAAAGGTGATATATAAAAGAAATGCCTCTCCAAATAATATAGCAACTTGTTAGAATATTAAAAGACAAAAGTCATTTTTTAAAAAGCAACAAAATGGTAAACTACTTAAATCTACATAAAGAAAACTTTAAAACACTACAGACCCACAGAATTCGTACATGAAAAGGTATCATGTACTTGGACTGGAAGACCTACAGTAGTAAAGAGATGGGTTTTTCCTAAAGCTTTTTTTAAGTTTAGCACAGTCCTAGCATACACATGAACAAGTTGTTGGTTAATATAACAAATTTCCTTGCAATCCAGCAGCCTACAAGAATGACCAGTGTTTATTGTCTCACATTCCTCCAGGTCAGGAGTTGAGGATCGGTTTTTCTGGGGTGGTTTTGAGACCCTCCCGAGGTCACCGTGAAGGTGTTGACCAGGGCTTGGTCATCGGCAGGGATCTGGGGCTGGAGGTCCCGCCCGAGGTGGCTCACTCAGGTGCCTGGGCAGGTGGTGCTAGCAGGTGGCAGGAGGCTGCACTGCGCACCGTGCACAGCACTGCGGCTTCTGGGACTCCTTGGGAAAGGCGGGCTCCATCACGCTCTTTGTTTTCTGTTGACCACACAGAGCAGGGCAGCAGCGATGCACATGCAGTAAGGGAGGTTTATACAAGGGTGTGACGACCAGGGGCTGGCTTTGGGGCCTACTTTGGAGGCCAGCTATGCATATGATTTATCTGAAACTAGACAGATTAATTCCAAACTTCCAATGTGGAGCCCACAACGGTGGTTGTAATCCCAGCTCCCCAGCAGACTGAGGCAGGAAAATTGCAAGTGTGAGGCCAGCCTGGACCACTTAGCTACCCTGTCTCAAAATAAAAAGGGCTGAGGTTGTAACTCAGAGATAGGGGCATTTTCCTAGCATAGATGACATTCTAGTTTCCATCCCCACAACAGAAAAAAAATTCCACATGGACAAAATATCTACAATGTAATGGCCAGGTGTGGCAGCTCATGCCTATAATCCCAGAACTTGGGAGGCTGAGGCAGGACTGCTGTGAGTTCAAGGCCAACTGAACTACATAGTGAGACCCTGTCTCAAAAAAATAACATAAGAATGGAATGGCTAGGCAAAACAAACTTAAGAGAATTATGCAGCTAAAAAGTGAAGCACAAAATCAGTCTTATAATCACGTAAATTAGAGCCCATTAGAAGAGAAGAATATAGACACAGTATAATAAACATGATAAATTAAAAGTGAATGAAAAAGTAGATTATTAGATACGTAGTAGTAGGAGAAATTGGCTGTCATCCAGGGGAAAAAAAGTCAGTTTGAGTTCCTACCTGATTTCTTACATTAAAATAAAATCTAAGCAGATCAGAGACTTAAAAGATAGAGAAAAGGATCCATAAATGTACCCAGGAAAATAAAGGAATTGTCCCCCCATAAGATCAGTAAGCTAGGGCTACCACTCAGTGGCCAGTGGAAGGTCCTGAGGTCCATTCCCAGTACCAAATAAAAAGATCAGTATCAGTATGAAAAATGTTTGCTTATGTACATGTGCACACAAGATGAGGTAATATACACAGTATACATGTATGTAAGAAATGCATACTTACACAGGATGTCAAAACACACGTGACAAATCTGGAAAGTTGTTTGCAGCATGGTGCATATAAAACAGAGAATTAATTTCCTTCATATGTAATGGGAAGGGGAGGAATAAAAGATGCACAGAAACAGAAATAGATGGTTTTGAATGAATGAAAGAACTACCCATTCCTACCTAAATAAGAAAACCAGTCCTTGGTATGTTACTAAGTGAAAATTTCTGGGAAAGGCAGTGTGGAGCTTGTGTTCGTGTATATGTGTAGAAACCATTGAGTGAGGACATTTGTTTTTGTGTTTGTCTGTATTAGTTTTCATAAAACATTAAACCCAATTTAAATGTCTATCAGGAATGGGCTAAATTACGGGATGTCCATTTAAGGAAATACTGCAGTATCCTTTAGCAAGGAAACAGTTCTGTAGTGACTGCCATAAAATGATTTACCTAGACCCAAAATATAGTTAAGAAGGAAGAAGTAATGTTAGAATTTTGCATTGCCTTCTACTACTGGGGAAAAAAAGTGTTATAGTTTTAACCAATTATAATATAGCGCACTTAAGTATTTTAAATGAGCATTACTTAGAATTATGAGAAATGGAAAATGATCTATGTGGGAGTAATAAAACCCAAAATGTGTAATTGTCATTGTACAAAAGAGAGGAAAAGAAAGTGCTCTAAAGGATATAACTGCATATATATTTAAGTGTATAATTTAGATAACCATATTACTGAGTTTTGTTGGATCATTGAACAGAACTGTTTGCAGTCTCACTGTTTCAAAGTCCACTTCATATGCTTTAATTTTGTAACTTGAACAACTATTTCTAAGATAACAATATGTAATCTATTAACTAGTGATTTCCTACTGTTTATTCTTTCTGAAATTCTGTAAAACTTGTACCCTTTTTCTGTTTTTTTTTTTTTTTCTTTTTCTCCTTAAATAAAATTTAAAAAAAAAAAAAGAAAAAGAAAATGATCATCTCACTGGTGTTAACATAACAGGTACAGTCTTTTCGGTCTCACTGAACCTAAGGGGACTACCCACCAGGCTAGTTGACCACTAGCTTCTTGCCCAATGACACTTACATTTGAATCCCAGCACTTTCTTCCGGGACTTTCGGAAGTTACCACACACACCTAACCCCTGTTTTCTGACCTGTTAAAGGCAAAACTAATGCATTTCTCACAGAAACAGGTGGGGTCTTACCAAACAAGCGTATTTGCAATTTGTAGTCTTTGAGGATATATGATGGATTTTTAGTAAATTTCAACTAAGCAAACTTAGACTGATACCATCATTTTAAATGTACACTGGGTGCTAAGTTTTCTTATTGTTGAACATTTAGATCATGTCAGCTTTTCACCCTTACAGACAGAGCTTGTGAACATTTTTGGCTATGGTTGATGTGTCCTGAGTAGAGCACCTGGTATTGAGTTCTTATGTTGACCTAAGGTAGTTACGCCCTTTAACCAGTCATGTTTGTCACGTCAAGTAACCATTTGCAACAGACCCAGGTGTGCAGGGGCACCCTCTGAGAGGCTGAGGCAAGAGCCTGCGAACCGGAGCCCAGCCTGGATAACTTAGCAACTTGGCAAGATCCTGCCTCGAAGTACTAATGGCCTAGGGATGAAGACAAGTTCTTTCCCTCCACTGCGTTGGGAGCGTTCCCAGAGCTTTCTTAAATGAGTCTTGGTTTCAGGACCTGCCCACCAGGCTAGTTGATCACTAGCGTCTTGCCCAACGAAACTTACATTTGAGTCCCAGCGCTTTCTTCTGGGACTTTCAGAAGTTACCACCCCTGTTTTTCTGGCCTATTAAAGGCAAAACTAATGCATTTCTCACAGAAACATGATGAAGTTTAAAGGTAATAATGTACAGGTAGCACTTAAGTTGCTGCCTAGCTCGTTGGCGATCTGGGGTAGGGGATATAATTTAATTTATAATACCAGGTTGCTAGTCATTGTGATCCTTTTGCCAAATTGAGAATGAAAACAAAGAGTGGGATCTTAAATCAGAATGTCTTGCTCATGGGTCGTAATAAGGTTGACAGTTCACTGTTTGAACTTGGACTCTATTCGCAGTGCTGAATTCTCCAACTGGACAAGCGTAACTGAGCCTCTCCAAGGCACACCAGTGCCGGATAGCCCTGGCCAGGGTCACAGTTCTTTGTAAACCTTAAAATTTTACATACTTAGTTCCTTGCCTTGGAAGGATGCTCAGGTGTTGGGGATACAGGAGACATGGAAGACGGCCTGGATTCATGCCACTGGGATAGGTTTCCACACCCTGGCTGCCACAGGGGGGCAGTGCTGGCAGCTGGGGAAAGTTTGAGGCATAGCCTCTTCAGACACAAGAGTGTGGCTCCCAAGGTCCAAGCTGCTTAAAAGAGCTTTTAAAAAGCCTTACATAAGGCATGTATATTGTTTGCCAACAGTTTATACTGCAATGTGATTTCTGGGTTTTTGTTTTTAAGCTGGTATAAGACACAAGTAACTGAAAGCAATTTATTGATGACATTTTATCTTTTTGAAATAACCAGCAATTATCTATGTAAAACATTTATAGTAGAGTCTAAGATAATAATGTTCTACTCATATCTAAAATATGTATGATATATGCAACTTTTAAAACCTAACAGTTCCTGATGTTAATTGTAGAGAGTGACATTCCAATGAAACTATTGATCTAGTTAGTATTGAATCCTATTAAAACTACTAAATATTCAGAACTCATTATGTACAGATTGAAAAGTTTCATTATGAATTTAAGTGATACAAATAATTGTGTTTGTTTGTTTTTTGATACTGGGACCAAACTCGGGACCTCGCACTTGCCAGGCAAGCACTTAACGCTGCTGTGCTACCTAGCCCCAAATAAGAGCTAAGTCTGCTAAACCATGTTTAGGAGTTTTAATTCCTGAACTGTTGTGACATTGTAAAAATTCATCTTCTTTGCATTCTTTCTATTTAAGAAGCAGTTCATAAGTAGGCATTTTAAACGAGTTTTAAATTTACTTCTAGGGGGATATTTTACAGACCGAAAAGGAATACAGTGCCTTACAAGAGCAATTTAAGGAAGCATGTAGGAGTTATGTGCACCTGAAACTCAACAGTTTGGAAGAGGCCAGGGAGCTGGAAGAAAAGCTGAAAAGGAATCTAGAAGAAAACAAGGTGATCCTTTAATTGCATGTGGCATAAGGGGAAGCATCCAATCACTCGTGAACCCCAATTAGCTAAAATTGCACTATTGGCTCAACAGAAGTCTTTCTCAAATATCTCTAAAATGTGTTCAAGCGACAGTGTTTCTGCAAATTGCTTTTGAGAAAGGGACTATAAACCGGACTTTCCCTTGGTCTGTTACTTGGCTTGCCTGGTTAACTAAAACTCTTTCTCGAGTAACTGAGTTCCAAGTTCAGTCCCCGTCAGGACCGAGTGACAGTCTCTCGGCAGAGGCTCTGACTGTGAGTCCTGAAGCCGGACTCCGGGAGGCTCAAACACCCCCACCCTCTTGAGTTCTGTTCTGATAGCGCTGGTCCTGTTACTTAACTTTTCTGTACTGTAGTTGCTTGTCTGGAAAACATGGGTGACAGTGGCTCAGACTTCATGGGGTTCGCTTCCCACCTGCACAGTGCTGCAACCTGCCCGGCCTGCTGGAGTGAAGGTGATGGCCTTTGTGTGTGACCCTGGTGCACAGGAGGCTCAGCTGCCACTTTTGTAACTATTGCTGCTGTTACTGTGTCTTCCCTTATTCCCGAGGCAGTGTGAAGGCAGTTCCTCAGCCAGAGGCATGTTAGGTCCAGCATCCCTCTGTCTGCTGTGAATCTGCAATCTTGACTTTTGTCAGTTGAGCTTGACCAGTGTGTAGTACCAGATACGGGCAGGGCCATGCTGAATTAACGAGGCAGTGGAATTACAGATGTGAGAAAATGATACTGTGTTTCTTTTCTAAAAACTGTTTTCTACTTAGAAAGGTAGCAGCAGCAACAACTACCTATCTATCTGTCTATCTATATGAATGTATTTTTAAAAGGAAGAATTTGTTCCAGAAGTCTGGATCAATAGCTAGAGTGACAAATAATAAAAAATGAGCTTGGTGGGGCCTTAATCAAACTCATTTATGTGAAATTTAAACTGGAAGGAGAGAGTCAGTATGCTTGTTCCCCAGGACTTGTTCACACTCAGGATGAGATGTAGGGAGGTCAGAGAATGGGAAAAGTTACGTGGAACCAAAGAATTTTCTGCTCAGTTACCTGCTGGTTAGAAGGGAAGAAATACACTAAAAACAAACAGAGGAAAACCTGTCCAGAACAACGCACGGGATACAGGTGTGAATAAATGTGGTCCCAGCCAGCTTCTCTCTGGAAACAGTGACCCTGCTCACTCCCCATCAGCTCCACACTGCAAAACCTGCTTCTGACCCAAAGGGAACATTTGCTGAGCACTGAGCGTGTGCCAGGTGCAGAGGACTGCAGGAGGCATCATGGAAAAGTGCCTTGGGTGTGCCACAGTTGCTCCGTAAATCACTTCTGCTTGCCAGTGTCACGCACTCCACAGGGAGAAAGGGAGGCGCAGCCATGCGGATCACAGTGTAGGCTTGATGGCCTTAGGAGTTCACTTCCAGTAATCCAGATGGCCGAGCCCGTGGCCAGGCCAGGCCTGTGAGTGATGAGGCAGCTGGGCCCCCGGCACTGATGGGGGTGTTGGTGAGTGAAGTTTTCTTTCCGGCAGGGGCTTTTCCGGCCCTGTAAACTGTATCTGTATCTTTGCAGTTCATCGAGGCCCTATTATTCATGGGGTGGATCAGGAAGTTGATGGGACAGAAAGCAACCTGAGAGGAAGGAGCAGCGCCTGCTGCTTTCTGGCCCGGGGCTTCTTACCTTAGTACACTTCTGGTCTGCTGGCCGTGGAGTGGGTATATCATTAAAGTGTAAATTTTAAAAACATTGCAGTAAAACACGTTCCCATTTACCCCTCAAACTACACTTCTTTCATGTTCTTACCACTTGCTGAAGCAGTTCTTAAGTTCCTCTTTGGGGGCTGTGTTTATAAGGTGTGATCAAAAAGTGGCTGCTCCTGCGAAATGCTGTCTGGCAGAAAGGCAGGCTCGTGAAAACATGATAACTGATAACATGTCCTCCTCCACCGAAGTCACCAGATCTGGCACCATATGGCTCCCGGCTCTCACCCAAAGTCAGGTTAACGTTTGAATCCAATCAGGAGATCGAGGTAGCTGACACACAACTCAGACGCTCACAAAAAAGCACTCCAGAGTGGCTGCAAACAGTGGCAGGAACAGTGGGAAGAGTGTGCAAAGCTAGGGGCAGGATTGTGACGGAGACAAACACAACACTTTTTTTTACCGTAGTAAGTTTTTTAAAATCTAAAGTTACACCGGATTTTTTTATCCCACCCCAGGTGGCTGTACTCTGGTATAGTCAATCCAGGTTTTAATGAGACAGTTTAGTCTCTCAAAGTGCAGGCTTGAGGCATGTGAAGTCTTCCCTAGTGAAATGTTTCCTGTCAAGATAAACTGACCATCCGAATCCCTTGGTTTCTGTCCACACAGAAGCAGATAGGGCTCAGCTGCGGTCACTGTGTTACTCATGTGAGCCGCGTGATTAAAGGGCGTTTGGTATAAACAGCAGGCGAGCTCATGTCGTGCTTTCACTGCCTGAGCTGTCTGCACACTCACGGGTCTGTAACATTTCATGCCTTTTGTAACCTGACCTCCCTGAGGAGCTCCTTGCCAAATAGGTTCTCACAGCCGAGGGCTAGGGCCCAGTGAGATCTTGGGCTCCGAGTGGAAACAAGACAGGCGAGTGCGGTCGGTCGGCCCGGCCCCCGGGAGCAAGACCAGCAGCTGACATTGGTCCTGGTCATAGAACTGAACCAGGTGCTGCAACTTACGCAAGGTCTACGAAAAAAAAAAAAAAAGAACCAGGTGCAATACCCAAGTTGTAAACAAGAGTAGGACGGGAGTCACTCAGGTCACGGTGATGACTTGACACATCCGGACTAGCAGGGTTTCACACAGGGAAATGTGGACAGGCTGAGAGTGTCACTGAACTGGCATTGAGCCTCTGCCATGGGGACTGGAGGCCCCAGCCTTTTGCACCCCTGAAGTCAGGAGTCCCAGTAGGTTGGGTTTGTGGTACACTTTCCTCTATCAGGGTGAGGCCCTGTGTTTCTGTAGCTGAGACTTGTCCTCAGGCACCTAGGCGTATCTGAACCTAAGCAGGAATGAAAGCTGCAGGAAACCTGATGGGAAGGGAGAAGGTGCAGCTTTCCCTACAACAGGTGTGTCCAGCCGCAGCCACACATGGCCCTGGACAGCCAGGCGTGTGGTCCCATGGGATCATAGATGTTTAATATTATTACTGATTTCTGGTGGGGTTTTTTCATGACTTGATCATGCAGTGCTTGAAATCAGGCCCTGCTGGTGACAGGAACACCATGTAGGAAGGGCAAGGTGTATCACTGCCTCCTCCTCCTGCATCCCCTGCAGAGTCAGCCAGAGCTACCTGCGTCACATGCCTGGTGATTCAGCCCGCATGACCCCATGCCTGTGCGGATGAGTGTTTATTACTCTATTTACGTTTCTTACTGAGGTATTAAACTTGATAAAATAATTAATTTAAACTATAAAAATGGAACTTTCATTACTGATACTTACTATATTTTATATGCAGCCCAAAACAGTTCCTCTTTGCTCAGTGCAGCCCGGGCAAGCCAGAGGGTTAGTTGTGAATGGCCCGGAGCAGACAGGAGTGAGGGTTCCTCAGGAGCCATCAATGCGCCTGGGACCTCAGACTGAACACTGCTTTACGTGTTGCTATTAGTTGTTTGTTATAAACAGTGTGCTGATGAACTGGCTCACATTTAAATTAATCATTAGAAGTACCAATAGATGAGAGCATTTTGCTTCTGTGACTGCTGGTATTTACACCAAGCATGTGGCCTGTCCAGACCCTTGGCTACCACTGACTGGAAGGTTCAGAAAGGACCTAAACCTCATAGAGTATGTGTAAGTAGCTGCTGCCTAAGGAGACAGGGTATCAGCGGTATTGAGCCCCACTCTCCCGGGCAAGGCAGCTTCTGTGTCACACTGCCTGCAGCCCTGGCTAGCATTCAGCCCAGATGTGCTTAATGAGGCCCCTGGAGGAGCCCCATTTGTATTTTTAAAGGCAGGCAGAAGCTACAGGCTGTGCCATGTGGAACCTATGCCAACTCCCCTGCACTGCACCAGGAGGCTGTGGAATTGGATGCCCAGGGCACACCAGGGTGGCTTTTCCTGGAGCCAGCATACTTGGTGCGCAGGACACAGCCGTGTGGTGTGGGTGCCAGGGCTGGCTGGCCACAGGGCACTGGCTCGAGGGCGTCTACTCCCTAAACTTGAGTCACCGTGAAAGCCAGCACACTCACCACTCCAGTCTCGAAGATTTTTTCTTTCTAAGTAAATCTTGTTGTCTGTTTAAGTACTTTCTAAAAGTCCATTTTTTTTTTTTTAGATCTCAGAAACAGAATTAGATTGGTTCATCCAAGACTTGGAAAGAGAAATTAAAAAATGGGAACAAGAGAAAAAGGAAATCCAAGACAGACTAAAAACAATGAAGAAGAAAGTTAAAAAGGTTTTGAATGCCAGTGAAACGTAAGTGACAATTCACAGGCAATAATTTTTTTAACATTCTGAGGTTTTGTGGATGTTTTCATATTTCTTCCAGTTAATTTCAAACTGTATCAAGTAAAAATTGATAGGTAAAGCTCTTACATTGTTTTTATCTCATTTTTAAAAGCATGTATGGACCGTCTCACCTGAAACTTTCTGAGCCTAGTTGTGTGTTCAATAAATCACATTACAGTGGAGAGGCCTGGGTGTGGCAGCTATACTGGGCCGGTTTCTTCCTAATCTGACTGCAAATTGACCTTGTACCTTCATTTCCTTATTGGTAAAATAAGGGGGTTGAGAGTAGATCGCAGATACTTTATTCATGCTGAATAAAGTATTTATTCTGAGTCTTTAAATAATTAAAACTGGACCTTACGAAGTGGAGAGGTGGCCGACACCGGCAGACCTGGCATACCTGACAGATGGGCCAGGTGTCTCAGAAGGTCCTCAGGGATGGTGCCTGACCCCCTCCGGCTCCACGCAGTGTTACACCTTGTGCCCCCAGCCGGACCCTCATCTTCCTCTGGGTGTCAGCATCCACACACAGTAGCTGAAGTGAGGCCCCTGGATCGAGTTCAGCAGCTGTCCTGGGCAGGGGTGCCCTCCATGCAGTCCCCTCATCCTCTCGGTTAGCTCCAGCATCTCTCTCCATCTTCCAGCTATGTGTGACTTCTTGTGTTGTTGAGCTTGGCTTCGTGATGGCTGAGGGCTCCCGAAGGTGCAGCCCTGGTGAAGGCTCAGGCTCAGAACTGCCCTGGCATCTCTCCTGCTGTGTTCCCCTGCCAGCACACATCTCAGGCCACATACGGATGCAGCAGCATAAGAAGGGGAAGGTGAAAAGACAAAAAAAAAAAAAAAAACCAGTGAAACCCTTATGGGGCTGGGGGTTTAGCTCAGCGGCATAAGCGCCTGCCTTGCAAGCAGGCAGTCGTGAGTTCGATCCCCGGTACTGATAAAAAGGAAAAAGACAAAAAAAAAAAAAAAAAAAAAAAGAAGGGGAAGGTGGTCAGATGTGGACTGTAACCCCAGTACTCAGGAAACTAGAACTTGAGATCCGTCTGCCTCAGCCTCCCACGTAGCTGGAGGAATAGGACTGTGCCACCACACCCAGGTTGTCATGTCATTTTGATTGTGGACAAGGTAGTTTTATTAGTAGAACATATTTACGAAAGCAGTAATGTCTGTAAAGCTCTGAGTATCTGTAGACGTCCTGTCTTAATGATGTTTCTAAAAGTGTGGGAATGGATCTGGGTGTGGTGACACACACCTGTAATCCCAACATTTGGAGAGACTGAGATAGGAGGATCCCAGATTTGAGCCCACCCTGGAAGATTAAGCAATTTTCTGACACCCTGTTTCAAAATGAAAACTACAGAAAGGCTTGAGGATATATTGGGCCAGGGATTTAGCTCAGTGGCATAAGCGCCTACCGGTAAACATGTGGTCATGAGTTTGATCCCCAGTTACCCCCCCCCCAAAAAAAGAGGATATAGTGCAATCTCATGAGCTCAGTCCCTCCCACCTTGAAAAAAGAGTAGAAACATTTGTATGTATGTTTTTATGTGTTCACTTGAGACATACTGTCTTAACTAGACTAAATTAGAGTAAAATCTCAAGATCTTTTTGAAGAGATCCTGTTCTTAGAGAAACACAAAGGCTGTGAGGAATGATTTCATTGGTATCTCACTTATCTGTTAAGAAAAGGCTCAGACTCAAAGTCTAACTCACGTGTGGGGTCATGGCTTTGTCCAGAGGTGGCCCTGAGAGGTGGCATGGAGGACTTGGGGAAGGAGAGAGCATGGTCCCGAGGAGGCAGAGCGGTCGTCCAGCTGGCCTGCGTCTGGGTCAGTAAGCAGCGGTGACTGCACAGTGTATGAGGGTGGCCGATGCTGCCCAGTACCACCGTGCTTACAGCCGCGCCCTGTGTCCTGGGGCTGTTGGGTGGGCAGATGTGGGTGAGGCGTCAGAGATGTGGTCCACTGTGGCAGAACTGTGGACAGTGCCTGTGGCCAGGCACTGCCAGGTGGTAGGCATGGGAGATGCCCGACGCCTGGTGGGAGGCCTGCAGGTTGTACCATAGTGCAGAGAAGAGCTGCCCCTCCTCCAGGGCCTGCAGGAAAATTCCCCAGCATGTGAGATACTAGAAATGAAACAAAACAGACGTGTGGGACATTCCAGAAATACTTCTTGGGATGTGGGTACAATTTACTGTATAGAGTCGTGTTGGAAAAAAATCTGAATTCAACTTTGATGATTCTGTTTTTATAGGTCTACCCAGAAAAATGATGGAGTAGATAAGGAATATGAATCACGCCCAGATCAGTCCCTTGAAAACAGGTAAATTAAGCTTTAATTCACTTCAATATTTTACCCTCTTCCAATAAGAGATAATCACACTAGATCTCTAAATACATTACTGCTTATTTTTTCCCTTCTTTCTTTGTGGTACTGGAAATTGAACTCAGGACCTTGTGCTTGCCAGGCAGGTGCTGTGCCACTGAGCTACATCCCTGGCCCTTACCTGTTTCTTTTAAATAATTATGTACTTAATTTGTTTATTTCATTTTAAACCAATACTTAAACATATTTAAGCATTTCAATTTTACCATGTTGCTGCTCTTATTTTCCATTATCTATGTAGAATATCCTGAATTTATTATTGTCAGTTATTCTCTTTATTTTTCTGCATTAACTTGAAACTAAAAGTGTGTTTAAAAAGTTTTCTCTCAGGCCAGGAAGTGGCAGAAGCACTTTATCTGGCATGTGCAAGATGCAATGTGGGTTCCATTCCCAGCACTGCCAACAAAGAGAGAGAGAGACAGACAGAGACAGAGAGAGACCTTTATGTTAATGGCAGTTTGTTGTGTAATTATTGTTTCATTAAGGAACTTTTATTATGGGACCTGTAGAGTTTCCTGTTAATCTTTACTAGTGGACATTATATGTTTGCACATACTGGTAACCAGGGTACCTACCAGTAGTAACCAGTTGCATCTTGCTTTTCTCATTTAATGTTTCTATGTGTACATTTCCATTTTCCTACTGGTCCATGCCTTCTGTGCCCCTGTATTTGGGCCTTTTATTTTATTTCCATTTTTATCTTTTAAAAGTATGAGCAAGAGCTGGGTATGGTGGTGCACGCCTGTAATCCCGGCACTTGGGAGGCTGAGGCAGGAGGGTTCCCTTGAGCTCAACACTAGTCTGGGCTAGATAGTGAAAAAAAATTGTACCTGTGAATAATGTTGCACAAATCACTTTTTCTCTTGTGTCACTTCCTTTTCAATATAGAACTTCTGGTTCAAAAGATGAGGGTTAGTTTATCAAGTTGGTTCAAGACAGCCAGATTGTATTGTAGGCACCCTCATAAAGTCTGTGCACGGGTGCAGAGCCCACTGTTTCTCAGCAGCTCCCTTGGTACTCCCCATTGATTCCATGTCAACCTTTTCCATCTGTAGGGCACAGAGCGTGCCCCCGCATTGTGTGTCACGTGACCCACCGAGGGAGGCAGTGGGTCTAGAGCAGATGGTGTTAGGACGTGAGCTCAAAGCCAACCTAGCTCACAGCCTTTGTGCTTTCTCTGGCTCGATTGTGCTTTCAAGTTTGTTTTTCTTTTAACATCTGCAGTGACACATTTACAAGTGAGAGGATGAAAATAGAAGGCGACATAAAGAGAGACAGAGAACTGTATGAAGAAAGTCACCAGAGGGCTCTGTTTGCAGAGGTGAGAGCATTTGTTTGCTTCCATGTTTCTTGAGTTGCACACGGGGACAGCAATGCTGCTGAAAGGGGTGGCAGTGAGGGACACCCTGCCACCCTAAAATAACTGTGCTTCCCCTTGCCTATGCCTTTTCTGTTGTTGTGTAGAGGTGCTCGTGATGCACGCCGGATTCTGTAGGCTGCTCTCCTTATGTAACAGTGTGATTCAGTCATTTCTCAAACTGTGCGTTTTGAGTAGCTTTATCTTACTAAATCAACCAATGTGCCATGAAGTAGTCAACATAAAACATTTGCCAATCCTTGACAAGCAAATGAAAATATCCCACTTGTTAAGTATATACTCTTCCCTCCTCCACCCTCCTAGAAAGACACACACCAGTGTTTGTTACTGTTTGAGAAACTCCTGACACAAAAATGTAAATGATGTCTGGCTTTTTAAATATTTCTCCAGCATGTAAGTCTTTTCCTGGCTGAGGAAACAAATGGTATTTATTGGTAAATGTGTCTATAGCTGTTCAAGGAAAATAAGAAAAGGATGGACTTGTGCAGTCTGCACATATTAGGCTTTTCAATAAATTGGGCCACACTGGTTCTCCTAAGGGGGAATGGAGTCTGAGTGTGCGGAGTTCACTGCGGTCTCTACTCTGCGTCCCTGACCGCCGTCTGCTGTCCACTGTCTGGCTGCTCGGTTTGCCTCTGAGGTTACAGGTGCTGGCTGGGGTTAACACGTTCACAGTGGGGCTGTGACTCACATCTGGCTGCCGAACAGCTCCGTTGTGAATGTTACATTTTGGCCCGCTTGAGCCCTGGTGGTGCCTGCATGACTCCCATCACACGACCGTCCTGCCCCTGTCCCTGGTGGTTGGAACCCATGGGAATGGGTTAAACAGGGCAACTGTACATTTCTCCAGGGATTCCCACAGCAGTGGCCATTTGGCTGTCTAGGAAGCCACGGAGTTCAAAGCGTGATGTTAGTGCTGAGAGCAGCTCCAGGGAGGAGCCTGCTGCCAGGGTTACGCTGTACCCCGGGCGGGTCCCCCATTCTCCACACAGGGCTCCCCTGGCCATGATTGTGTGTGACAGGAGCACGAAGCCACATGTAGTCGGGAAAGTCCGTGTGACACTTGTGTAATTTCGTTTACGCTGTTTTCAAATCCTAATGTGGTTATTTGTGTTCACCTGGATGAAATCATAGCGTCACCAAGCCTGTTGGTCTTGTCAGAGCTCATTAAAGGAAAAACTGGAACGTGGTTCCATTTGAACCCTTCAGGTAGGTTCAGTTATTCTTTTGTGAAATCCTTAAAGGTCCTCTGATCTGTTGGCAGGTATCTGTGCTTGAAAGCTGGAGGGAGGGTGAAATACATAAGTTACAGACCATGGCCTCAAAAGCCGAAGCCCACCTGAAGAGCCTCACGAACAGGTAGTGTGGATGCCCATGTCTTCTTCCCAAATATCACTTAGGACATATGGAGAGAAGCATTTGAAAACAAGTTTTTTTAAAATACCAGGACCATTTATTTTTGATAGCAACATATTCATTTACCAAAAGATTAAAGCATATGAGCAAAGCGATTTAGAAAATCATAATTCTAAATAGAGATATCACTAGTTAAGGCTTTGCAATAAATTCATTAAGAACTTGGGAAAAGAATCAGTTTATACTTTTTTCACTAAGAAGTACATACGGGATTTTCTCCAACCTGATTTTGAAAGGTCAAGTGGTATTCTAGTCTGCAGAGGTCGTCACTGATCAAACACATCGAGGTGTGGGGTAGTCAAATTATTTGCAGATTTTTGTTAATGCAAGCTGCACTGTAGTAAGTATCGTTATTAGTCATTTCCGCGCAAAAAATTCTGAAACAAAGATGATGCTTCCTAGCCTCTTAAAACCTCTTGTCCAGTTTCTTTCCATAATTTAACAGTTTCCATAGCAAGTGTGGGAGTGTGAAGGAATGTCACATACTTGAAAGTTTTCCAGCTCTCCATGATCTTTACCTGTTGGTTGTTTTGCTTCGTTCTAGAATAAGCTTTACCAGGAAACCCTAGAGGGTCTCTCTCAGTATGGTACTCAGTGCTTCTCTGGGCAGCTTTTCATTTGCTTTTTGTTTGCCAGGGGCCGGGGGTCTCGCCTAGGGCCTTGAGCAAGTGAGGTACGCTCTGCCCCCAGTGACACCCTCGGCCCCCCGCGGTTTCTCACTGAGGGGATTGCTTTTCATCTGGTCCCTTTATCGTGTTCTCCACGCATGTTTTACATTTTTAGCCTCAGCTTTTTCATCCTTCCTAGTGCTTGTTTTTTTATTAAGATTTCTAACTCTCAGAGCCGAAGCAGAGATTGCTCGGGGCATGGAAGAGCTTCTGTTTCTTTTGGGAGGGGCTTGTTTCTGAGGCAGGGTCTCATCATGTAGCTCAGGCTGGCCTCCAACTCGGGCTCAGCCTTCCAGTACTGGGATTACAGTTGTGCGCTACCACGCCCAGCTTGGGAAAGTTTTAGTGTAGACCTTTTTCTTCAGTTTCAAGATCCAATTTTTTTTACTAGGAAACTTACGATTAAAGGAAAGTGGGTGTGTGGATTCAGATCACAGCACTGGCACTGCTGAAAGGTCCCAGGCGCCTCTGTTAACAAGTGCTCACCACTGGCTGCTTCCTGGGGAGCAGGTGCCGCAGACCACGTCCAGGGCGCTAGCTTCACTTCCTTCTGTCAGGCCCTGTAGTGTGATGAGGATTATTTCTTGGTGATGCAGTGCAAACCTCTGTCCATTCATCAGAGGACAGCAGAAGAGACCAGCAAGGGAAAAAGCGTGAGGATCGAGGAAGAAGGGAGGCGGGGAGGCAGAGGAAGATGAGCCACGTACGGGAGCCCAGGAGCCTCCGCCAGAGTGACACTGCAGGCCAGGCAGGAGCCAAGGCCGGAAAAGCAGCAAGGGTGGAAATCAGGGTTCAGGAGCTGGAGGAGAGGGAGGGGGAGGGGAAGAGGATTTTTAAAAAACCGCAGTCTGTACATGTAACTGCTCCCCAAGATGATCGTAAACCCCCTGACCTGCAAACCTGTACTGATGACATAAAAATTTCTTTGATTTCTTGAAAAATATTCTTGGATTTTTTTAATTGTGTGAGAAGAACTGACATGATCACAGACTGATATTATTGATCTTTCCAGGAATGCTATTTGTCACTTGATATACGGGATTAATGAAGCACAGAGGTCATCAATTTATATCAGTCTCTTTATCCCTTAGTTTCATAGTAAAATGGGTGTTTAGGTTAAGTCTTATTGAAAAGATTTGAATGTTCTTAGCTGTCTCTTTTTTTTCTTTTTAAATTTTTGTTGCAGGGCTGGGGATTTAGCTCAGGGGCTGGGGATTTAGCTCAGGGGCATAAGTGCCTGCTTTGCAAGCAGGCAGTCATGAGTTCGATCCCTGGTACCGGAAAAAAAAAAAATTTTTTTTTTTGTTGCTATGGGAGTTTTTTGTTTTGTTTTGTTTTGGGTATCTGAAGTCAAACTCACAACTTGCGCTTAGCAGGCAGGCGCTTGTGCTGCTGAGCTATATACCTGGCCCATGTCGTTGTTTTTTGAGACAGGATCTTGCTGTGTAGTTCAGGCTGGACTTGAGCTCACTATGTAGCTTAGACTGGCCTCAAATTCTTGGCAATCCTCCTGCCTCAGCCTCTCAAGTGCTGGGGTTACAGGTATACACCACCATGTCCAGCTGAATTTTTTTTGTAAAAAAAAAAAATGTTTTTTCATAAAAAAATAGTCTTAAATGCAAAGACAGGCTATAATGTTAAATGTGAAGGTGTCAAATGAAGAAGAATCAAATTTTCAAATTTGGGGAAACAAAGTTCATGAGAACGTTTTTCCTACCTACTTTTTTAGGGTTTGTTGTTGTAGCAATAATTAAGATTTTTCCAAAGTGTCTCTGGTAGCAAGTTTGCAAAGTATGGGCACACCCCACAACCCATCCCCATGCCTCGGGTTCTGGGGACTGAACCCAGGGCCTTCGCACCGAGCTGCGTTTCCATCCCCTTTGGGCTGAGGCAGGAAGATTGCTGCAGCCAGAACCACACAGTGAGATTTGCCTTTGTTTATTTGTTTTTTGAGACAAGGTCTCACAGAATCACTAAGTGCCCAGTGAGGGCTTGAACTTGTGAATGCCTGCCTCAGCCTCCCAGAGTACTGGGATTAAGGCATGGGCCCATCCCAACTAAAATACACAGCTCTTTAAAAATAATTGTGTGTGTGTGTGTGTGTGTGTATGAGAGAGGCCATGTTAAATGTATTTCTCATGTTTGAGTGTTCACTTACATGCAGATGCTTTAATTTTAATTTCTAGTTAGTACTGAACACTTTCATATTTGTTGACTGTCTTTTCAGTGATTCTGAAGCATATCCCAACAAGGAGTCGGACATACATTCATGGGAATCATTTCTTTCTAATGTTGCAAAAGAAATTACAAAAGCCAAGGTGAGCTATAAAATATATCACAGTTCCATCTGAATCTTTATGATAGTACTCAGGAAGCTAATGCCATCATTCCAGTTGGAATTAATGACATTTTCTTGAGCTAGTAGCTATTTGTGGGGCCGGGGAGGGCTTTCGCAGCACCCAGGGTGCCCTGGGTTCCATCCCCAGCAACACATGTGAAGCGGACACTGTCTTCAGTTTCACCCCTGTGTGGAAGGGTTAGTGATGGTACACTATTCTGACTTGCGAGGTCTTATTTTGAACTTCTTGTCTTACAAGGAACAATTGTCTTCATGCTTGCATCTAACTTTGACCACTTGTCAGGAATAATAAGAAGAAAAAGTTAACTGAGGAGTCACGGTTTTCTCATGAAACATTAGAAAACCTCCTGTCCTCTGTTCTGCCCGCAGTCTCAGTTTGAGGACCAAATCCGAGCAATCAGGAGTGGGTCCCGGCTCCGAGACCTCCCGCAGGTGCGGGTTTCTGAGCTTTCCTTTCCGGCCTGCAGAGTGGTAAGTCTGCAGCTGTGTCCCGGTGAGGGAGCATGAGGAACAGCGCCTGGTGAAGGGTCTGCGGAGTGTGTGACAGTTTGCCACAGCTGGCGTCACAGCGGCCTTCGTGTTCTCAGCATGGTGCCTTGTGCTGCGCTTCCCAGCCTGCACGGGTGGGGTCACCCACTGCTGCTCTGTCAGGCACTTCGCCTGCCTCCCTCTGGGTGCTCGGATGTGAGTGTGAGTGTGTGTGAGCACACGGAGAGCAGGGTCCCAGCTCTGGAGCAGATATGGGAGCAGATATTGGCAGATCCTCTGTGTCCCTCCCAGCTAGGAGTCTGCTCGCCCCTGCACCCCTGGGGCTAAGACCAGAGTGGATCCGGTTCCGTACTGAGTGGTAGCGCCTGGGCCCTCGTGGCTCTGGTGCACCAGGTTTTTCCGCAGTTTAATTGTGATGGCCAAGCTTTGTCTTTTTACTTTAAAATTCACAACACAGCAAAGAATACCGTTAATTATATTTCGTGGACATCGCAGTGTGGCTGGCACTAGTGTCGTGCTATTGTACTCCGGGGTACATAGTTCAGAGATTTGAACAGAGAACAGCTGTGCTGTAAATGCTGCCCTGAGGTGAACTAGAGCCAACTAAGATCTGACCAGGAGAATTTAAAGACTGCCAAAGAGGGGATTCAGGGTGCAGCGCAGCACCCTGTTTCGGCCCGGCGTTGAGCCCTTCTGGTTCCCCAAGGTGAGCGGTGCCGTCTATGGGGCCTCATTTGTGTCTTCCTGCTGTCGCCACACTTGCCCTGGACTTTTCACCCTAGGGAGCACTGTCCTGACTGCCGGGCCTCCCTCAGCTTTCCCCGCACCCAGGAGGCCTCAGGCCACTCCAGGAAACCTGGCCTTAAATCTCCCAGGGATGGGGTGCAGACACCTCAAGCTGTGGAAAATAATTTGAGATCTGGACTTTTCTCTCCATTACACTAAGAAACAGTTTTATTCATAATGACAGATCACATCTCATTTCCAGCTTTTCTGAGTTCTTACTGTAGGTATGGAGAGAAGAGACTTGGATCTCAATAGATTATTTTACTGTTAATTTATAATTTTAGTTATATCAGTTTATAAAAGAATTTTCATACCTAAAGTCTTGTGACTTCTCAGCATGCTGGGAACCTGTCCCTGAAAGCCGTTTATTGTGTGTCTGGCCCCTGCTTCCTCCTGCTCTGGGTGTAGAGTAGAGAAGAGATTATACGAGGGCTGGGCTGGGGAAGAGAGCCCATGAGCCCAGAGCCTTGGGCAGAGCACGGCCCAAGTTTCTGTGACAGGATGCTGGTGACACCATCAGAGAGCCCGGGGCCTGGGTCTCCCCATGAGCATCCCATCGAAAGTCCCAGTGAGACAGTGGCTTACAAGAGGAATGGGACCAGGGGAGGGAGTGATGGGGGGGGTTTCCAATGGGGAGGCAGTACTCCAGATGGAAGGAACAGCATCCTGTGGGCTGGAAAGAGAGCAGGATCCACTGTGTTTTTGGATCAAGAAGAGGGCTGCAGGGACCACGGCCCAGAGCTACCCGGGCCAGAGCCGGGAGCCTTGGTCTCCAAGCTGTGACTCCCAGCCCCTGGGCAGCCAGGTTACTGGTAAAAGAAGCCCAGTGCATCTTACATCCGAGCCCTGCTGAAGAGCTAGCCAGAGGGAGTGGGGGAGTGAGGGCTGGAGCCATTTCCGGGTGCCCAGGCGAGGGCCTTGTCCGAGAGCCCTGCTGGTGAGGGTGTGGCAGCAGGAGCAGGAGAAGACAGCCCTGAGCAGCTCTGCAGGCCCACGCAGACTGGCCGGGAGCACTGTGCCCGACTCCAACTCTGGGTTACCCTAGGATGATCCAAATGGGTGTACAGATGGGGGTCCCAGGGGAAGATTCTGCTCCGGAAACTACAAAGGGTGGGGGGGGGCTCCACACTTGGGAGGACAGAGGTGAGAACTGCACTTGAGAAGGGGCTGGTGGGCGGCCCCATGAGGTGTCCCTATGCTCAGAGGGGTAAGGCGATCTGGGGTCTGGGCCAGTGTTTATCCATCAGCAATGGTTCAACCGGAAGGAGGCCATGGGAGGTAGAGGGGACCGTGGGCAGGCAGAGGGTTCTCATTGAATGTGTTTTTCTCATTTTACCAAGAAAATTGTGGAATTAGATACTTCAGATCCATCCTTGTCCTGACATCCAGCAAGTCACAGCCAGCAATTCTTCTAAAGCAAATGCACCTTCCTGTGTGGAAGTCTCCATGTGCCTCCTCCCCCGTCTCTGCCCCTGGGCCTTCCCTCCTCCTCTTCCTTCTGACCCTGCTGTACTGTGCTGTGTTCACAGGTACGTCCTCAGCTGGCCCCCACGCCCCCAGGGCCGGAAAGTCAGGCACCCTCGACTTCTGTGAGCAGCGCAAGTTCTGCGGGCAGTGCACCTGGGGCGGCCTGCAAGGAGGGTCCCTCGGGGGAGGCCCCACCTGCACCAGCGCCCTCTCAGAAGCCTCCAGAGTCCCCTCAGCAGCCACTGGTGTGTCCTAAACAGCCGCTGGAGTCCCCTCAGCAGCCACCAGAAACTTCTCGGCAGCCACCAGCGTCCCCTCCACAGCCACCAGTGTCCCCTCGACGAGAGGCCCCACCTGTACCAGTGCCCCCTCAGCAGTCACCTAAGTCCCCTCAGCAACCGCAGGCGTCCCCTCGGCAGCCATCGGCATGCCCTTGGCAGCCACCAGTGTCCCCTCGGCAGCCACAGTCATCCCCTCGGCAACCACAGTCGTCCCCTCGGCAACCACAGTCCCCTCGGCAGCCACCAGTGTCCTCTCAGCAACCACAGTCTTCCCCTCAGCAAGCACAATCATCCCCTCAGCAACCACAGTCCCCTCGGCAGCCACCGGTGTCCCCTTGGCAGCCATTGACATCCCCTCTGCAGCCACCAGCGTCCCCTTGGCGAGAGGCCCCCCCTGCACCAGTACCCCGCCAACAGCCAACGACCCCTCGGCAGCCGGAAGGGGCTCCCCTAGCAGAGCCTAAGAAGGCTGGCCAGGGAGCACCGCCCGTATGGAGCCCTGAACTGTACCGGAAGAAGCCCGTTACTCCAGGCCAACCTTCCCTCCTGAGCCAGTCTCCAAAGAGGCCGCTCACCCGTATTATGGAGCAGTTGTCCGCGATCTTCCCGTGCTACAACAGGTAGGAGTGCCAAGTGGCCGCCCTTCTGTCCGCAACACCTAAGATCGTGGCCTGTGGTGTGAACACGACAAGGGCCGCATGGTTGTTTTGCTCCAAAGGCAGCTGCCACATCTTATAAACATGGAGGTAAACCTTGTGTTGGGGGGACGTGGAAGGCTGGGGAGAAGACCCAGAGCCTCACAGGTACTAGACACTTGCCATACAAGTACTATGCCCTCTGTCCTCAAATACAAACTACAATGTGTTGAGATTGAGTGTCCTGGGGTAACATAGGCGGAGGTGGGGGACCCACCATGGCCGTTTGCTAAGATGTTGAGTAGCTCTCCAGCACTTGTTACGGGATCAGTAAGAACTGTAGAGTTTGGTGTCGTTTTGGATGAAAATCACCTACAACAAGAAAGCAGCAAGGTCCACCTTGTAGACCAGCAGCTGCCTCACTAGAAGTGGATCCCATGGGTGCATAGAGCTGGGGGACCCTGTGAGTTCAGTGGGGGTCATTTCTTGGCACAGGTGGGGGCGAGGCTCGGGAGAGGGGAAGAGCCCCCACTCCCAGCTCCCACACGGCACAGAGCACCACTCTGTTACTCCTCTCCCAGACAGTGGAATTTCAGACTGAGAAGCAGTGTGACCATTAGAATGCAATGGGCCTAGCGAATGGTTTGGTTTCTCAGGAGCCCTCCCTGACAGCAGCTGATAAGTGTGTTTTGTCTACACAAGGGCCTTTCTTGCCCTCCCTAATTTTGAGAAACTAAATCTGCTCAAGGGCTGTTAGGCCAGCTTTAAAAATATCCACCTTCTAATTACCAGAAGTACCCTACAAATAAAATCGTTTGCAATTTTGATAGAATTTGGCAGAGATTTTTTAAAAAATCAAATAAATGTGTCCTGATTTTCTGAAAGCTGAAGTACTTGGGATACTATAAATTATATTGGGTATAAATACAAAGTTCTGTTGACCGAAGCTGTGACTCTCACTTGATGATACTCACAAAATAGTCACACTTTGAACTTTGTTAGTTTTTTCCAAGGGAAGAAGTCTTCCAAACTAGTTTTTTAGTGGAAAGAGATTTTACCGATTTCAAGTGAGAACCAGTGGTGCATCTAAGCTTTTGATGCCACAAACTCATTTCTGAAGTAAGGATGTGGGTACCCCAGGTAGAGAACTAGCAGCTGCAAGTGTTGCTTGGGAATTAAGTAGATATCAATATTTTAAAACAGTATTGAAATTTTCATAATTACTTAGAATGATCTGTGTTAAAGCAGTTCTGCTTTTCATGTACAGTTTTTATTGTTCTGTGGTCTCTGTATTATTTTTGTATTTGTTTTTTAGGTCGAGCTGTTGGGTTAATATTAGTAAACTATTTCTTAGCAGTGGGAAATGTGATTTTTTGTTGTCACTTATTGCTGCTTTCCCCTTTCAGCCTTGAGCTCGCCACTTTTATTAAAAGTGTTCGAAGCATGGGCACATTTGCAGGAATGACCATTGATGAGATTGTCCACAAAGTGACAGAATACATTCTAGATGAGCAGAAAGAGAAAAAGGTATTTCAGAAACATTCCGCTTTACCTTTATTTACTTATCATTTAAAAAGCACAAAAACTTCACATTAAAATGTGGAGAATGATTTACTAAAGACAGAAGATCTGTTGAGTGCTCAGGTAACTGACCTTCACTTCCCCTTCCTACCAGGTCCTCACCCTCCTGTCTCTGCAGCCAAATCTAAAAAAGGAGAAAGAGATGCCCAAGGCCAGCCTTGCTGCCTCTGTAACTGCGCCCCCCCAGACTGCAACCCCAGTGAAAACTGGACAACCGACCACTGCAGCACCCACCACCTCGCCACTGAGCACTGTGCCACTGAGCACTGTGCCACCGAGCACGGGGCCACCGACCACTGCACCACTCACCACTGCGCAACTGAGCACTGTGCCACTGAGCACTGGGCCACCGACCACTGCACCACCCACCACTGCACCACCGAGCACTGGGCCACAGACCACTGGGCCATTGACCACTAGGCCAACAACCACTGCACCACCGACCACTAGGCCACTGAGTGCTGTGCCACCGACCACTGGGCCACTGACCGTTGGACCACCGACCACCTGGCCAGTGACAACTAGGCCACTGACCACTGGGCCACTGACCATTGGGCCACCGACCATCTGGCCAGTGACAACTAGGCCACCGACCACTGGGCCACCAACCATGGGGCTACTGACCACTGCACCACCGACCACTGGGCCACTGACCATTGGCCCACCGACCACCTGGCCAGTGACAACTAGGCCACCAACCACTGGGCCACTGACCATTGGGCCACCGACCACCTGGCCAGTGACAACTGGGCCACTGACCACTAGGCTACTGAGCACTGTGCCACCAACTACTGCACCACCAGCCACTACACCAACAACCAGTGGGCCACTGACCACTGGACCACTGACCACAACCAAGGAACAGAAGACAGATGTCCCTGTACGTGTAACTAGCTATAGCCCCATCCTTTTCTACGCAGCCTCATTGATTTGACCCGGGCTGGGGATTTAGCTCAGCAGCATAAGCGCCTGCCTTGCAAGCGTATAGTCGTGAGTTCAATCCCTGGTACCAATTAAAAAAAAAAAAACGACATCGGGATATCTCATTGATTTGACCCTAAAATTAGAACAGAGAAACCCCATGCAGCAGCCACACATACATACTCATACTCCACACATACATACTCATACTCATGTGCACACATACACACATGTGCACACACACACACACACATGTACACACACACACCTGTTTGGCTTGCACTCAGTCAGATGCACAGATTGGAGCAGAACTGGCTCCCTGCCGCTGTGTGGCGCACACACGTGAGACCGTTTCCCAGCGTCACAGTGCACTTGTATCAGAGGCCACCTGGAGCCACCCATGCTGTGAGCCCAGGGGGAGTTGCGCTGTGCTGGGGCCTGGGGCTGTGGCGGAGGGACCCTGAGCCCCTGGGGCTGGAGCCTTGGTACGTGTGTGCCCACAGAACCCTCAGAGGACAATGAGGAGACTCCCTCACCCAGGTGGCCGGGACTCTTCCATGTCTCAGCTGATTGTGCCCTCCGCGTCTCTAGAGATGCGCTTCATTCTTTATACCATGGAATCCCATGATGGTGTTGCTTCTGCACCACCTGCCTCAGGTGGTCTCTTGTGAGCAGTTTGGTGACCTGGGATGGCGGGTGTCCGCAGTCTGTGTGCAGATGGGCTGTCATTTAATCCCTGTGAGACGATCCGGTCCATGATAAATTTGTGGCATGTAACAGCCCCACACCTCATGTGTGACAGGGGGCAAACAGGCATCACAATATTTTACCTGGAATCTATTAACCTTAAAACAGTTTTCTGTCTGAAAAAAATTTGAACTTCAAAATCTTTTGTTGGCTTTTTTTAAAAGTTATTTTAAAACGAGACTCCCAGCCAGCCACCCGCTGCATTCCCCTGCTGAGGAGGCTGAGGCAAGAAGATCCTGGGTCTGAGGCCAGCGAGGGCGGTAGCCCACACCTGCCTCAAACAGAGTGCTCACAGTCACTGGGACTCCCGCCTTCGGTGGCAGACATGTTTAAAGGCCGCTCACATCACGAGCTTGAAGAGCTTGCCATAGGAAGAGAGTTAATCTTTATTCTTCATTTGTTTCCACAGGCACCACGAGCAAACGAGTGTGAGATCTGCCACGAGGTGTTCAAATCCAAAAACATGCGTGCACTCAAATGCGGGCACAAGTTCCACAAAGGGGTAAGGGTTCTTCACCGCACCCCCTCGCGTGCCAGGTGTTTCCTGGGACTCCCCCCACACACACACCACACACACCCCGGTGCTCCCTGTGCTTGAGGCTGGTGCTGGGGCGGGAGCAGAAGGCTGGGCCTGGTGGCCCCATAGTGACCCTCGGTGCTGGGTGCTCCGCCAGGGACCAGTGCTACTCTGGAGACCTTCCGGGCCGGCCCGGAGGAGCCAGGGCTGCCGGGGAAGGCCAAGACTGGGAGGACCAGCGCTGGCGCTTTGCTGGCTCCCTGCTGGGTCAGCAGACGGTGCAGGGGCCGTGCTGACTGGTTTCTTCTTTTCCAGTGCTTCAAGCAGTGGCTGAAGGGGCATGGCAGCTGCCCTGCCTGCCGCACCAACGCCCTTGCCCTCAACCCGGGAGCGCCCTGAGCCCGCACCGACCCCACCGTCTGTCAATCCAGTCGTCCCTCCCTCCGTGTAGTCGCTTCCTCGGTAGCTCAGTTGTGGCGTGAACAGTGTGTCGCCTCCTCTTCACACCCGGGACTGCCGCAGGGGCTGGGGGCCCAGAAGTGCTGTCAGTGCCTCAGAACTGCCCGTGGCCCGCCAGGCTCCCACTCAGCTGGAAAGTCTGCCAGCAGCGCAAGGGCCCGTGGCTCTGCATTCCTGTCCCCACCCCGCCCCCGGGAGCTGACAGCGGGTCAGTACTGCCCGGACCCGAAGATCCAGCCTCTTCCTGAGCCCCTGTGTGCCTTTGCTGTTTCCTCCTTTCACTCCCCTGAAGATTCTTAGTGTTCGTTTTTCATTAGAGAAGTGATCTGACTTTTGGAAATCAGTTTCGGAATACATTCTTAGCACAGCCTCTCCCAGCCGGCTGCTATGGAGGCCGGTGGCACACCCACCACCATCACCACCACCCCCGCCCCTTCCTCAGCTCCCCTGGAAGTGGAGCTCGTGTGGCCGGCAGTTCCAAGGCATCTGCGTCCCCTCGCCCGTGCTGCTCATGTGAAGTGCTGCATGCCCAGGGACAGCGCAGTGCCTGCTTAGCAGCTATTTACAGCCCTGACCACGGAGGGACAGTCCACTGCTCCGTCCGGAAGGACCACCAGACACATCTCGCCGTGTTCTTTGAGAGACCCATGTGTGTGTGCAGAGAGGGTCCCCGTCCTCTGCCCAAGTCCCTGTGAGCCGCACCGTCCTAGTGCCTCGGCCTTAGCCGCCCCTACCCAGCCTGGCCCGGCGGGGCTGCCCTAGTATCGTCCGCGTGTTCATGACTGTGGAGCGCTGTGTACAGCCGTACCCCCAGGGCCAGTTTGCAGCAGTGCGTGTGTGTGCCGTGTGCTCTGTGCTTCCCCGACAGCCTGTGAACCTGCCTTACCCCAATAAAGTGCACCCAAAAGTCTGCGGCTGCTGTGCTGCTTGCTGGGGAGTGCACGGTTCCCAGGGACCCCACGCCCCCCAGTGCTTGGCGGCCTCTGGGGTGCCTGGGATGGGCCAGGGTGACCGCTCGCCACACTCAGGGTCACAGGCTGCCTTCCACATCTGAGAACAGAGCTCGCACAGGGACCACAGCGCCTCCTCTTGGGTTAAAGACAGAGGTTTTCCCGTGAGGCTGCTGAGGACAGTCACAGCCCCGTCGCTGTGTGTTCTGGCATCAGGTGTTTGCTGCAGCAGATGTGACAGGCGGCAGCGGGCTGGTCCTTAGCACTGTGGATTAAATAATTGACCTCAGGCATAGCAAGTGATCTAGAACAGAACGGAAGGGGCCCCCAGCCGTGCCATGGATGGCCCTGACTCTAAGGTGATCTAAGGTAGAGCAGACAGCAAGCCCCGCTCCAGCAACCCTGTGACCTCGGGGTGTGGAGAGCGCAGGGCTACCCCACAGGGTGGGTAGGCTGAGCAGGAGGACCCATGGTGCCTCCAGGCCCTACAGGGAAGAAAGCGAGGGAGAAGGTAAAGCTTCAGCCTGCAACAGGTCACAGGCAAGACATGCATGTACTGGTCACGGCCAGTTCCTTCTCCTCCCCTTCAGTCTGCCAGGGATGATGTGATGTCCTCCTGTGCGCTTTGTGAGACAGGTGAGACACCCCCAAAGTCACTCACGTGGCCAGCGTGTGCTGCACACCTCCTGTGTGCATGGCACCCCCCTCACACGCGGCACTAGACTAGAAGCAGAGGCCTAAGCGAGCAACTTCCAGATGAACAGCCAGCAGACAAGCACAGAACCAGATCTCGGGTGCAGAGAGAGCCCTGGAGAAGAAGCAGATGCTATATATCTAAGTATCGCACACAACGCGTACTGCTAAGTCCTTAGCACATTAACTCTGGGTAAAGGGGAGCTGGTCACTGCTGGGACAAAGGCTTCAAAGTGCCCCAGACAGTTGGGCCCTTAGGAAAGGTCCTGCTTGAAGAGGCAGCACCTCCTCTGCACGGCTCAAGAATTCAGCCAGAGAATTCAGATCATCCGCAGTCACTGTGAAGGATGGCTTTGTCCCGAGATCCCCTAGTCACCTTGGGGATTCTGTCAGGAAGGGTGGCTGCCCTTGGGCTGTCCTGAGTCTCCTACCCCAGGGCTTTGCAGTCCATGCTGCTCGGTGAGTGTCCAGCCAGCTGGAGCCCCTCCCTGGAGGGTTTGCCACGGGTCTTGCAAGGGCTCCACCTCCGAGAAGCCGAAGGCCTGCCCCGGACTCCCCATCCTCAGCAAGATCTGTTCACCTCTGTCTCTTCCTGTGTCCCTTAAAGGGGAAAAAAGGAAAGCACAGAAGAAGAAATTGACCACCTCTAGTCAGCTGCGGAACTCTAATGAATCATCAGTCAAGTGAGATCAGCCTCAGTCAGAGAAAGATGTTTAGCTACGTGCCTAATCCTGGGTGTCCATCCAGGGGTACCTTAACCTCTCAGCAGAAGGACCATGCAGGGGTCTTCTGCCCCCTTTCCTTTATCTCACTGGTCTCTCCCATGCAGAAAGAGGAAGAGTAAATGGTACAAAGCAATGAAACGTGAGTTTATTTGCAGAAGAAAGCGGTACAAAGTCACTCTGAGGAGCGGGGGCCCCAGAGCTAGGTGACCCCCAAATGCCGGGCAGTGGTCCTGTTACGGGGCACTGCCTGGATCTATAATGAAAGTCTTGGGAGCAGTGAGAGGTCTGCCTTTTCCTGCCCTTCCTGGGACAGTTCGCCAAAGAGGAACCGGGCTACTCCCCAAATGGACCTGGCCCAGATGCTACTGCAGTCCCGGGCAGCTTCCTCTCATTCGCAGGGGGACTTTCCCCACAGTTGCCCTGCCTGTCGGGGTCCTGTCCCTACAACAGGAGATAATGCAGCTTCTACAAGAAAACAGTTTGTGTAGGAAACAAAAATCACTAAGCATAAAATTAAAAAGCTGACAGATGGGCCAAGCATGGTGGTGTCTGTCCCAGTACTCAGCACTCTGGGAAGCTGAGGCACGAGGATCCCAAGTTTGACTCCAGCCTAGGCTATTTAGCAACTTTGAAGGGACTTTGTCTCCAAAAAAAAAAAAGGTTCTTTTGGATAAAGGCTAAGTCCGTAGCTCAGGGCGAAAGCTCTGACACATTAGACTGCAGTGCTCTTAAAGGCTTCAGTTGCCACCAAGTGTGAAGAAGCAGGTCCCAAAGAAAAAGGTGGCCACTGTGATCGGAAGCAGGCCACAGTTTGCCCATCTGGGACAAAGGCCCTGCTTTGTACCCCCAGTGGGTGAGGGTCCATTTGTACCTGGCCCACAACCCCCCACCCCCAGAGTTCCTGGTGCTCACATCCCCCATCTGAGAGGACACTGGAAGTCTTCACCAAGTTGCCCGGCCCTGGCAGGAAGAGGGGGAGGTGCATCCAGTTTGCAGTCTGCAGGCCGCAGGCGGAGGGACAGAGCGGTGGCAGTAGTGGTCAGTGTTAGATTTTTCAGGAACTGTGTGACCCAGCCCTTGAACACCACTGCTAGGAAAATTTGGTTAACACAGACTTGAAAGCAGTTCCTGACCCGCACCATCACAACACTTCCAGTGCCTGTGGAAAGACTGTCACGGGTCCTGTGTGTTCCCACCCTGTTCACTTGGGTCCCACTGAACACTCAAACTCAGCTCATGTTTGCAAGGGCAGTTAGGAACCTAGCACCCCCAGGGTTCCTGCTGAATGAGCTCCTTCTGTAGCCCTTCTACTCTCTCCCCGCCCCCCTTCCCACTGCTGTCCTGGTGGGTGACAGGGTCCCCACGTCTGTCCTCTGTGCCGCAGAGCCTCTGCATGCTCCTGGGCAGCCACTCCCACAGCAACCTGTGTCCACTGCCCTCTGCAGCTCAGGGCAGGCACTTCTGCTGCCCAGGGAGAGTGCAGGTAGCCAGAGCAAGCAAACTTTGGGGTGTCCTCCAAGAAGCCGCCCGGAGGATGATGCCAAGCCCGCAGTGACTCATCTGACAGCCCTTGAAATGGGCTGGTCCCTGGGCCACAGAGCCAGGGGAGCCTTCCAAGCACAGCCCTATGTGGGTTACCTGGCTGGGAGGGTCTCGCACTTCAAAGAGAAACTGCTCTGTCCAATGCCTTTCTTGGGACAGAAGGGTCATTGTCTCAGCAAATACCTGGGAGCTCTTCGAATAAACACGGCTCTGTTCTCCAAGGTCCCCTCTGCCTTCAGAAGTTCTGCATAAAAACCCTTTGCCCCATTCCTCTCTACCCTTATTTCAGCCTCTATTATCTGGTGTGATAGCAAGGTCTTAATATAGATCTCCCTGCCACCACTTCCAAGAAACCTGCCACCAGCTCAGGCTCCGTGTCCTGAAATGCCACTGCCCTGTCCCAGGGGCTGAGCCAACAGCCCTGCAAAGCGCTGGGACAGACGGGCACTGTGCCCAGGCCTGGCCGCTGCCAGCGCCCAACAGACTTGGGGATTTTGCTTCCAGATTCAAAACCACCACAGCCTCTCCAACCCAGCAGAGGAGTGGGCCGGGTGGGGAAGATGTCACAGTTCAGCCCCCAGGACCAGTGCCACCCTTTGATCTGTTGGGTGGCAGAAGTGGGGTATCCAGGGTCCAGGCAGGGTGATTGGGGTAGGCGGTGTGCAGGCCCCAAGACAGCACCTGCCAGGCGGGCAGCTCCTCGCCACAAGCTCTGCTGTATGTTAGGTTCAGGGACGTCTCTGAGTCAGCCTCACCCTGTTATTTATTACGTGCACTTGCTCCCCTTGGCGGCCCCTGAATTCACTGTCACCACACTCCCTGCCACCCCATCATCCTGCCACACCCCGTTCCCTGCAAGCTGCTGGCCTTCAGGATCTGCAGCACCTCCTGGGGCTTTGGTGTTGCATTCACACGACAGAGATAAAATCTGTGACCCCAGTACTCAAAAGGTGGCTGAGGCAGGAGAATCGTGATGTGTTTGAGAACTGACTGAGCTACGGTAGTGAGTTCAAGGCTGGCCTGAACCACACAGTGAGACCCTGTCTGGAAAAACAGAACAGGAGAGAAAGAAGGGAGGAAGGGAGAAAGAAAAGGAAGAAGGGAAGGAAGAAAAACAGTACTAGCAGCTGCTCAGTGAACACTTGGCAGAACCCTGGGCTCCAGGAGAAGGGTTGCACACTCCAAGCTGAGCGCCCTCTGAACCAGGGCCGACCCCGTCCACTTCCTCCTCCCCTCATAGCCAGAGTTCTGGCCCCTGTGGTCCCCATTGGTGCCCAGTGTGATTTCTCTCTGCCGCCATTTCAGGCACCCATCCAGCGTTCCCAAAGTGGAGTCCACAGGCCCCAGGACCCTTTGACATAGAGGTTAATTTGTCCCCACTTTGTAGGGGCAGAAGCGACTTCCCACCTCCTGGAGGTCCCTGCTCCTGCTGCTCATCTGCTGGCGACTGCGTTCTTGTTGTCGCCAGGGTGCTAGGTTTGTGAGGTGTCTCCTGAGGGTTTGAGCTGACGTTTCCTTAAGAATTGGTGACTCTAAGCGTTTCTTCTTGCCCTTCTTTGCAATCCACAAACCATCTTGGTTGAAATGCGTAAATCTTCAATTCCTTTTAACCATCAGGTTCTCATAAATTGGATCATAATAGCATTTACAGATTCTATTCACCAGTCATTTGTTGTTTATATGTTTTGCAATTTTTCAAGTCTGTGGCATGAATGTCTATTTTCTTGACAGTATGTGTAATAGACTTTAAATGATTTAATTGATGTAGAACTGTACATAGTCACAGGGTGTGATATGTTGGCACACTCTTACTCTGTGTAATAATCACACCGGATAATGAACATATCCACCGCTCCAAACATTCATCATCTTTATGTTGGGAACTTTCAAAATCCTCTTTCAGCTAGTTTCAAAAATCCTATAAATTATTATTAGCTATAGTTACCCTATGAGCTGTGTAGAACACTGAGCTACTAACTATAATTCTGCAATTATTAACCAACGCTTTTCTCTATAGTCTTCTGAAGTTTTGAAGAAATCCATCTTTTTAACTTATTTTTTAGGTAACAGGAATCAGACTCGGCACCTCACCCTTGCCGGGCAGGCGCTGCTCCTCTGAGTTATATCTCCCACTGTCTTTTTAACTTTTGAAGAAAATATTTTTCTTTATTTTTTTTAGATTTTATGTACTGCTATATTCAATTATACTATGAAGAATTATACTATAAGATTTTATTTTTCTTTTATTTGTGTTTTTTTGGTGGTGCTGAGGATCAAACCCAGAGCCTTGTACGTGCTAGGCAAGTAAGTCCACCACTGAGCCACACCCTCGGCCCCTGTTTTCAATTTTGATAAAGTTCAATTTAGTAATTTTTCTCTTTGATACTTTGTGGGGCTTTTTGGTTTTTGGTTTTTTAAAATTTTATTTAAAGAAAAAATAAAACAGAAAACGAGTAAAAATAATACATATTTCAAAGAAAAAATAAACAGTAAGAAATCGCTAGTTGATGATTACATATTGTCCTCTTACAAATAGTTGTTCAAGATACAAAAGTGAAACATACAAAGTGGGGATTCAAACAGCGAGACTGCAAACAGTTGTGTTCAACTATACAACAAAAACTTAATAACATGGTTATCAACCCTATATACTTAAAACATACATGCAGTTATCCACATCTTCATGTATGTTAAGATTAAACAAACCAAAGCAGGCTAAAGTCACTCTGAACAAAGAATATTATATTGCTGGATTTCACATCATGACACTACGGGATCAGCACTGGGTACTGTAGTGTCTCTTTTTCCTCAAAGTAGTTGTTCATTTCATCATGCATTATAAAATCAGTTCTCATAAACTGTTTATACGTTCTACACATGCATGAGTCTCTACATGTATTTCTATCCTTTTTATATTAGAGAGAGAAACAAAACAAAACATATTCCTATAAACACATGAAACAAAAAAGTCATATAAAACCACAGTACAAGGAGTTCTACAATGGTTACTGTGTTATCTCTTGTTATCTTCAATAGAATTGTCTATATCATCAGACATAGTATAATTGAATTTAGCAGTACATAACAATATTAATAAAAACAAAACATTGTAGATAGTGTAAAACTTCAAAACCAGAATGTGTATCGTAGTGTCTTGTCATCTTCAGGGTAGTTGCCTATACTCTTAGACTTGATACTATCAATCATTACAGTTTTGAATAAAATCCATCGATACCAAACAACAAGCTAACAAACCAGATTCAACTAAGATCAGTCGTAGTAAAACAGTATAAGTTATACAGGGCTTCAGATTAAGTTAATAGGGAATTAAGG